AAGCAACGACAGACGGATAGTATCAACGCGTAAGTTGGCTGACCATGAGAGGAATATCCTGAGCAGGCTGACGATAGCTTGCTAAGCCGCTGGTTAAGGCCGCTACCGCAGTCGTGAATGGTTGTCAGAGCCAACACCGTATAAGAAAATTTAGCAGCTCGGATGCTGTGTCTGATTCATGGATAAACTATGAGATGTTCTGATCTCGTGAGAATTTGGAGTGCTTCTATTGACGCGGTTACATATCTTCTGTAGCGCTGGAGTTGCCGTCGTCATGACCAGTAGGTGCTCGTCCGAGGTAACCCCGCACTACGCGTGACGGGCTTCTCCCCTCCGCTACACCATCAAATTTGTTGCGCTAGGGTTGCCTAAAGGTTTTATCTTTCTCTTTTTTGGGGGGTTTTCCCACTGGCCAAAGTGGTCGAGTTGGTTGTTGAGAAACTACGTTTCAATTGGCGGAACGCTTCGAGCCGCGATTTTCCGCAAGATGCAGCCTAGCTTGTGACGTGGCTAAACATTGCTAACTTTATGTACGTGCATCATCTCCGCGTGACGATGAGTACCAAGATTCAAGCTTACATGCCATTGGCACGCCGCCTGCTTGGGCTTCTGCAATACTCGATAGTGAGCTGCAATGCAACTCTGATGAAGAATCGGACCACATGCTGGGCAGGTTTTACGTCGGAGATGCTTGTTTAAATTCACTCGACGCTAAGCATTTAATATGTGCGTGAGTCACAACACGGACCTCTGTAATACACGGAATATCTTCTTCAGCATCGCCGGTGGAGGTGCGAGGACTAGGTCGCTTGTGCACTATGAGGCTGCAGACGAGCACAACGACTGCCCGGATCACGCAACGTGAAGCTACTCTTGGCGATGACGCCACAAGTGGCTGTCTAGCACGGCTGTTGGCAGAGTAAGCCGACCGTTGGAGCCGTAGCAACGGTTTCTGGTGTGGGACGTGTGTGCCGAGAACAAACAACATCCCTCCCTTTCCCCGCCAATTGGTCTCTCCACTGCGCTTATCCGGCGATAGCATGTCTTTTGGGGAGCCATCTCCGGTACCACTTGCAGGCTCGCTTCCCCGTGCCGTCATAGGGTGGCTGGCTGCTATTCGCCGTCCGTCTTTCAAGTGTGACTTTGCGTGCGCTCGCTACCAAGATCGGTTTCCCTGCAGGTCTAGTTTGCGTGACGCTCTTGTATAGCGCAATCTGTCACTTGTCACGTGGTAGCAGGGAGGGATGAGTCAGCACAGATACCACACTTGGAGAGCTTCCCACTCTGCAGTGACCCACACTTGTAGATACATACACACACACATTGAGATTCACCTGCTTGGCCCATCACGGTTGTTGACCCGTGTATCTGAGCTCTAGGCAGTATCTATTCATTCATTTCGGACGCTTCCCGACTCCTCACATCACTTGGGTACCCCTAAACCCCAAAAGTTCCGCATCGGAGCAAGCCCGCGGAGCGCGCCGGGCACTCCTGGAATGACCCGAAATCAAGGATTATGTTGGGCCCCGACTCCAACCCAAGCGGCTCCGTATGCAATTCGACTCGGGTCTGGACCTTCGCATGTGGATCTTGGTGACCTTTCATCGTCCCCGGCTTCAACTCCTCACGGCCTTTGCCTTTCACCGGTGCATCGCGGGTTTCGGCTCCCAAGTTTGCTGTTTGAAAGCAACACCCCCCATCGATACTTGCGACCAAGTGTTTCTATCCCTCGTACAGTTGCAAGGCTAGACCTGGCAAATCTTTTCTCATGAATCAGTCTGATAGCTGCCAAGTCCCCAGGGAGTGACTTAGCCTCCTAGTAGTACATGCGAGGAAAGGGCCCCTTCGGACGGCCGGTTGCTGTGATATCCTAATTTGGACGATTGCAACCCTACGGACTCTCCCATACGCTGAAGTGGAACCACAGCTTGACGCGCCATACTTTGTTCCAACAAAGTCAACTGCCAACAAGCAGAAAACGGAAAGGCGTAGGACAGGCAAGCAACCAAAAGGGGAAACAAACAATATACGCGAGAGAGAGAGAGAAAGCGGAATTCCCGTGGTTCGTCCACCAATCTTTACCTGGGACCACCCCCTTCCCACTACCCTATTCTATCGCCAACGCATGTGACGGCCGCGATGGAAAATGCCCGATTCTGTCAGCAGTTGACGCAAGCGATCATTTGGCCGAGCCATGGTTTGTAAAGATAGGGTACGGCGACCGGCGACCGGCGAGTGGGGCAGCTGGGGTTCGGTTCTGCCGAAGCTAAATCTACGGTAACCAACTTCAAATACCTATGTCGCATTTCTCCCCCATTGACGTGAGTCTGAAGCATGAACCGTCGAATGATTCGGCGGCTCGGAGGTCAGTCAAACCAAAGAGTTCAGACGATGGGACGGCAACCAGGGATAGGTGCATGAGTGGACCGCACTGCGGGCGCCTGCCAAAATGATACGTAGCAGTGCCTCTTGGGTGCTGATGACAACCAAGGAGTTCGTCCACCTGAACAAGAGACGGTTCCATTTCTGGAATATACTACTATGGAGTCCGCTTCGGGGAACTCGGTTGGTATCACGTTGGGCTTTACGTGGCCACACGGGATCGAGCAACGAGCCCGAGGACGGGGGAAAACTCTCACCCAAACATAATTGGAGGAAGTTGTCAGACCCTCCCTAACCGGGGTGGACAAGGCCAGAATGCAACTCAAGGTGGGAATAATACGCCACAATGACCCTGTCCCCGAGATCGCGTCCAGGCCCATCCCTGCAAATGATATCGCCATACCGGGGATTTCAAGCAAACATTGCGTGCATTTGGGACCACCAACCAACAAGAAGATGCCACTGGATGGAAGGCGGCAGGTGCGGTGGTGTGCTCGCCATCGGGAGCATCACAAATACATCCGGACAACAAGCGACAAGCGCAAAAGCCAATGACATTCGTCTCTTGGGAGGCAGCACCGGGGTGGACTGTGGACACGAGCGACGATCTGCCGGGATGCAGAGGTCGGCGGTGGAGTGTGTAAAAAGCGAGCTGCTAGAAGGGGTGGATGGGTGGGTGGATGGGTGGATGTCTCATCTAAATCTAATCCTTCCGACACGAGTTCGATGGGCCGCTTCCGGGACTCCCCAGCCATGGAAGCGGGGGATTGGTTTGGATCACTGAGACTACTACTACCTAATAGTGGTAGACCCATCTGTGTGGCGCCAAGTTGAAGGGCAATCACCCACCGAGACTCACCCTCCCCAAAGCTGCACAGTCTTTTTACGGAAACCCATTGGTATGGTCCAACCCAGCTCGAGAAGGGGAAGATGCAGATCACTGGCAGGGTCGCACCGAGTTCTCGGAGAAACTCCTCCAACACATACTGTACATCCTTCCTTGCACAGCCCGTCTAGTTCGGTTCTACTATGTAGCTTAGGGGGGGACTTTGACTCGGTGAGGCCACGGTGGCTCACCTAGTCCTGACTTTCGACCTAAGAACGAAGAGAGAAAAAAAAAAATCCAGAGAAGAAAGCCGCTATTTATCCACGTGGTAGCGCGGTTTCAGTGAGGCATGATCCCCTCGGCATGATATCGTCGATACTTTCTTTTTGGTAGCGGTCATGACTGGCACCCGACGGCCTGTCCTCCATCTTCCAGGCTGTTTGCACGGCATCCCGTCCTTCCCGCAAGCCCACCCGCCCCGTCTGACCGCTCGCCGTCTGAAGCAGTGCACGTAGTAGTAGTTTTACAGGCCGTGTGGGCTGGACTACAGGGTGGCAGGGGCAAATGAAATGCCCCAGTTATGTAATATCGACACACAGCCCAGCTGGCTAGGCTAGTAAACAGCACTGTAATGCCCGCTACTGAAATAAGGAGGGGGTGGGCGTTGGGGTACTGGGTATGTAAGATACCTGACAGGGGAATTTTTATTTCGGCCTCATACTATAGTCATTGTACATCAGCCGTCTTGGCATAAAAGGCCACCCACCAATGCCATGTACCTTTGGCATGGGTTTTGGCGTGCCTTATACATTATCAAGAAGCGCCTCACTCGTATGACGAATCGGCCGACGCTGCTTGTGTGTGTTGGTGGGGCAGAGTTGCACTGCAATGCTCACGACCCCGGTCGTTCATATAACTCTAGGAGTTGCCGGCTCGCGCGTTGGGGGAAGCGCACGCGACGCTTCCCTTTGCTTCGTTGGGCCCCCTGCCCCCCTGTTGTTTGTTGCATGTCTCTCTCTGTCTGTGTGTGTGTGTGTGTGTGTGTGTGTGTGTGTGTGTCTGGGGGTGTTCCCTGCATCGCTTGTGCTGCTTGGATGGATATTGCCTGGTCACTGTATCCTGTGCCGCACTCCCACTTCCCTCCTCATCTCTCTAACTCCTGCAAGCTGCCTTTCTTTGACTAGCCAGGTTGGCCAATACACTCGTTTACCCTTTTCTTTGGACTACCTGTTTCTACTTCATCTTCGGCACTCGCCCTCCCAGTCTAGTTTTCCTACACCGTCCGTGCCTCGTGTCCGCCGTCTGCCGTCCGACTCCATCCCACAACTCCTGCTTGAATCTCCCCATTCCAAGGTTTGCGGCTCTCACGCCCGGCCTAGAATGTGACAATGATGATCGAACCACGGAAAAAACACGACGAAGAGGCGGTTCGTTTTGTGAACCCTTATTTCCAGCTGAACGTTGGATTGTGGTCTCTGTTTGCCGGTGCAACCATCTTTCTCGCGCTGCGACTCTGGTGTAAGACCACGAGGCGACATGGCCTGTGGTACGATGACTATATTCTTTTGGTATCCTGGGTGAGTCGCATCTTCGCCATCACTTCCTCCTGTCTTCCACAAACATGATGCACGTTCCCTGCAGGCTTTCATGTTTGTTTGGTTGGCGGCCTGGGACAGGTAACACAACCTTTTTCCCCCCGACTTGCAAGCTGACGACCGCATGTCTAGTCGGTCTTGCTCGCAAACAACAGCCTCATCATCTACGAATTCGCGACCGGCTACGTGCTCGAAGACTCGTCCAAGGCGTGGGACGACCGCATGCACATCCTCATCAACATATCATCCTGCGGCACGTTGATAGGTCAGGCATGGACGAAGACGGCCTTTGGAGTGACGCTTATCCGGATGAGCAATAAATGGCAGCGATGGGTCTTGTACTTCTGCATCGCCACGATGAACATCTACATGATCGCCAAGGTCTTCATCCAGTGGGGCAAGGTCTGCGGCAGCAAATCTTACGACAACGACTATCGGCTCCAGTTCTGCCTCGACAAGAAAACCCGTAACAGCGTCAAGGAGGGCGGAAACGGTACGCCCGCCCTTGACAAGACACTGTCCTCAGGCTTGGTTCGACAGCTGACTTTTTTTGGTGCCCAGTTTACAACATCATCATGGATTTCGTTTTCGCGTCTTTCCCATGGCTGATTACTCGCTCACTGGAGATGAAGCGCGCAGAGAAAATCGGCCTCTGCATCACAATGAGTTTGGGAATGGTGTGAGTCGCACCCGAGCCAGCTGCTCAGCCCCGTTCGGGTAAGATGCTAAACCCTTCACAGCGTTGCTATTGTCTCGGCTATCAGAGTCAGCTGGAAAGATAACGGTAATGACCGCGACCCTTGGTACATCTGTGAGTTAACGTAACCACCTGCACGGGTCCTACGTCCGCTAACATCGTCGATCAGATCGCAACGGCATGTCCCAGGTTTGGTAAGATTTGCTTTTTTTTTTACTTCCTTTTTCAGGAGAGACAACCCCACGTCGACTCCATTCAATCCCACCCGGGGAGAGGGATATATTGGCTAAGACTGCGTAGGTATTCGTCCGAGATTACTGGCACCATCATCGTGCAGTGCATACCTATCCTTCGTCCGATCATCCGCGAAATCCACACGTCCTTGACGTCCAAGAGACTCGGCTCCTCCACGGCGGACGGCCGCAGCACGACGTTCGGAAGCAAGACCAGCAGCAGAAAGAGGGTTTCGGGCGGCGTCCAGGCCAACGACAAGCACGCGGGCGAGAGAATCGCGCTGCAGGAGATCCCCGAGGAGTACAGCGACGACAAGACCGGCTGGGGCTCCAGCCCTCGCACGCCCTCCTCGGCGACGCCGTTCCAGACCGATTTCAGGCCGCGGCCGCCCACGGCGCCGCTCCCCGGTCGGGGACCATCATCGGGGGGCAGCGATACAGGACCATCAACGTTATCGCCATACGAGGCGGAACTGACACCGCGGCCGCCCACGTCGCCGCCGCCTAGTTGGGGGTCATCGAGGGGTGGCAATGCGGGGTTACCGACATTATCGCCATACGAGACTGAGTTCAAGCCGCGGCGGCCTACGTCGCCGCTCCCTAACAAGCGGCCATTATTGAGCAGCGATGGACGGCCGACATCGTCCCCGCACGACACGGAAATCGGGCCTCGCACGCCTACATCGCCGCGCCGGCCTACGTCGCCGCCCCCCAAAACGTGGCCGTTGTCGGGTAGGGAGGGCCCTGACCTGACGGTCGGCTCCTACAGCCTTGGCAAGAGCCTGGAGTCCGAGTTCGACCGGTCAAAAGCTTTCTTAGACGTTGAACTAGGAGACGTTCAACAAGGATTATCGCCGCCACCGCCTCGCAGGACATCCCCTAGCCACAGCTAAGAAACAGCAGTGCGAAAGATTACAATACCCTCGACAGAACGACGCAGAACCAGAACCTGCCCGTCCGGATGTGCGGTTTAGGCCCGTACCTCGGCGGGTGACTCACTTGGAACCACAAGAAGAACAGGGCGCGCGTGAACGAAGCATGACAATCATTATTAAGCAGCATATTTACGCATTAATCACCACTTTACCTTACTTTGCGCCAATAAAAGGAAGTTACATTCGACTTGGCTTCGATAGCCCGACACTTGGTCGGGCGACACGCTCTCTTATTACCCCCCCAAAATATACACTTCCCAACGAGTGTCGAGATCGGCATGGTCTCAAACAGACGCATGCAATACGTTCGGGGTCATCTAGACGAAACCCATTATGGAAACGGACCCTGGCTGAGATGGGAGATACTAGAGTTCTTGGATGGACCGGATGGGACGGGGATCGGATGGGATGGGGCGCGAGGGATTTCGCGTGTGGGATTTCGCGTGTGGGGAAACGCCACCCGCCATATATAGAAAATAATAACCCTTGTAAATATTGCGCTTCTAGCTTTTTTTTCCAGCTGCAACGCACGACTCGACAGAAGAAAAACCTCAGCTGTACACACATCTTCCAGTCTCCAAGCACACACTAGGGTTTCGCCTTCAGCCGCTCCCATCCTACCCCCGTATGTGAACTTACTTTCCCCTCGTCCTTCGTCCGCCCAGTCCGAACAGGGTAATGCATCAAGTGGGCGGGCCGGGGCGACGATCGGCGGGCGCGGGCGTATCGTCGAAAGACCGACAACAGCCCCCATCCTGGTCGAGGAGGCGGTTCAGGGCCAGGTGGTTGCGTGTGTTGTTGACTCGTGCCCGAACGGAAGACGGGGGGCAAAAGCACAGCAACACGAGCAAATCATGGGATGAACATACCCGTCGCTTCCCATTCGTCGGGACGTGCCGGCCGGTTATGACCGACTATGTTATTTCAATGCAAACGAGGCACTGTTTTGTTTTAATTGCATTTTCACTTCCTACTCTTAACAAACCCCCCCCCCCCCCTTTTGCCCTCCTCGTATGTGTTTTTGCGACGCGAACGAGGGCATGTATCGACGGGTGGCATGCCGCTCCCTCAATAGGGTTCGGCATTCATTCGATGTTGCAGAGACATTGGTTGGTAGATATGCAGCTTCGACTCCTCAACGCACCTCGCCAACTCTTGAGAGAAACCCCCCCCTCCCCCCCCAAAAAGAGCCCAATTGGACCGCTGAATTGGATGTGCGACCAGAAACTAGGAACACGAAGAATTGGAGGACCCTCCCCCGGGTGCACAGGCTTCCGCCCCCACAGGTTGATATCGATAATACCGGTATGCCCTTCGATCACCAAGAGTCGTGCAACGTCAATGCAACTGCTTTGGCCCACCCACGTGCTCGGTCGTCTGCATTAGCCTGTCGGGACACCTTGCGCTCGCTCATATGCGGCACGCTTATGGCCTCGGGGCGATCAAGGGTGCCGCAACTGCGGAGGTGTGTCGCCAATCTTAGCAAGCTGCGAGAGTGCACGATCCCGTCCGGGCTGCCACGCGCGTATGTAGTAGTAGGTCTTGCCAGCAAACCCTGGGAACCTCACGAGGGCGGAGCTGGTGAGGTATGACAAGTGTTATTCCATGCAAGCACCCACTAAGAAAACGCCCAACGTGGGGTAGGAACTCGGCTGACGACTTGGTGTACCTTGTGAGGACTGTCGTTCAGGAAGCCTAGCGACGGCTATGTGTTTGCGTTGATGGCCCGGTATGTCATGTACGCCGGCGCCGATAGGCCCTATGCTCCGTTCAAATTGATTGTCGCAGCCCGACCTCAATGCATACATGTTTTAGTATCGCAACCAGCTTAATCAACCATGGTTCCGGCTGAATCAAGCTCAACGGTGCTCGGAGACATTTCCTGTATTCGATGAACTCGAGCAGGTTCCGACCAGCCCAAACGACGCCTGCATCGACGGATTTTTTGGACCGTCCCCGGTCTTGGCACGCTGACGATTGGCAAACCGTTCGATGCAGTGCAACCAGGGGCCGCGCGCGGGGGCGCCGATTACCGATCCACCGGGCCAAGCTAATGCGGGCACTCCCAGCTCCGAGCCAGCCCACAGACACCATGTGTAGCCAGCCCCCCCCCCCCCCCGGAGACATCCAAGATGCCGGGCCCACCTAACACTGAGATGAACAGCTGGCAGCACTTTGGCGTAAATAAACGAAAAAAAAAAAAAAAAAAAAAAAAAACCCCATCTTTTGCCGGACCTGCTTTGATTGACCTCCTGAACTGCCCTTACAAAGCTACTTGTAGTCAGCGGACCAAGACAATGGCGCTACTGACGCTTCTGTAGAGTTTTTTTTTGGCATAATAAGCTTATAGTTTGTGTGGTTCGTCCGACGCTAAATCATAATCCGACCTACCGACTCGGAGGTAAAATGAAGCTACTTGTGATACGTAGCGTTTTTTTTTTTTTTTTGTCTCGCTGTTTCGATCCAAAGCAAAATGGAAAATGCCCAAGGGCGAGTTTTTTTCTGGCGTTTGCAACGCCTTCTGACGCAGCTCCTCCGCCATTGCATGCATGAGACCCCGGTATAGCGGAAGGCGCAATGTATCGTATGCATTGCGTCCCACTCGGAGTTTCTCATCGTCACCGACCAGGCTACCTGATATAAGCTCGTCAAACGCCGGTTCATGACACACACGACCATACCCACTGGAGAACTCGGGATCCCGTCAGCTCTCCCATAGATAAGCCAGTGAGGGCTGGATTAGTAGTTGAGTCGGTGACGATCAGCGAATACCTGGTGTTGTATGTTTTTGCTCCTTTTAAAGAAACATGTCTCTCACAATATAATCATCTTACCAACTGGAACCACCACATACGACCATACCTACTGGAAAACTCGGGATCCCGTCCGCTCTCCCATAGATAAGCCAGTAAGGGCCGGATTAGTAGTTGAGTCGGTGACGATCAGCGAATACCCGGTGTTGTATGTTTTTTGGCCTCTGGGGAGGGAGGGTAGTAGCATCTTAACTTACCCGTATACAAAGTAGTGCCTGCCGCTCTGTTGTATTACAGTTTGGACAAGGACAACAAGAAGATCGAGACAACTCTTTCCTACCTAAGCCGCACATCACGCATCTGAAGTTATGCTCAAACTGTCACGAGTTAGAGCACACAGCAGGGCATATGGGAATTGAGGTCTAAAAGGCTTAGATTCTAAGTGAGGAGAAGTAACGAAAGTAGGTCCCTATATATAGGTAAGTGAATGTAAAATGTCACGTGCAGCAGCACCTTACAGAGCTGTTACAGACAGTGGAAATACACAAGGTTATCGTGACACAAACCGCGGGGGGTAGCTTTTTACTACGGATGTCTCGCTAATCCTATACACATCTGTCACGCAGGATATTGCTGACCGACACCGCTTTCCGGAACGACGTCGCTTATTAATCCGACCCTCGCTCCTGAATATGGATACTCGCGGCGGAATCCACCAAGCGAGGCAATAAATTAAGGAACGTGGATTATAGTACTATAGATAGAAGAAAACAAGCCACCTTCAACTACATGAATTGCCCCCTAAACGCACTGCTTGATGATAACATCTAACTGAACCTAACAGTTAGGTAATCAATATAATACGCTGCTCCCTTACCGGTATTCCAAGTGTGAGTCAGCACCTCAAATTGGTTGACAAGATTACCACCTTCATTTGCCATCCTCCTCGCGACCTTTCCGAAAGGGGTTTCAAACAATTCGTTCCAGCTTTGGGTACGTTTTCTTAATTCGCTTCTGCCCAGTCTCTTTGCTGCAACACTTCCCATTGCTGGTGGTTCCGTAATTATAAAGCTCGCCCCCCTTGCTAAGCCAAGGCGTTCCTTGGCCTGGTTAATCGCAAGTGAGGTTTTGAAATTGACGACTGAGTCAAACTCTATAGATTCGAGGTTGTGGAGCTGTCCGCCCTCGGTCTGCCATAAGCTCTTCAGCATAACGTCAAGGTGTAGTCGGTTTGGAGTTTTGTCTCTGGCGTTATATGCCATTGCGACTGAAATTTTACGGCCCTTGACATCCATCCTGGTTACAAGGACAGCCTCGCGCCCATTTTCATAGCCAGAAGTGAACACAGATATTGTGTCTCCGCCGAATCTACTAGGTTCTTTTGTAACCCTATAGGCGTTGTTCCCCTAAGTTAGGTAGAAGAGTAAGAATTAAGTACGCATCCAAGTTCTAGGTGGGGGCATCCTACTGCAACCTATCAAGATGTTAGTATGCTGATATCTATATAGGGGTCAAGGGGAGACATACTGCACATAGCACAGAATCTAGGAAGAACGCAGTTATTAAAAGAATAGTGTTAAAAAGTAACTTCATTGTAAAAGAGATAAAAAATTAAGAAATAAATAAAAAACCAGAGATACTTAAGTAAGTTATCAGTTGTTTTTCTAATTAGTAGCGTTTGTAAAGAACGTTGCACTTTCTGAGCCTGCACTTGATGGCTGTGATCTGGCATTTATATAGTGTAGTGTAGTGTCTCTTGAAAATAAGGTTACTAGCCTAGTTATGTGGCTGTGCACTAGTAGTACTATCAAAACCTCATTTCGTTGGCCAACAGATAAAGAGAAACTTTGATTAAGGATGCCGCAGTGCTATAGCCTTCCCGGCACGTATAAGAAAAGGCGTTGTGTCACCCCCACACACTCTATTGTGTTAAGTATTCTGCATAATATTAATGCTGTGCTTTTAAATTGAGGTGTTGGTTGGCACCTAGGTTAAACAGTCGCAGACGGGCTTCCCCGCTGTCCCACTCGTGGCTCGAGTCAGGCCGCGCCGTTATCGTCCGTCTATCCGAACGTCCGTCCGAGCCCGGGACCGCTGCCTAGGCCCCCTGTTCCAACATATGGTAATTGAATCCCCACCATGACTGTAGAGGTGGGTCTCGGCGACTGGTCGCACCTAATTGCGTGCCTACTAGTATGCGCCCTTAATTAGGGCGGCCTTGTAAACGGTGAAGCCGAAAGAATAACGTCTAGTAAGGACCAACTTTATGCTGCAGAGGGGGTTTCAAATAGGAGCCTTGCCTTCTCATAATGGAAGTATTAGGCTTTGTGTGATGACAAAAGCGGATCCGTAATTGCCACTGCGCAATTACGGCTTATATCACGACACTTTGAAAATAGGAGAAAAAGGCTCTTACAGCTAAGGCTTCATAAGGGCCGGATTAGTAATAGTTGAGTCGGCGACAATCAGCGAATACCTGGTGTTGTATGTTCTTTCCATGTTCTTTTTGGGGGAGGAGCCGAAGGGACCTTTTGAGGTCAATTCACTGTCTAAGTCTAGGCTAGGCCACGACAGCCAAAGAGTGGGAGACGTCCATGGCCCAATGTTACGCTTTCGTGTTGTTCGATCAAGGAAAATAGATGCGAGTTGCACTTTGCCAGCTTTCTGCTTTGGCAGTGCTCGTCGTTGGATGCGTCTAGGGTGCTGTATCAATATGCATTCCTTCCGTTGCATCATCTCCGATCTGGCCATACAATTCCACGGGATGAGCTGGAGCGATTGACGAAGAGCGTTTGCTGTCCCTGAATATGCAATTAGCCTGGAATGAGCGGGTCGGGTGACTGGGTCGAGCAGAATTACCGATGATGCAAGTCCGGTTTGCCCATCCCATGCCATGCTCCGGCCAAGTCGTTGCAGGCCTGCTGCCTTCTGATACTTCCGTGAACAGGAAGCAAGTGACATGTAGAATGCAACTGCCCAACTGCTTTGAGTGTTGGAAACCTCGTGCTGCTTCGGTTTTGATGCTGTCCGGGCGTGTCCATTGTATGGCAGCAAGACCAGAGCCCGTGTAGTATGAGCAAGGAAAGCTTTGAACTGGGAGACTAACCAACGGACTTCAGCCGGTAAAGATGAAAGACTTTTTTTTTTCTTGCCTGGCTCGGTATGTATGTATGTATATGCCTAGGTAGTGAAATCTTTGAGCCGGTCTGTCCGCCTCACCGTTTGCTGGCTGGCGTGCCTTCCACTTGGATGCACTTTCCCGTTCTGCCGTAGGTGCCTTCCCTTTGATCTTTGGTGCACCTTCCTTCCAGGCCAGACTCCAGACCAGACTCAAGACCAGACTCAAAACCAGACTCAAGACCAGACTCCAGGTCAGAGATCGGATCAACCCACTTCACCCTGAGATTCTGATAACTGACTTTTCAACATTCGACCTCTTCAACACTCACCACTCATCAACCATCAATCCAATTACGACCAAAGATGAAGCTGTGTTACCTTATTGCTCTTGTCATGGCCGTCGCGGCCTCCTTGATGAGGGGTGCTCACTGTAGTTCCCCCATGAAAGGCCCATTCGGCCCGGGTCGCTCAAACCCCAATGCCATTGAATATATGGCGGGCGACCCTGCATCAAGCGAGGCAATGGGCATCTGCCATCCCGACGGGTGAGAAACTAAGCGGCAAACTTTTGGATCATTTGCTAACCTCTATTGCCTGCTTTCAGCTACTTCGAAGCCGGCACCGCGACGCTATACATCCACGACGAGCTGAACAAACTCTCTGCCATGGTCGAGACACTCTCGTCCAAGCTTGACCACCCCGATCCAACCGCCTACCCCCAACCGAGAAGTATTCTCGACCGCAGCAACAGCCAGGACGACACAATCGGTCCCCAGCTGCTCAGCTTGCTTGAACGCCTCGTCAAGGCCCAAGAGAAAGCGAGTCAATCTGGAAAGCCCACGTGGATTTTTGAACTCATCGTCCTCGCTATCAACTTCGTAATCGCGTTGTTGAGCTTTTTGAAGAACAGGATCGTGAAATCCGGCTGGCTTCAGTGGATTGCAATCCCCCTCGCCTGGAAGGATGCCGATAAAGACATCAAGGACCTGCAAGACCGGGTCCGAGACTTGGAAGTCAATATCATCGCCAACATACGACAAGACCTCAGCAACGTAGTGAGCCAGGCTAACGCAATTGACAACAGAGTCAATAACCTCAACAACACAGTCACAGGCCTCGATAACACAGTCCGAGGGTTTGGTGACATACGAAAAGACCTCAACAACGTAGTGAGCCAGGCTACCGCAATTGACAACAGAGTCAATAACCTCGATAACACAGTCCAAGGACTTGGTACCATGCGACAAAACCTCAACAACGTCACCAAACAAGCCGCGACAACTGTTACCACAGTCCGAGGGCTCAAAAAAAGGGTTCAAGGGCTCGACGGCAGGGCTACCACACTCGAACAAGGTCTCGAGGACAAGGGTGCAGAGTTCGAGGCTTTACAAAATGAGCTCAAGGGTTTAAAAGCTGAACTCGAGCTTCACAAGGACGAGTCAGGCCTTACGGCCCACCAGGGATTGACAAGATAGGAATGTGGTGTATTCATGAAGAGGTATTTGATATCCCCATCCCCGTTACATTTTCTCTATCTCTTCTCTCCAAAAGCAGCACATCATCTAGATATCGTTCAAGGTATTATCCGAACTTTCGTCTAGGGTATTACCTGGAATTCCATCTGGAATTTTGTCTGCTGAATCGACCCAGTATCTCGGGATAGAGCCCTTGGCAAGAGTCTGGAAACAATTTACTAACTGGATACAGAGATACTAGTGAAGTCCGAGTGAACTTGAGATTTGGTGGCGGTCGTTCAGTTCTGCGAGGAGGCAATTGGGATACGGAATCATCGATAATCCAGCATGGAAAATTGTGTTGCTCATTCTATGTTCTCTTGATTTCCCATCTGCGAGAGAAAAGCTTGTCTACCTGTGATACGGAATCATCGATATTCCAGCATGGAAAATTGTGTTGCTCATTCTATGTTCTCTTGATTTCCCATCTGCGAGGGAAAAGCTTGTCTACCGCATCAAAGCGTTACCATACTCGATCCAGTCCCTACCGTTCCTGCACCGAGAGTTTTCACACCAAAATAGATATTGTGTTTCGTGATCTGACCTTGCAGCGTATGACTCGGGATCGAGCCAAGTGTAGAAACAAGGTGTACCATGCCAAAGTTTGTGGTCAGTTGTCGAAGAGAGACTGGCAGCAGAATGCCGCATCAAACACACTTCTCCGTTCTGTCTCTTAATCCATAGGTACGTGGTCCAACAGGTCGGACACCTTAAACCATGTCCGCCGTGTTCTATGCGCCATCCACCATAAGAAGCATTTATGCCCCACCCCTCTTGCTCGCGGGAAACCAAAACACCAATCCGACTATCCCCGCCCAGACAATGGCATTTTCGAGGATCAAAGGCTCTGAGGACCTGGCTATGACCAGATCCAAAATGAGGACAGAATACTTCGCCATACCTGTTCCTGAATTCTTCTTGTTTCTGAAGCAGGAACGCGGCTGTCAGAGAACCTCCTTCAGGGATTTTGCAGAATGGTAAGGTCCATTCTAATGCAGTGTAAAATCTCGCCTCGCCCTTCGAACACAGGTATTTGGTAAGACGCAACGTTGGAGGGTGGAAACACCAGGGTTTGTTGTACCCGACCAAGTCCTGAAGCGCTGAATCCTTGCACTGGGAGCAGCTTGCAAGGACGATGTTTTCTTGTCCAGGAGATGGCCGCTCGCAGTGGTTGGCGTACACTTCCCCGGCCTTCTTCAAGACGGAGTACGCTGGAACCATCAGGTGAGGACAAAGCCGATAGAACGAATACGAGGCGATGCACCGACGGACTTCTGGAGGCAAATGGCGCTGGTGGGCGGAGAAGGCCATCCTCGTATGGCTGTCCTTACAATGAGAGCAGTACATCTTTTGCCGGAATGGCAAGGTGAGCTCTCTGTATTCTGATGGTAACCTCCTCTGTAAACAAGGGTCGCAGAATGCCTGCAGCTTGGCGCGTTGAGCGACCGTCTCATCGGCTCTGTAACCTGGCCGTGTATCGCCGTTGAAATTGCCGAAATCTCTGCCTTGGTAGATGCGCCAGAAGGTGAAGGATACCTGGCGAAGCATATACAGATCGGGCAATTCTGTAACCTTCATAATTTGTAGCAGGATCTCGTCGGGTAGGCTGATGATGCGACTCTGGCGGCGGTTCCGGTCGAAATTAATCTCCCACGGCGATGACCCGCAGCGTGCAGGTAACGGTTGCTGAGCTTGACAGGGCTGGCGCAAGTCGTTGGCTTCCTTGGTTACAGGCTCTACAGTATCAGATGTGATTATAAGTTGTTGAAGGGGCAAGCTGCTTGACTCCAAAGCCTTCGGCGTGCTCTCCTGGCTAGAATGAGGTGCTTCTGGATTGCCAGGCCGATCCAGGCCGGTTTCTTCGGCCGCAGCGTCGCCCGTGTTGTTGCGCGTGGAAGCGTCCGCCGCCGTCCTGCTTCCGAACAGGGCAAAAAGCCCGCACATGCGGACACCCGGCTTTCTTCTCATGTTAGAAGTTTTCTCGATTGTGTGTCTTCTCCCGGCTGAAGGATAACTGTTGTGTGGACTTTGGCTGCAGGATGAGAAGGATGTTATCTAGAAAGCCAGGAGGATGTTGAAAGCAATGCGTATGTTATGGGGGTTTAAGTACTTTACGTTTCTCGCAGTCTCCGATTGGGTGATTCGAACAACAGGAGGATCTAGAGAGAGCCGCATCCTCAACAGCGTTCATCAGAACCAGCGGATCGTTGAAGCTTAACAACCATGGGCGAGGCACCTGACCCGAGAGACGGCCGCAGCAATGGCTGGGGCACCCTCCATCCGGGTTATTGTCACTGCCTCATCAGTGAACCGCGGTCGGTCTTGCATGAAAGCTGAGGCAGTGTCTGATGCCCTTCTTTGGGGTTGTATGAATCATGGAAACTGGAAAGTCGCCAACTCTAAGCCACGAGAACATCGGTCTGGCCGAATAGCGGGTCGAAGCAAGCATCGGAGATAGGGGGGGATAGCACTCCGGGAACTGTTACTCTGCTTGTATTACTGCTACTGTAGGGACATTGCTCCTGGCTTTGAGCGTTGGGCATCTTGGGTTTCTAGGCGGAGGTTGGGATTCGGGAATCGAGAGCGCGGAAATGGCGAATGAACACGGCCAAAGACTATGCCCGAGAGTGGTTTTGATAAAGAAGGTAATAATAGCAAATAACAGTTATTGAGTCGAGGAGACAGTTTGTTCTTGTTTCTTTGATGAACTCGTCGCTTGCCCTACTCGACCTACTCGTAGCGTTGGACGTTGGTCGTGTGCAGTTCAGCCACACGGCATAACGCTGTTTTGTATATCCGTTGAGACCAATATTGAAACCATCACCGTCAACACTGGTCCCCCCAAATCAACGTCGGCCCTTTGGGTGAACGCTGTCTTCAGCAGGACTTTGGACCATTGGCATTTGGTCCATTACCGTCTTCCACGGCCAGCTGCCCCTTGGTGCATGTGACTTTTCCCAGTCCCTTCACCCCCTCTTCCCCGCCTTCGGGCCGTCTTGCCGGCTTCCGTCACATGTACCAAATCATCCAACATGAACTCAGTAAACACCATCCGTCTGAGATGACAACCCCCGGCTGAACCTCCCTCTCGCCAAAGAGTTCCGGCATCTCCCCCGTTTGAGGCCGTCGAAGTCGCACCCGAACCATGCCGAAAGCCCAAGGACGTCCACCTCTTCACCGTTCCCCCAGCCTCTCGCCGCAACCTTTCCCTGGACAGCATCGAATGATGGAGGGCAGCAAACGTAATCAGATTGGATTTTTTTTCCCCTGCCCGTTAGCACAACTATTCTCGAAGAGGAGACCAAAGCCGAGATCCCCGTAAATCAACCCGGGCCCTGATGATGTACCCCAACTGGACCCGTCGGCCTTGTTCGCCCCTCACATGCGCCAAGGCCTGGCCAAGCTCTTGGGAGTGGGGGGAGAGCCTCAACGCTCATCTCGTCTCGGCCTCTATTTTTCCACGTCTCGTTCCTCGCCGTTGTCGAGTCTTGGCCGTTGGTGCCCTCCCCACCGCCCTGCCCGGGCCGCCCCCGATAGGCAACCAAACGCCCGGGGAAAGGAATGAACAATCAGAGAGAGAGAAAAAAAAGGGGACATCCTGTACCCCGACATGGTGCATATGCAAACGCCCGCTTCCAATTCCAAGAAAAGAAGAGAGGAAAATGAAGGAAAAAAGTCGGCCGGGCCAAGAAAGACGAACTCATCAGACATCCCACTGCGCATGCGGGAAATCAATATTGGAGAGCTACCCCCTTCCCCCCCTGGGCATACGCGACTGCAGCTTCCCAGTCACCATGCCAATGATTCCTCCATGGCACGGGTCAGGTTGGACGTCATGATCTGATGCTCTCTGCTGTTGCCGTTGCCGCTGTACCGCTTGTATAAAGACGGACGAGCGTACGCCCCGGCGAGAGGTGAACCCATGCAGTCGTTGTCTGATCCCGCCTCTTGATCCGCATCAGCCTCGACCCCCCCACGCTCGTCCGTCATGAAGCCCGTCTCCGCCCTTCTGTTCCTCGCCTCGGCCGCCGCCGCCGTCAGCGTCGACGAGCCCCTCGCCGGCCGCACCATCGACTCGTGGATCCGCAACAACAACGAGGCCCAGCGCGCGAGCTGGTACGGCCGCGCGGCGCTCTACACGGGCGTCGAGGCCGTCTACGAGCTCACGCGCAACGAGACCCTGCTCGCCTGGTACCGCTCCGTCATCGACGGCCCCGTCGTCGCCGAGGACGGCTCCATCCCCGGCTTCGACCCGGGCCACTACTCGCTCGACGACTACCGCATCGGCCGCAACATCCTCTACTGGCACCAGCGCACCGGAGGCGGCGGCGGCGCCGCCGAGACCAAGTACCGCGCCGCCGCCGACGCCATCCGCGGCATGCTCGACCGCCACCCGCGCACCCCCTCCGGCGGCTTCTGGCACCGCGACCCCGCCTACAGGAACCAGATGTGGCTCGACGGCATCTACATGGCCGACACCTTCTACGCCCACTACACCTCGCTCTTCGACGCCGCCAACGCCACCGCCTGGGACGACATCGTCCTGCAGTGGGACCTCATCGAGGACGCCGTGCGCGACCCCGAGACCGGCCTGCTCTTCCACGGCTTCGACGAGGGCCGCGAAGCCGTCTGGGCCGACGCCGAGACGGGCGCCTCCCCGCTCGTCTGGAGCCGCGCAGTCGGCTGGTACTTCATGTCCCTGGTCGAGGTCCTCGGCCTCTTCCCCCGCGACCACCCGGGCTACGCGCGCCTCCTCGGCTACTACACCGCCCTCGCCGCCGCCCTCCGGCGCGCCCAGGACCCCGAGTCCCACGGCTGGTGGCTCGTCATGAACGAGCCCTACCCCGGCCGCGAGGGCAACTACTTTGAGAGCTCCGCCGCCGCCATGTTCACCTGGGGCTGGCTCGCCGGCCTGCGCCTCGGCTACCTCGACGAGGCCACCTACCTCGAGCCCGCCACCAAGGCCTACACCCACCTCGTCACCGACTTCATCACAGAGAACGACAACGGCACCGTCACCTTCACCGACACCGTCCAGGTCGGGTCACTGAACAGCGACGCTTCGTTCGAGGTAAGAGAGAGCCTCCCCAATGCACTCAACAGATTCCCCCCCTCGTTGAGCACGATGCTGACCTGCAACCCCATTAGTACTACGTCGGCATCCCTGTCGTTGATGATGACACGCGTGGCGTCGGCCCTTTCCTGCTTGCCGCCTACGAGTGGGAGCTCCGCAACAACATCTCTGCATGAGCATATTTTCGTCGCACTAGGGGGGGACAGGGAAAAAAAAAACAAAAAAGGGAATGGCTTGGCATGTAGTCGTCTATTTTGAGTAGTTGGGGGGGACAAGAAATGCCATGGTGATGATGCAAGGCGCTCGAGAGCGTACCGGACCGGCCCCGTCTCACTTTTTTCTTCTTCACTTGATGTACAAAAGTTCCCGTACCAGGCGATGCAGGCACCAAAAAAGGCGGCGACGAGCGGCGAGCAAAGGTAGAAAAAGAAGCTTCAAATTCCATGAGGTATCACGTATTCTATGTCATGTCCAATATGTACAAGTGGAAGTGAAGACGTCCTCGTAGACAATTCGGGTTAATGAAGGAAGGAGGGGGCTGAAGCAATGGGAAGTCCCAGTTGCGCGCAGTACCCGTCGTACGAGTCTCCAGGTGCCAGGTTCGTGCCCGTCTGGTTCATGAACGAGATTCGGTTGAGAGTGGCGTCATTGGTCTGATACATGGGCCACTGGCCGTTGTAATTGAGGAGGCCGGATTGAGTGTCCTTTGCAAAGGCCGCCCACGCACCGCGCATGTACTCGCCGACGGCGATCTCCTGTTCCGTGCTCTTGACGGCCGTCTGAGGTGCCGTGTCAAATAGGACAGGGAGCTAAGCGATGTCAGTTGACGTGTTCCCAAGCACAAGAAAAGTCTGCCGGTGACGCAAAAGAGAGAGAAAGCCGAGGATGGAACGGGTTGCAAAAAGAAACAAAACAGCTCGACTAACCTCTGATGCATGCCAAGCTCCGCTTGGCGGGTTCGTTGTAACGGCCATATTGGGGAAGTCGCCGAAGTAACGGTACCGCCAGGTCGGTTGACCGGCAGACACCGCTCGTGCAGCCCTTATGGCAGCAGGGCAGGTATAGGCCACGAGGTTAAAGCCGAACCAGTAGGTTTCGTTGACGTTAGGGGCTCCAATCTTAAAAAGACCGGCCTCGTTCTCAGTGTTACCGATGAGGTACCCCGCCTGGGCCGAGTCACGGATAGCGTAATCAGCAAAGATGAGATGGTCATCTACCACGGGCGCAAACGTGAGCCCGGCCGATACAGGGCTGGTGGTGTCGGTCAGGGTGGCAATGAGCTCGGCCGCGTTCTTTTTCGACATGCAGTCCGAGACATTCTTGGGGTTGGTCGAGGCACTACCGCAACCGACCATCGAGGAGATTTGGAACCATTTCTGATTGACTGTCTCGTTGGTGAAGAGGCCGAATCCATTGGCGACGCCGCTCATGGGGATGAAGCCGTTGGCGATAGGGTCGGACGCGTATGCATACGAGTAGTAGTCGACCATAGATCCCCCGGCAGACTGGCCAAACATGGTGATCCTCTTGGCGTCGCCGCCAAATTGTTCCACGTTATCGCGAATCCATTGCATGGCCATGCGGATATCGAGAAGCCCGAGGTTGGGGGCGGAGATGGGGTTGCCCGGAAAGCCGAAGATGTTGAGGCGGTAGCTTCAAGGTTAAGCTGCGTCAGCATAATCGCTTTTTTATTTTTAATTCCTCAAAAAGAAGAGAAAGAGCAGTCTGGCGGAAACTCACTTCATGGACACCACCACGACGTCCTCTTGATCCGCGATGAACTTTCCATTGTATGCTGGGATTCGGGAGCTTCCTACACCCCGAGTCAGCACGCTGAAGATAGGCTTTCCGACTTTTGTTCGGACGGTTGCATAGCATCTTACCTGTGACAAAAGCGCCGCCGTGGACCCAGACCAGCACAGCCTTTTGCGTATCCCCCGTCTGTGGCTTGGTCCACACGTTCAGCGTTAGACAATCCTCGCTCTGGGAGCCCGTGTCCTCGAGCACTTTGGTCACGGCAGCGGCAGAGGCCGGGATTCCCAGTTGCATGATGGTCTCAAGACTGATGGGTGGGCTAGATGTGGGTTGCATGCACTGGTGTCCCTGATGAAATGTTTGTTAGTTTCCACACAGAAAATGATTCATGAAGTGGAGGGAAAACTATGGAGAGATTACTTACGAATGCTGACCCATTGATCGGGGCGGAGGAGGAGACGTCATAAGTGGCTGAGGGTTGGAAGCGCAACGCTCCAACAGGCGGCTGAGCATACGGAATGCCCAAATATTCTGACACCTGACAACAAGAATGGTTAGCAAACCCCGTCATCGCGGCTATAATATTCCCAGTGCGTACCTGATCTGCGCCGGAGGCGGCGTGCCCGTCGACTCGGCCGCTCGTGGTCATGACCGGCTGGCCGACAGTCCAGTAACGTGGGCTGGAGGGGCCGGCGGCAACGACACACGAGGCAGTAACCACGACCCTCAGGACGTTGGGGAAGCTGCCGTGGACTCTCATGACGATGAGGATGCCGCTCAACTGGTAATACCAAAGACCTGGGATAGGGTGGGTGAGACGACAGAAGACCGGAAACGGGATCGGAAACGGGACCGGTTGGTCTTAAGGCTGCGGGTAGATGGGATATAAGAGGAACGCCGTGATGTGGTAGGCCTCGCAACCTCGAAGGTGGCCTTGACCCCGTCCTTTATGTCTGCCAACGAACTTTGCTGATACCATAGTAGCTCAAGCTCGGGGAGGGGCTGATCCATGAGTCCATGACTTCCCGGACGGTTCCTGTAATACGCGATGTCTCCAGCCATCATCCCATCGGCATGGCGGGGGTCTCGGATAGCTAGCCCGCGTCGGGACAGGCTCTGCTGAAGGCTAGGCTGGTCTTGCGCGACCCATCCACCGGGATGGCGCAGGGGACCCTGCTCCCATGTTGCCGGACAGAGGAGCAAGTGGCAGGCTTGCTCATGAAATCACCCTACCCAAAGCTGCTGTGCACTGGGTATGGAGAAGAGCCTCATCATTTGGCAATCATAACGGCCGGTGGATCACCTCGCAAGCGTGTCCGAATCGGGGACGCGATTTTGGGTCTAAATTAGCTCATAGCAATGACTTACAACGAGTCCACATGCGGGGCCTTTCTTATTTTCTTTTCCCGCTCCTTGCTTTTCGCTAAACTGCAGCTATCGATTGATTGCAGCTTGGGTGACAGCGGAATATGCATCTAGAAAGCAACATAGGTAGTGCTCAACAGCTTAATCGGCAGTGTGCAATGCAGTGCGACGCTTGAGGGCGCACTTGGAATGTGCGCAACAACGGTGAACCCAGCACGCAACCAAGAATAAATATCGAGCAGGGTCGCTGACTGGATAAACGCGGGCGGGGTCATCACTTGCTGTGGTGTAATTAAGGTATGATGCTTGCAGTCTTGGACCCTCCTCTGGCGTCTTGGAGAACCACCTCTTGCAGTCCATCGAGAAGGAAGTGGCGTATCGGTACCATTCCACGGACGGGGTGCGTCGCGAATGAGGAGAAGAACCGGCCTTCTTTGACAGCAGGTGCGTTCAGGCGAAAGAGATGATCGCCGCGGCTATTGTCCAGAAGTGCCGATGGTGGTCTGGGGTACGAGGCCCAAAGAGTTGACGCCTCTTGGTTTTGCTGGGAAAGCTAGAACAGGTAGCATGAGGCCGTTTTGACCTTTTCCCCCTTGTCTTTCGAGTGTCAATGCACCGGCACGGCACACTTGGAAGCACTGTAATAACCGCACATGTGCGTTGACAGCGAGAAGGAGGGTAAAATACTTTGCTTCAGCACCACCGAGATCTTCGGTCCTTGCCTCGGTGTCGTTGCAATGGCCCAGCCCAAGCTGTCCTGTTGAATCGAACTTAGCCCTGGATCGGACGAGGTTTTGCGCAGCACAGCGTATGCACCGAGGTTCGTCATAGTCAACACGTAGTCTAGAGATTGATGTTGCGCTGGCTAGCACAACTTGTCGAAGCTTCGGCAGCTCCCGCATACATAGAAGCAGCCAAAGGCAAGGTGCCCCAGGTCAGCCTAACCGCTAGGTGCAGAAAGCTCCCTCCGCCAATCTCTCGGACGCCGTCGAAGCCAGGGAGAGCCTCGATCGAGAACGGGAGCCCACCCACCCCACTTGGTATGGACGCTTGGACGGTGTAGGCAGCGCGCGAAGTCCTTCGGATGCATGACGGCAGAGACCCGTAGACTTTGGACAGTAATAGTAGCTTCCGCAGTATTTGAGGGGATTCAGCATAGGGTGGGAAAAGATGTATGGCTGGCCGTATACGTGGCGCGCCGTTGAGATCAGAAGATAAGTCGTTTAGGCTAGTTAGGGGCCGTGAGTTGTACGCATCCCGTTGACGGCGCCTTGACCCGCGGTCACATTTAATTGGAACGGGTGCCAACCAACATATCTGAGTTGTTGTCGTCGTCGTTGTCGCCGCCGCCGACAAGCAATAGGAGCGACGGTGCAACAAGGCGCGCCTTGGCCATCGGCAATTGGTCTCAATGGGTGGGTGCTCGGGTGACGACAGCGGACCATCAACCATGGTATTGGGAAGCTGCGCAAGGGATATTCGAGCTTGAGGACCAGGTCATTGAATTGTGGCTTGCGTGAATCATTGATTAGGAGATTGAAAGAGGGAGAAAGGGAAAAAAAAAGAAGGAACCCCCCCCCCCCCCCCGCGTAGAGGAACGTTGATTGAACGCCCCCCAGCAACCAAACGAGATAGAGAGATACACTGCATCGGTGCATCCCGGGGGAGGAGGCATTTTACCCCAGTCGGACGCGGCCCATCGGCCGTTGGCAGATTCGCAACTTTGTCTTGGAAAGGGTTAGCACGATTGCGGGGCGATGGGACATCGACGTTGGCGTGGCTTACCACGTATATCCGCATCTGTCTGTACCCGTACAGTACTACAGGTACATCGTACGTACATCTGAGTTACTTCAAGGGTCGAGGGAGAGAGTCAAGACGCGACTGCTGCATCGACGCCGATCAATTAAAGTGGCAGAAGGGAGAATCGTCCGTTTCGCTGCTGACGCCGTCCACGTATCACAAGTGGGCCTTAGGTCTCCTGCTTCTTCCGCTAAGCGAGAGCGTCACGGGGTTTAGGTGCCTGGTGTCACGGCTCGGCGTGGCAGGCGCGGCAAGCAGCACTTTCCACGTCTAGATCTTATCAAATCCCTCTTGTTTTGCCTAACCGTGCGGTTCTGTCCCGTTCCATTTCATTCATCCCCCTCACGAGGCTGACTCTTTGGGGGATCAACTTGAGCACAGCTGCGCTGTACATTTCACGCGGGAACAGCGCAGGCTAGGTACGCAACGAGTGCCTGGTTTTGATCACGGCTCGTTGTCGCCACAAGAACTCATGGCTGGGAGCACAAAAAACGTCATTCTCGTGGCCATCAACATGGATTAACATTAACCATAACCGTGATCCCTGACTAATTCTTCAGCAGCCCAGCGACATGGTTTAGATTGGTGCAAATCCATTGCTTCTTCCGCTTCGGCTCTCTCTTCCTTAGCTATTGGCCGGGTGGCCCAATTTCCCCTATCTCTCGTCATCGAAAGAAGCCTCGGCTTTCGAGGCTTCACGAAGTCGATGACCAAGCGGCCTGACATCTTGTCCGATGCCGACAATCCTGAGAACAGACCCAAAGCGAATATGAAGGATAACAGGATTGGAGACGCTGCCCAGGCCGTGTCCAGTCGTGCGTAGCTGGCTGGCAGCGTCTCAACCCGACGTGGCCTCTGCGTGGAGAAAGGTGGTTGAGGAGATGGTCCCTCGCCGTCAAGGAGAGCCCTCTGTCGGCACTTGGGTCTCCTCGCACCGTAAGCGTCTAGTGGCTCTTCTTGTCGTTCTCCTTCTCCTTCTTCAGGGCGGCGACAATGCTGTCGAACCTCCTGAAGCCGCACACGCCCTCGAAGAACAGACTCCCGATCCACGTCCACCAGAGACCCGTGCCGAACTCGATCCCGTGCCTCGAGAGCCTCGTCCTGTGGAACCAGAAGCACTCGGTCAGGTGAATGGCCAACACGAACGGGAAGATGGCCTTGACCAGCCACCGGTAAAACATGGGCCCGCCCGGGAAGACGGCCTGGAGGAAGGACCAGATGGGCGCTCCCGGCAGAACAAACCCGAGCGTGAGCCAGCAGACAAAGTAAAACGAAACGGCCCCAAACACGACGACATCAAAGCCCTGCGGCGGCGCAAAGTACCCAACGACGATGTCGCTGTCCCCCAGCGCCTGCCGCGCTACGCGCTCCAGCTCGACGACGGCGGGGCGCACATCGGACCACGACTGGAGAGCGGGCTGGAAGGCGACGTGGAACTCCTGGCCGCCGAGCCCGCCCGCTGCAATCGTCATGCCCTCGAGCGTGACATCCTTGAGCCACGGCGCCGTCGCGGCGGAGCGGCTGAGGCCGGCGTAGTGGCGTAGGTAGAGGGAGAGCTCCCGCTTGTGGTCGCGGTTCATGTGCGCCATAATGCGCTCGCGGGGCGGCAGGGCCGTGGCGTCAGGAGCTGCCCCAGTAGGAGCGGCTGCGGCAACGTCGACCTGTCGTGTCATTGTTTGCGTTTCTGATTGGGGGTCCAGTTTGAGGAACGGAATAAGGCGCGATGGGCGGGGTGAGAGGGAATGCGAATTCTCCCGACTGGATGCCACCGGGTTCCTAGATTCTGCGTCGCCCCGACGGTAAGATCAAAGAAATGTTTCGAGAAAAGCTGAAGAGCGGTGCGATTCGATGTGCGCGCGTGATTGTGTGCGGACGTGTGGGCGTGCGGGAGAGGACGGAGAGAAGAGAAGTGAAGATTTGGTAGGAAAGGGGGGTTTGAAGTGAGAGAGGGTCAGTGAGGTTGGTTTGGTTTGGTTGGTTGAAGCGGTAAGTAAAGACCTTTCTTTGAGAAGCAGCACATTGAAACATGGGAACCAACGAGTGGCCCGTGCGACCCTTGCCCTTCTTTCTATTCCAGCCTGGATCCCGTTTCGTGTTTGACTTGTGCCAGAAAAGCGCATCGGCTTCCCCCACGGACGATGCAGCGCGTTTTCGTTTTCGGCTCATCGAGAGATCTTGCATATCTCTCTGCATACCTAGGTCGATCAAGGGCCGGCGATTGAACGAACAGCTCCAGAGGTCCGACGGCCTGGAGAGAACGATACACTCTCGTTGCGGTGCTGATGCGAGAAAGCGCGAGGTCCGTTCCGCCATGAACCTCCCCAAACATTAACTCACCTGCTATAGACCGTTTCGTCTGAACGACTGCTCTCTGGTTGCAAGACGCATCAACAAAGACGTGTGTAACAGATGCTATGACACGTCGTGGCGCCCCGAGCTTACCGCGGGCCGTATGCCCTATGGGAATCCAACGTGCGACAGGCTGCTCGCGGCCGGTGCTTTGAGCAGCCTAAGAACGGTGCCCGAGCGGCATCAGCCGCGCCTCGGGGACCACAGCCGACCCGGACCTAGGGCACCTCGACGACCGGCCCGGGCTTTTCGGGCAGCGTTTGGGTGGGGCCAGGATGGCGGGGCACCGCGGGGTAAACCGTGTGTCAAGCGCCGGCCCGGTTCCGGCGCCAGTCTCGACACTTAGTTTTCACGCATAATAGCCACGCTGCCAGCCCACCAGACTCGGTCTCTCGGTCTGGATTGTTGACTTTCAAGGCTGCCTTGGCTTCAAACCACCTACGATACGACCACGCGCATCATCCCTTCCCTGAAAGTCATGACGGACAAGCGGCGGGTGCTCCTCGTTGGCGCCGGCGGCATCGGCGCAATAGCCGCCCTCAATCTCGAGCGCGGGGGCTCGGCCGAGGTGGCCGCCGTGCTCCGTTCCAACTACGACGTTGTGGGTCGCAAAGGCTTCTCGATAACGTCCTGCGACCACGGCAGCTTGGAGAACTGGCGGCCCAGTCAAGGTCAGTCTGCTGCCCCTGCCCGCAACGTCAATTCGAGTCGCCCGAAGCTGACACGCCTGCAAAGTCCTGAACGCCGTCCCGACCATCTCGGACTCGAGCCCCGCTGGACGATACGACTACGTCGTCTGCTGCACCAAGAACATCCCCGATGCCGGCCCGAGCCTTCCCGACATCATTGCCCCAGCCGTGTCTCCCGGCCACACCGTCATCGTCTTGATCCAAAACGGCCTCAACATCCAGCGACCCTTCTTCAGCCGGTTCCCCTCAAACATTGTCCTCTCGGGCGTGAGCCGCATCGACGCCCACGAAGTCTCTCCGGGCGTCGTCGAACAAAAGCAGCACGACCTGCTGCACATCGGCGCCTTCCGAAGCCCCGGGCTCGACGAAGAGCAGCAACACGAAGCCGCGCGGCAGTTTGTCAACATCTACAGCGCGGCAGGGGTGGCCACGTGCCTGCACAGGCCGGACGTCGACTTTGATCGATGGAGCAAGCTGGTCTACAACGCCTCCTTCAACCCGATCTGCGCCCTGACGGGCTTGAATGCCAGCGAGCTGCAGATGACGGGCAGGGCGATGGGCTCGATGGTCGTCCCGGCCATGAGGGAGGTTCTCGCAGTGGCGGCAGCTGCAGGCCACGACATTTCTGAAGACGTCATAGAGAAGACCATCAGCCTCAACCCCGTCGAGGACAACATCAAGCCCAGTATGCAAGTCGACTTTGAGAAGGTGGGTCTTGCCTCGGCCCGTGTTCAATGGTCTATGTGACTGGGGAGCGGTGCTGACACGTTGCAGGGGAACTTGATTGAGCACGAGAACATTCTCGGTGAAGTCGTCCGCGAAGCCCAGAAACACGGGATAGCCACGCCAATCTTGGGCGTTCTGTACGAGATCTGTTGTGCCCACCAGTGGAGATTCAAGAAGGCCAAGGGCTTGGTATGATGAGTCTCGTTGCTGTCCTATAGGAGACTCGACATCCCATGCAGATACGACGGATACTATCGCTGTCCGAGTTTGCTACCTGCTGATGATAGATTCCCTCTTGCGCTTCCATAAAGACACAGGATGCTTACTTATCTTGCTTCGACTAACGGATTCGTTCGGTGTTGAGTAGCCATCACCGCGGTACTCCTGGTAGCAAGTGGTAGACGTTAAAGCGTAAGGTCAACTGCGAGTCATACTCATATCTTTGGGTTGACCTACTGCCGATTACCGAGATATAAGACCTTGCCTCGCGAGTATATTACTCATCTATTCAATATCCTAGGCTTGGTGTTCTCTAGATACACGTACGGGGCAAGTCGAGAGGTATCTAGATGTGGAAGCGGTGACGGGATGAATGTGCAATGCTATTAGGTATACAATTCTCTTCACCCAAGGAAATTCGTCTGTAGTCACATCGTTGACACCAGCCACTGAAATGTCCCGCGTCTTTTTCGCCTCCCCCGTAGGAACGGCAAGATCATGTTGATCCACCCTTTTGTCTAAAATTCATTCGGAAATCCTCCTCCCAAACGTCGTTGCCCACATCTCGGCGACACTTTGGACCGATAATCCACAAGACTTCGTCCGAACCTCGTTCCCCAAGACCTAAGATCTACGATCACACATCTCGACAGACGCAGACGGGATGGTTCAACAGTTTCAGAAGCGTTTACCAGAGACGTCAAGTCCTCCCGAGTCAACAATAAGGCTTCGATAGGGGGAAACATCAGATACCCGTTCGGCATTGGCCCTCGCCCGAGCTCCGACACGATGGCTGGGTTGGCAATGAGGTCTACGAGGCGGCCTTATTACGCGACGGCTCGGACTCTCTGCGTTCTCGTGAAAGGAAATGACGAGCTTTCATGATTCGCAAAAGAGCCGCCTAGGTGTGCTCCGGGCGGCCGGAAGACTATCACTTGGGAAGACTATCACTTGGGAAGACTATCACTTGAGAAAACAAGCAATCGGGCGGCTATTCAGCGCAATACCTCCGGCAAACGGCTAGCCAACGAGCGTAAGATGATCATTCCTCGCCCTTGATGATAATCCAACTTTTATATCCAGATCTAGCGCCAACCTGACGGTAGTTATCAACACACGGGGCGAGCTGCGTCAGATGCCAGCAAGCTTCAGATGAGACACCAAATAAGCCTCCTGGAGGCAAATGTGGACGTTGGTCCCCTGCCATGCATTCTTCCCCGCGTGCCTGTCTTGTCTCCGCTTTCGGGCCGGGAAGCATTGTACCATTGGACTGGGGTGGCGGTGACGGCAGCAAGAATGGTCTCTACCTTTCCGATGCAACAACCCAAGGGTGTGTGCTGCGCTCCCCGCCAGGCACAGGCTGGCTACCTGCGCTACGGGGACTTGAAGAAATTAGCCTGCATTTCGGACAGGCTTTTGCCGGCTCCGTAACCTCACGGCCGCGCCACCTCAGAAGACATCAGATGGATATGTGCAATGGCAAGCCCGCTTGGAACTGATCGGCGATGCGACCTCGCCCATCCGGAATTCAGACGGCGGGCAACCCTGGCGGACCTCTTGCGACCAAGCAGGATACGACCTCGTCCCTACCTGCTGTTTAAAAAGCCCCGAGCACGACGAGGCCGGACCCTCGTTTGACAGGTGCGTGCGGACGGTGTGCTGATTGATTGGGTCAGACTTGCGACCTGGAAATCGACGATAGAGTCGCTTCTTGAGGCGGTGTCGATCTTCATCCTGCATCTTACCGGCCAGGCTTTTGCTTGATGCAAAGACTTGAATTAGATCCTTCGAGGTAAGATGCGGTGGTGCTCCAATGCGGAAGAAAAGAAAAAAATAAGATTGCTCCGGCAATGCCACGGTTGTTTCTTATCACAGATGTAAGCCCAACGCCGCCCAATGCAGTGGTATCACCGTTCCTTTCCCCAACGCCCATTTCCTGTCCCCCCCCCCCTTTTGATCCAAGTGTCCCGCAATGCGCCCATCTTCATCCGATTCTCAGCTTGGCCCTCAGTCCAGCTTCCTCTGGCTCTCGGTATCGCGGGGACGGTCTGATGGCACCGAGTCATGCGTCCTCGAAAGAGGCTTTACGTCGACCTCGCCCGTGTCTCCAAACGTAGTGGTGGTGCGCACATGAATGCCCAACTCCATCGAGCCCCTGCGCCGCGATGACTCCACATCCCCAAACCTTATTTGTGTGCGCACCTCGCCAAACATCTTGTCACCCAGCTCCAGGTCGCTTTCGTTCGGCTTCGGGCTGGTCGCCCGTTGCGAGAAGAACCTGCTGCTCCTCTTCCCAATCCCGGTGGCCGCGGCCGTGTGGTCGAAGGGCCCCTTGTTCCGGTGGCCGCGGCTGCCGATGGACTTGACGCGCTGCCCAAGGCGGGACGAGGCGTTGGACGGCTTCTTGGGTGCCGAGACCCCCAGGGAGGCTATGGTGGTGAACAACCTCGGCATGGTGCGTTTGAGGAGGATCCGCATGGTGGGAAGACACACAACGATCATTGACACGGACACCTCGACGCCCGACCATATGAGAGGGTCTGTGAAGTCCCACGTCGGGTTCAACGACCGCGTGAACAAAGTGATGTACCTCAACCGCACGCACGATGTGACGAGGATAAAAATCCCCAAGCTGAACATGATGAAAATGCCGATTTTGGAGCGCAGACCCATGTTGAGATGCCACAGCAGCGGGATCGGGAGGAAGAGGATGATAACGTCGTGGCTGATGCTAAGCCCGCCCGCCACGAACGCCAGCACGTTGATGTTGAGGCAGTGGTGCGGGCCGAAGTCGCCTTTCCAACCGTCCCAGTTGTACGAGAACGGTATGCATTGAAATATCTGCAAGAAGAGAAGGATCGTGGTGGATAAGCCGATGTAGGACATGGTCGCGTAAGTGGCGTATCGGAACGACTTGTTCGGGAATATTCGTAGGTAGAAGAAGAGAACTGAAATCTTGGTGAGACCCAGGCAGGTAAGGTATAAGCTCTCGTCGATGAAGAAGATCTAGACATCCATTCAGCATGAAAGGACCAGCACGACAACCGTGTCGTTTCTCACCTTGAGCCCGAATGTGAGCTTGTCCGGCTTGACCATCCAGATATCTTCTCCAAATGCAACCCAGCCGGCTTGAGTTCTTGTCAGTGACCAAACGAGATGAAGCAGAGCGACGGTTCAACATACCCAGCTGACCAAAAAAGACAAATACAATGAAAACGAGCTATCGCCTGTCAGATTGCGAGTCCGTACTCCCATGCACGTCTCACGTACCGCGCAAAAGGTGACGATCCAGTCGTCGGTCTCGATTCGATGCACAGTGGTCCAGCGAGCATATAACCGAAGCGGTACCATGAGCAGTCCGATGACTTGTATAACGATGGGTGCCAGTATTTCGACCTTTCGGTTGCGGATTGGTCGTTTGCATGCGTCGGCCTCTAACCTTGCCACATCTAGAAAGCCGTTGGTCTATCAGTCACCACAGTGGCCTGTCGACTATTGGCGTACCTATTGCATCCATCCTCTCGCACCGCTCAAAAAGGCACGTTTCCACGCTCGCTCTCAGTTTTTCGTCGCTACATATGCATGTATCGTTCGTCACGACTTTGCACGCCGAAAGTGGTATATGTTCCAGAGTACATGTAAGCTAGGTGAATGCAACCGAGTTAGCAAAGTGTTCTGTGATGTTCTTACGCGTCTCCTCGATGGAAGCAACTCACTCCGCACTCAGGTAGCTTGCCTGCGTAATCTAAGAGAGAACCATATGAAGCCCCGAAAAACGCGACCATGAGGCCGATCAGTCGCAGCCGCCTCATACTGCCAAGATAGCGTCAGCCGATATAGATGATATCCGAAGGGTTGGCAAGATGAGGAAATAAGTGAAAAGGCAGATTGAGGTTCGCCGCCGCCGAGACGAATGTCATGTTTAAACGTTTTACACAGACGCTTCCCATGCTTCCTCCAAGCGTGGGAAACCATCTGAAATATAAGGAACAAGCTTCAATCCGGATCAAAGTCTCCAAGGGGACCGCGCGAGTGCAAGCTCTAGTTAGTCATCTAGTATAACGTGGGGGGCCTCGCTGCGAACCGCTGACTAGTAGCAAGCACCCAACCCTGACAGCTTCGACCTAGGACCAGATGGCTCAAGAGCGTACAGCGGGTAACGGGATTCATCAACAGCGGCCCGGAGTACGAAACCGGAGTTACCCAGGTCTGCCTCTGCATGTAGGAGCTAAGGCGTGTGTCATTCTGGGATCAGGGGTCTTTGCCGTCAAGGCTGCGAAGACGTCCATGATTTTAACAGGTTCAACTGATCAACCATAAACCTGGCGATGGGCTTCTGTCGATAGAACAGACAACTGAACCCTCAGGGCAGAGCGGATTCTGTGTCGGGGTTCCACGAGCCCATGAGGCTTTCTGGTCAGAACGGTTTCCTGCATATCCTGTGGCACCGGAGCGAGGGGGGGTTAATCGGCTTCCTGGACTCATCGTCGCCCATTTCGTGTGCCTCCATGAGGCACTGACGAGCTATATTGCACAAAATTGAAGAGCGCTTGGCAAGTATGCGGATAGCCCCATCACCACTCCGATCGCCACACCATCCGTCGATGCTTTATGAGGGTTAATTGGCTGCGCTTTGGAGATTGGCCAAGATTTCGTTTGCCTTTGACGGGGCGCGCGAAATTTCTTGCGTAGTTTCATCCGATTTACGGGCGACACAAGTAAGACACAGGCAGTATAGCGAGCTGATGTGTGTGGATGATGTCAATCTTGCCCGGCTTCCCTCGCATCTACATGCGTATTAGCTACCGATCTCCGAATTTCGTGCATCTTGGCGTGGTGATGACCGAGGACCGTGCCGGGTCTTGGACGAAAATGCTCTCGCTATACAGAGCCGATCCATGCAAGACATTCGTCTCTTACTCAGGGAAACTTTGGGGCCGAGGCGAGCGCTACTAGCAGTTGAGATCGATTCTAATAGCCATCAGGAATACCAAGTAGCACTTATAGGCTCACTAGACTATCCGCGTGTGTGTGACGAGAGGCCTGGTATCACGATGGGATGTTGGACATGAAACAGTGGTACAATACCCGTTTTTGACTGACTCAAAAAGACAACATAGCCTGTCAAACTGGAGTGCGTCAGCGTTCCCTGGATGCTCAAAGGTTTCCCTCTTGGGGAGGGGACGGCTGTCCTCCAAAGCCCTCCCGTTCCGTACCTGGCGGTTACCTACATGTTCTCTCCGTTCGCTAGAATCCGGTGTTGCGGAGAAACCCAATCCCACGTGCTCGTCGCACCCGGTTGTGAACTTGTGACGTGGATTGTCCTACGCTGGAGGTTCATCAGGCGGCAGCGACGGCGAAGACTGAAGAGCGAGGTGGCTAGGAGGGGGACATTGCCTACAGACAGATGCCTTGAAGCCTGTAGTTCAGGGCCAAAACATCAATGTCAAAGAAGATTCATGTCAGAGAAGAAGGGCCTTCTGGAAGGGCTTGTGTGCTTTTAGAGAATGGAACCTGGGATATTCCGTGGCGCTAATATGCGGGCGCGTCAAATGTTTTGTTCTAGTCGCCTTGATGTCGGACGAAACGAAGTTCTCGAGCACGGTTTCCAGTGAGTCCACTCGCGACAACCATTCAAGCCAGCGGATCTCAAGCGTGATCATAAGATCAGTGGTTCAAAATTTTGGTCCGATTCGTTAGGCTATGCTTTGCTGGGGTCGGCGATGGCGGTATGTCACTCTTTAGGTAAAGAGCCATGTTTCCCTCCACACGCTGACTGCGTTGAATCGTCGAAAGCCTCTGTTTCGACGCCGCTTGGATATCTAATGATCTGTATTTCGGGTGAAACCATGGCATATAGCTCGTCGTGGATCGAGTAGATGGGAGTTGCCGTCATGTGCATTCCTGGTTAGCTGATGCCATATACACTTCATATCTCTCCAGATCCGAACAAATCGACCAGCTTGTTCTACGAAAGGCCGTTCCCTCTCTATTGATCTATTATTTTGCCAGGGCACGCTAGTGCTCATAACATGGCAGGCGCGGCTTGGGAGCCAGAAGAAACCCTGTTATTTAGAGCCTCAAGGCGGATGTTGCGATGAAGTCCGCGGTAAAGGCTTCAATGCTGCGGCCCATGTCTAAGCTCCCGAAGAGACCCAATTGGCCCGTTGAGCCTTATCCAAGTTAGGACAAAAGTTTCAAGCCTGGGCTGGTTCCTGCTTCTGCCTGGGCCAGTGTGAACCGAGCAATCCGAGAAGAAAATCTGCCTGAGTCTGCCTGGGCATCCGCTCGAGGGGGCAACTTAATTATGACCAAGCCAGGCGAGTTTTCCGGCCATAGATATTGATCCAGTCACAGGAGTCTAAGTTGGCTCGCTATGACAAAGTTGATGGAGCCCAGGCACAAGTAGACGCCGAGAATGGGCGAAATATGGATCCCGAGTCTTTCAGAATTACTTGTGCCGTTATGGATCCGCTGCTGATCTAGGCAGATCACCCGTAGCGCCAAGAAATAAACTCTCTATGAGGGACGTTTTGTTGTCAGGAGAACCGGCAATTGAGGTCAGAGGTCTGGAGGTCCTCCACAAGTAGCTTAGTGGGTTTATGTTGGAGGGAAAAGCCTAATGAGGCAGCCATATTTATCGAATGCATGTCTGACCACACTGAGGAGAGGCCGGGCCGTCATGATGCTGCGAGTGAGCGAGAATCCTGGCCAACGGAACCCTCGGGGGTCGTCGTGGTGCCCTCGTCGAGCTCACCTGTCTAATCAATCCTTCTAGACAGGCTTTGGAATGTACCGAGGCTGGAAGTTGGCGTCGTAGAGAGTACCGCTTCCATCGTAGGGTGTCGGCTCTTCATGATAAACCCATTGTAGGCGGACGTGGTCCAAAATTGGAAATCCGCTGGATCCGTTGAGGGCAAGGTTGGGGGGCGGGTAAGGGCGGAATCGGCTCGTATCGTTGTTGAGCGCCCCAAAATAAGATTCCGAGTTGTTCACAGAAGCCATGTTGGGCGGATCTCTATTCGGGGCGATGATTTGGCTGCCAAGATCCTGTACGAATTTGAAAATGTTGGCACCCACGTCGTATCGGCCCAGATTCGGCAACTCCCAGTTGTACTCGACTGTCGATAGCATCGAATAATGGGTGTAGAACGTCTTGTCCTCTGTCCCCTTCAACGAATTGGGTATCGCACTGCCGAGTAATAATGACACAATCTGGTTTGGCTTCTCGTGGTCTTCAGATTCGTCGTACGTCAGGTGGATTAGCGTGCGCTCTTTAAAGACGCCTTGCGGCAGCATGGGCATCAGAAAGTCGTGCGCCCACTTCGTGGCATACTCCAGGGATGTATTGTGGCCATCGTTCATCATGTTGGGGGACATGAATGCCCACTGGGGCACTTGCTTCTTCTCGAAGTCGGCCTTCCAATCATCGAAACCCACGATTTTCAGCAGCCGGCTACCGTTAAGATTTATGGAGTCGAACGATACGAATGGACTGCTCGATCGTTAGCATCCGCAGACCCAGCAACGCCCACGGGGCAACGAACTTGTGTTGTCGAACGTAGTCCCACTTGCCATCACCAGTCTGACCGTCGCTGGCCGCGGCCATGTATCCCGGGCCAGGTATGTCCTCCATGTATGCTTTCCATGGCAGTCCACGCCAGTCGAGAAGATCCACGATGGTGGACACGTTGAGTGGCAATCGCACCCGGTCGTTGTGGTTCATGCCAAAGTAATCTCCGGCGAGTGCCGCGATGTAGTTGGCCTGACTTGGGTGGGTATGCGCATAGTAGTTGGAGAGCAAAATCCCCTCCTTCTTCAGATCGGCAATTGAGGAATCCTTGACGGCTTTGACAAAGTCCTGTTTGAACAAGCAATGCCAGTCAGTGAGGAGAGTTGCTCACTGGGCGATGTGTGCTCACATACCTGATTTTCCAGCCAGATGGAGATGTAGCGATCGAAAGCTCTGCCGCCAATGTGAGTGGCTCCGACAATCGCCAGCGATCCGGCCAGAGAAATGAAAGAAAGACGCATTGCAGCCGGACGAGCACGTTATGGCGCTGCAGTCGTCAAGTGACGATCTCGAGAAGCAAGAGTGTGGTGAAGTGTTTGTTTATCCCGGCGTAAAAGCCACGGTTTCTCGCGACGGAAATGCTCCAAGACATTCTAGCCCCACGGACTCGCAGCTACCCCGGGTGCGTCTCAGCATGCTACAGCACACTGGGGGTCCTTGGTGGCCCTGTGCCGCGTAGCTTGTAATCATCCCGTGCGGTGTTTGATGTCGATCTCCTTGAAACGCCGCGACGCCTCATTGTGGCACAGTAACTCGCGTCGGCCCGCCCATGCACACACACCACTTTTCGGAGAGATGATCAACGGTGGCAGGGATGTCTAGATCTGATAAAGACTCTGGTGGGTTGAAGAAAACTTGACAAGGCGATGATCGGAAGCCTCTGTGGCGTCCTCAAGAAACCTTCTGTGACTGGTGTGGGGGGAGGGGTTCGCGTCATTGGAGCTGGGAAGTGGATCCATTCTGCAAGGAAAGATGAATGGCCTCGAATTGATGCTCCTGGCCCGAATGAATGGCTGAAGCCTTTGTCCTATGTCTTGGGCTGAAGAGGTTGGGGCTGTAAGCTCGAGTGGACATAAAACCACTCACCCTACTCCTCGTGGCCTGTTGGGAGCGTGGCATTTCGGAGTTGATCAGCTCATCCGCCGTGTCAATTGTCCAGAAACGGTGTCGACGCAAGTCAAGAAAGAGGGATAAACAATATGCATTGACGGAGACGGACCCATTTCGAAGTGGCCTGCTCGGTCGGCAGAGCTAGTCTCAGTCAGCGTGGCACAGCTCTTGACGAATTGCGTGGCCTGCCAGGACGGATCGAGCAAGCAATCCTGGACTAGAGTAACGGCTTTTGGAGATGTCACGAGTATGACTCCAATAGCAGCTCGTGCAGCATTGACGAGTCGACTACCACTCAGTGGCCGTACACTAGTAATGTGCTTGCATGCTTTAAAGAGAGCCATCCACCGGTGCCGGACTGGATTGCTCTGTCCAGCCCAACGAGGCGCATTCTCGTCGTGTCGTCGCGTGCTCATGGTCGGACCCTTTATGATAGTAGGGTCCTTCTTCAAGGCTGACGACGGGAATGGTTGTGGGTGGTCGTAGATGATGGTAGACAGAGGGCTTGCTCGTCATAGTGGAGCTGACTGGAACCGCGAGTCCCGCATCGGCGTATCCCATGCATGCATTTCCTGACCTTTTGTGGGAGTCAGGCTTGTGGGCTATACGGATAAAGCGACTGAAAAAAATTATCTGATCTAAATCCCTGTAGTGTGTGAGTCAAGAATGGGAACATTTGGGAGGGGAAGACCCGATCTAATCTTATCAGATGCCCCACAATACTTACCTCTACCTATTCCAAGAGACTTAAAGTGGATCGCCACCACTCGGGATAGCTCGGCGATGACACCTCGGCGCTCGGATTTACCATGATTAAATAATCCACTTCCCTGTGTCTTAACGCATGCAGCGCGATCCGTGCATAGTCATCTGTTAATGCATCAACAGCACAGCCCTCGGCCCTCGGCGGTAAGTGGCAACGACTGACAGGGACAAGTTTCTTCCCTTGATTTTCGAGGCACATGTTGACAGCAAACAACGGTAGGCAGCAAAAGTACCCTCTCCGGTCCGGAGTCAGACCGTTGTGATATAACCATGCCCTTGGCCGGCCCCTGCGCGAGCCATATTTCTCCCTCGTTTTCGATCAATTTTTTCGCCTTGCGTGCCGTACCGTTCTGACAGTACACCATACCCGGACCGCCTTTCGAAAATGAATCCAGCCAGCAACAGGGCAATGTCTCCCTCAGTGGATGAAGCAGGGAGTCTGTCGCCCACCAACTCTCGCGATGACGACGAGAACTCGCAGCATCCCCGCAAGCGTCAGCGGGTCCGCCTGAGCTGCCTCGAGTGTCGTCGGAGGAAGCTGTCCTGCGACAGAGGCTACCCGTGCCAGCGGTGTCTGAAGAGCGGCACCCCCGACCGCTGCACCTACGAGACCAAGTCGGGAGTCGTCTTGAACGCGAGCTCCGGTGTGCCGCCTGCCTTTGCCCAGCTCGACTCGCGGAGGAACGGCGAATTGGCCATGCCCGGCAAGGAGGCCGACATGTCCGTCATTCGCGAGGCAGCCAAGGACCATGACCGCATCCGCCGCCTGGAGCTCGAGGTTTCTCAGCTCAAAACCCAGCTCACACGACAAGTCATGTCTTCATTCGACGGAAGCACCGTAGCCGGTACAAACTCACCACACACCCAGAAGGATGAGATCGGCGAAACTCCCCAGGACCCCTGCGCCAACAACTCGGAACTGCAGTCCTGCTGGCATCAGTACAGCGATGGGGACAAGTCGGAGATCCGATTCTTCAGAGGAAAGGAATTCAGGACGCGGTATTTTGGCCCTCACAACGCCACGATGGCCTTCATCGAGGTAAGCCTCTCGAACCCGAGAGCCTCTTTCTGCCCATGTTGAGCATTCGTCTGATCATTTTATTAGTTGACTGGCCTGTGTCCCTTTATGAAGGAGACGGCCGATGAGTGGCTGAAGCCGGTCAAGGCACATGACCGCAAAGACCGCAAGAAGCGCAAGGAGGATCGGGACAAGTTTTACCTTCAGCCCGACCCCCATCTTGAGTCTCTGCTGCCGCCCAAGGACCACTGCGACGCGCTGGTGGAGGTCTATATTGACCAGTTTGAGCAGATGCACCGCATCATTCACATACCTACGTTCCGTCGGGAATACTCACAGTTCTGGGAGAACCCGACCGAGTCACGCTGCGCCGCCCTCACTGCTCTCGTCTTGGCAATCTGCGCCGTAACGAACTGCATCCACACTCATGAGTCTCTGAGATTCACGGGCATGATTTCCAACGCGCATGCCGCTGCCGAGAAGTGGGTCAAGGCCGTCGAGGAGTGGCAGAGCCGTCAGAGCATGAAGCACCGCAAGCTCATCCACTACCAAATCGCCTGCCTGTTGTATCTCAGCAAGCGCGTCAACACGCTGAAGAAGAAGCGCTTCTGGACAAACTCGGGCGCCCTCATTCAAGACGGAATCTCGGTCGGCTTGCACAGGGAGCCCAGCCACATGTCGGGCAGGATCTCGGTGTACAACCAGGAGATGAGGCGGAGGATCTGGGCGACGGTCCAGGAGTTTGACATGCAGGCGTCCTTCGACCACGGCCTGCCCACGCTGGTGAGCCAGCTGCACTACGACGTGCAACCGCCGAGGAATCTGGACGACGAGGACTTTGACGAGGACACGACACAGCTACCCCCGTCCAAGCACGGGAAGGAATACACGTATTCTTCGTACCAGAACCTGGCCCGTCAGAGCCTGCCCCTGCGTATGGAGCTGAGCCGGCTTCTCTGCGGATCGCCGGGGGAGATTGACTACGACCAAGTCATCCGCTACACGAACGACATCACGCACGAAATCGACTCTCTGCCCTCTTGGGAACACAACAACAACAACACGCACGGCGGCAAGCGGCCGCTTCTCGCCTATACCCTGCTGCACATCCAGCTCCGCCAGTACATCATCCCCCTGCACCAACCCTTCCTCAAGCTGCGCAAGTCCAACGCCAAGTACCAGTACTCGGAAATCATCTACTACAACGCCGCGCGAGACATTGTCCTTTTGCACGACAAGCTCTACGAGCAAGGCATCCGGTGCCTCAACTTCCTCCGCGAAGATGCCCTCACGACGGCCGTCAACCTCTGCAGCGTCACCATGCTGCAGCCGCGCGGCTCGACCAACATGATCATGATCAACTCCCAGCACACTGTCAAGCTTCTCGAGAAGTGCCTCTCGATGAAGGAAGACAGGCTCCTCCGGTGCGGCAACACCGAGCCGTGGGGCTACTCCATCATGTGCTCGGCGCTCGGCCTGCTCGAGGCGCATCTGGGCACGAAGACCACCGAGCAGGCCAAGGCCTCGTCCGCCGAGCGGTTCGTCAACCTACACTACAAGCTGCTGGCGAACCAGGAGCCCCCAGTATCGAGCCAGCCGTCGGAACTCTCCAAGATTCCCGGCTTGGAGGTCCCAGAGAGACCAAAGGTGAGCATCCCAGACTTTTTGTCGTCGTCTTCGTCGTCGAATATCGGGCAGTTGCTGACTCTTCCATCAAAGTCGGTCACGCCCTTCTCTTTCCAGGGCTACCCGCCGTCGCAGAACACCGTCGACGGGCTCCTCCCTCAGCCGCTTCCGTGGATGTCCGCGTCCATCGACCCGCAGGTGAGTTTCCACAGCGACTTCTCCCCAGCACTCGTCGCTGACAGTGTGTTGGCAAAGGCGCAGTCGTTCAATCCCGACTTTAGTCTTGAAGCTTTGGGATTGAACTTGAACGAGTTGTGGGGAGAATCGTGGGACTTTAGCTGAGGCGTCTTTTTTCCCATCACGGTGGTTCGACGGCCCTCTTGATATGGCAACAACGGGGTGTTGTGCAAGGCGCCCCAAGGGGGGTATGGTATCCCTGGGTTATGGAGGACGAAAATCCGTCCCGGGTTACGGTTAAGATGTTCGGAAAGCTTGTGATACCCATCTCAGTACCTCTCTCTGCAGATCTATGTATTAATGATGTACAAACGTATCGGTCTTGACTCGCGGAGGACACAGCCACGGCGCCATATTCCGCATTCTCACAGCGCTACGGCAATAAGACGACAAACATTTCAACTGGTTCTTTATTTTACCTTATCGATGGTCCCTCCTGGCTATCGTTACCTTCCCATCTCATGTGTGCGTAAGCACCGATATCCGGCGTAATTTAAATCTGTCCGTACGAGCACCCCCTAGACCCATCGAAGGGGGGGTTCGTTATGGCCACAGCGCCGGTTGGTACCGAAACCTGACTCGTGTATATTGCAATATTGAGTTTCCGGCGCCTTGACCACATCTAACTTTCTGCCAGGGTCCTTAAAGTGTTCTGGGATGAGTTTACTCCAGATAACGTTTACAAGCTTGCAACCACTGACTTCATTCCTCGAAAGAAGTGCCATGTAATGCGTTGGTTCTCACCATGGCGCTCTTCTTCGCGTGTGTTCCTCGCGTCAAGGGTCGTCGGAACCGTTAATCTCCAAAGCCGGGAGACGCAAGAACCCCTGTTTGCCCTTCCACGCCGACCACGATTGCAAAAGCATGAGCAACGCCTGCGAAGGCCTCTTGAGGAGGAATGAGTGGGGCAATCTTGATACCACGCGTCTTGATCGATATGCAACGGGAATTGTCCGAATATCCGATTGGTACCCCCACTTGACCAAACCCAAGTGGCACAGCGAAAAGAAACGTGGATAGATTCCGACGTCAACTGGCCAAGCTCGTCCAGATTCGTCCGAGCTCACCCCAGCTCTTGACACCCGCGAGCGGGGAGGCGGCCGGGGTCGAGGTTGCATAGCCTCTTCCTGGCGGCGGACGACCTGCCAGATGCAGGAACCACGACAGGGGTCGGCTCGGCACCCAAACCCGATGACATTCAATATTGCAGTCCCCTCCCATGTTCCTAGCGGGAACCCAACTCCCAGCTCCCAGCTCCCACCAACCGCCTTCTGTTTCTGGTCTGATCACCAGACGGCAACCTGATACGGCATGCAACTCTACGACGTGGGCGGAAATCGAGGGGGGTCACGTTCTAAGCTGCTCTTGGTCGGCAGGCAGAGAGAGTGGGCGTTGGCGATACTACTGGCACATGTCACAAAGCGTTGAGAGCCCGGCTCTGGCTGTCCCAATTACGTGGCCATGTCGTGCCACGAGCGGAGTATAGGGGGCCAAAGAAGGAGCTCTAGTGATCACATTCCTAGCTCCGAGATGATGGCGTCATGGGGCATTTGCTTCTTGGGCTACCCGTTTGGACCATGGCCGGCACCCCTTCATCTCCGCCTCGTGTACAGATCGTGTGCCGCGACGAGAGAAGGAACAGGGCGAGGTACCAGGCTATAAGACTAGGACGACGCTTTCGAACGTAGGAACGAATCTGATCAGCCGTCCCTCACGCTCATCTTCGCCGCTCCGAGTCCATCGTATCACTAGAGACAACTGCCAAGCCACGCATCCTCCGTTCCCGATACCCTGATCGTGTTCTCTCAATCCACAATGGCGCCCTCCGTCTTCCGCCTCGCCTCATGGCTCGCCGCCGCCGCCGGCACTGTCATGGCCTCCCCTATAGAGCGCCGCGCCGTCATCGGCCACGATCAAGTTGTCGGCTTCCCGGAGACCGTCCCCGCAGGCCTTGTCGGCGACCTGTACCTCAAGTACAAGCCCTACCTCAAGGTCTTCAACGGCTGCGTGCCCTTCCCTGCCGTCGACGCCGCAGGTAACACTGGGTATGCTCCTCTTGTTCCTCTACTCAAGGACCCCCTCCCTCCCCTGCTTCACTCGCACGTTTGACTAACACGACTCAGCGGTGGCCTCAAAACCAGCGGCTCCTCGAGCGGCGACTGCAGCAAAAGCACCGGCCAGGTCTACGCGCGCGCCGGCACCTACAACGGCCTCTACGCCATCATGTACGCGTACTACATGCCCAAGGACTCGCCCTCGTCCGGCCTGGGCCACCGCCACGACTGGGAGAACGCCGTCGTCTGGCTGTCCGACATGAGCGAGTCCGCCACCATCGTGGGTGTCTCCGCCTCGGCCCACGGCAACTACGACGCGAAGAGTTCCGGCTTCGACCTGACCAGCGACACCCACCCGCGCCTCGGCTACGAAAGCTTCTGGCCCCTCAACCACCAGATGGTCTTCACCAGCGACACCGGCGGCCAGCAGCCCCTCATCGCGTGGGAGTCCCTGACCGACGCCGCCCGCACCGCTCTCCAGAACACCGACTTTGGCAGCGCCAACGTGCCCATGAAGGACGGCAGCTTCACCAACAATCTCGCCGAGGCTGCGGTGTAGGGGCAACCGTGGGGGTAACGAGGGGCGGTGAGGATGTGGGGAGTATCGCTTTAATGCTTTAATAATTGGGAGGCAGCCCAGTCGGCTCGCTTCATAACGACTTCATGCACATACGTTATACTTAGCAGGGGGGGCGAGATGCTTGATTCTCTCTCATGATGACTCTGTAGTACATAAAAAAAAAGAGTTCGTGGTTCGATTGATGCGTCAGAAGTGCCTATGTGCTCACGGTCAAAGTAGGGGTGACTATTGAGAGCGGTCTGAGATGAATCTTGTAAATGACAACAGAGTGACGACAAGTTCCACTCCACTGGGCATCTCAATTTGCATTTCAACCAGTGGAGCCGGTCAAACCACAAACTAACTCATCGCTTCTCTCGCCCATTGAAAGTGGCCAAGTCGCGCGTGTGGCCGCCAGCTACCAGAAGCACAAATGACGACAACGGCCACAACGGCCGCAACAAGGCGGACGCTGATTACCGTGCGTGTGACCAAAGTGTATCTTGTCGCCTGCCGAAAACGGCAATGAATCTCCGATGCAGGCAACCGGAAACCAACGGGCCGCCGAGCACACCCCAATCAACCGGCAACGAGCTAGCCGCCGGTATCACAAGTTGACTGCACTGCACGCCAATCGTCCGCTTGCATCAAATTGTCGAACGGGTTGCGGTATTGCACGGGACGAAGTTGGACTTGCTTGATGGGCATCTCCGTGAGCACGGCATATGGGTTGGTTAGCAAGAGTCTGACCACTTTTTAGGTCCCTGACGAACGAAACTGTGGTGACGCGGATAATACAACGAAACCGACCTCGGAGATTCCATTGTAAGCTCGTTGCTTAGCAGATTCGTTGTGAGTTCCGCTAGAGGGGTCTATGCAGCTTTGGTGTCTCACCCACGTGGTGGTTAAGGTTCACCGCGTCTGGTGGTCCCGATGGGGTCGACCCCGCACATGGGGGCATCCAAGTGGGGTTCTGAGGGCTGCCGCACAGTAATTGTGCGAAGAAATTTCACCCGGGCCGCGTAGCTTTTATATGCGGCATTTTCACATCGTTTTTCAACAAGGAACAGCCTCAAACGGTCCTCTGGCGCAACGGTAGCGCGTTCGACTCCAGATCGAAAGGTTATCCGTTCAAATCGGGTGGGGATCAACCTTTTTGGCCGTCCTAACGTTGGTGTAGGAACCGTTGACGATAGTTGATAATGGTTGATGAAGGTTGGTGAAGGTTGTGGTGAGATGTGTGCGACTTTTGGGGAGAGCGCAACAGCGGACGCGAACTGTGGGGAAACGAAACTTCCTGCATGTTTTGTAGACCCTTCTCGATAGTGGGAAAGAGTTGAACGACCAGTGTCGGGCTTTTGGACGGTGGTTCGGGTGGCACCCGACTGGCTTTGTTGTGAGATGGTCAGTTTCAAACCTCTCACCGAGGGAACTCTCGGTGAGGTGTACGTGGCTTTTCTCTAACGTAACCATTGAACCTGAATGGCTCCACACTAGCGCGGGTTCATTCTTGTCTGAGAAAACGAGAACAAAGCAACAGTAGACGACGAGACCACCAGAACCAAGAGCATAGTCATTGATCGTTTCTATGCTAATGTTGTTTCTCTTGCTATCTCTGATCTTCTTCATGATCGATAGATTAAGCATTTGAACCAGGATATCGAGCCTGCTTGGCCGCATAAGCTAAGTTATAGGTTTTCAATCCCGTCCATACCTAGTATATATGTAAGAACGAACAACTTATTCCATCGCTAGCACTACCACGCTCTTTAGATTAAATAAACTCCGGCCCTATACGACCAATTCACATTCGTAAGTCGTGTTCCAGAAACATAACAACCTACTCATATGCCAGTTGCCCGGAGAGGAGCACCGGCGGATACCGGAGCTGGACCGGCGGTAGAGCTGGAAGGGGTTGACGCAGGCCGAAGGGCACAAAAGATGTTTTGTCCGCAAGAGATCTAGCAAACAAGGGAAAGCAAATTAGAACAATCGTCGCAATTGGCTCCTTCATACATCTCTTGTTGCCTCCTTTCCTCCGTACCATCGCAGCCTCTAACATCATAGACCCCCTGTCTGAAGCCACCAATCCGTGCATGGTGCGTTGTCGACTAGTGTCTGCTGATTGGATACCGACGCCTGCATATGACTCTCGGCGTTCAGCTTCTTCCATACGTTGGACGAGTCCCGGACTAGGTTGGCCGTTGCCCAAAGAAGTGCAAATGCCACCTCAAGAATGTGACATTTCGCCACCATGTGTTCATTCTGGAGCATTGCAACCCGAATCGCATACCCGAAAATCATCCCAAACTTTATTACGCGTTTCAATGTCATTGTGCACCATTCCTCTTCATCCCTGTAGCAATGTCCAGTATCATTGCGAATCTAGCCTCGAGCATCATCGAGTCCATCGAACGCTTCTATGTTGCAAGCAAAGACTTTTCTGACGAGTCTGTTCGATTCCTACTCCGTCTCAAGCTTCCTGACGTGCTTGATCGCCTTAGAGTGTGGTCAGGTGAGACTAGCGCTCTTAGAACGGTCCAGGCCTCCTTGAATCCAAGACTCGGCAACGCATGGCACGTTCGCACTCGAATTTTACAGCTTTCGAGAAGCTGCATCAGGTTCTACTAAGCGAATACAATGCCGTAATTATGTTCGACAGATTACATAATGATGATAATAAGGGGAGACGTTTAGGTCTAACAAAATGGCGAAATGAGATTGAGCAGGCCGCAGCTGACAGCAGATATCACGCATGTGATTGATAGAGTTTGAAGACTCATCACTTCAATGTAAGACCCGGCACCTCATAATCACACAATGGCTTCAGGAGTGGAGAACATCGTCGACTTGAAACTGTTGGATATGCAAAACGTATTTGATAGGTTTATAGTAGCTGAAGAGTATCTGTCTTATCCTAGCAAGAGCTATACTGTCACGATATATAAGCTACTATTACTGCCCACGTAACTAACGGCGTCGTCTTTTGCGTGACATATACCATGAATATGGAAGTAATTTCAGGGTCGAAAGGCTTCTGGATTGGCTTTTAGCACTCATTGGGACAAACGTCAACGTGTGTCTGCACCAAGTGATACGGTTCCCTCAAAAGCTGAGAAGCATGATAACACGTCGGGTGATGGTGTGACTCCTATTCGGAGCGCCGGGAATCACATACACCTCATAAGAACTTGGTCATAGCATCAGGGAAAGAACCTATACGACAGACACAGAGGAGAACCAGATATATGAATTTATCAGCTACCAGAGGACGGGCTCAACGAACACGTGAAATGTCCCTACTGCCACTCAGAAGTTTTCGCGGTTACTGCAGCTTTGTGGAAGTAAGTCCAGACATATGGGCAGCCCTTAAGATTCTCACTAATTCACAACCATCAGAAAACACGTGCTGATAGATCCCAGACCCTACAGGTGTCTCGCCAGAGTTTCCCTAGTTTCTGACAATACCCTCCCGAGCCTTGACGAATGGATGTGAAACATGTCGAACATCATCTTCGCACATATCAATGTCCACTAGGCTGCGCGAAGACCTTCGCAACGAGCTCTGAGTCCGCGAGCCACTTGGCACATGTTCCTCCTGGGGCGGTACCGGGACGTCACGTCACACTGAGACGTTGATCAGACTGGACTCACAACCCTCGAGTAGGGATGCAGCCGTCACTGGCCCTCTTTGTCGTCAAAGCTAATCAACTCAGGAGAATTACAGACACCGCGTAGGCAATCATTATATGAAGCTGATTTTTAACAGTTCTGCCCAAGATTAGTAGTACAGAAGATCGCTACCAGGCCCAAATCCCAACTGAGATGGCTGCTATGGACGGAAACCCCGAAGGCCCTCCATTTCTCCCGGCAGTAAATTGCATATAGATATTTCCGTCATCAATCACCTGGAGGCGTCATCAGTGTCCTGGTGCGTCCCATCAACATTGAATGCTCTTTATCAAGGAATGCAAATCTTATGTCAGACTCATTGCCCGCGTACACGAATGACACCGTCGAGCCGATATATAACTCATCATGTATATACATTACTGTTCTTTTAACCTTTGTAATTCAAGGCACTAAGCTTTAAGACTAGAAATACTATTGTTTAACCTAATAATACCATGCTTGGGTTAGGTTTTGGCCCGCTGTTTGTGCTGGCAAATCTGAACGCGCCAGAGTCTGAAAGCGATCATCTGGCTCGCATCAAGTTTTAACCTGAAGAGGGAGTGGCTGGCGAAGCGAATTCAGACTGAGGTGTTAACTATTGTCTCTGTCTTAGATTTTCAACTGGAAAGTAAGCAACCGTAGCATCCAATTCTTGCCACCCGGCCCAGCTTCGTTCTCCATTGCGGTCAAGACGGCTCTCGTCTCGTCATACAAGCTCCGGATTACCACCCTCGTATATTCTAGGCTGCCTGCTTCCTCTAGAATCTCGCGAATCAGAAGTTTCGTCTCGACCGACAACTTTCCCTCACTATTCCAAGATGTCGAGGCTGAGCGCGCTGCCCGTGCGGATTGAAGAATGCTGTGCAGCTGGACGTCGCCCTCTTTGTTCTCGCGCTGAAGGGCGTGGATCAGCGGCAGGGTGAAGCTCCCCTCATCCAGGTCGTCGTATGTCGAGAGGGACTCCGATGTGATATCCTGATAGTCGTCGCGTAGCTGATAGAGCCTGCCGAGGAGGCTCATCAGTTTGCAGGCGTCGAGATGCTTGTTCTGGGTCGCCGAGGCCCGCATCATGCGGGAGGCCATGCGGAAGAGCCCGCCGGTCTTTTGCTCGAGATGGCTGTAGTACTCGGGCATTGAGGGCGCCCTGCAATGGAAGGTCCATGCCAAGTCGTGGCTCTGGCCGAGGTGCAGCTGGCCGAGTTCGGACAAGAGGCACGACAAGGTGTCATTGCCCAGCCGCTGTGCCAGGTCCACGCACTTGATCATGAGATAGCTCGCCGAGTTTGTGGTCTGGGCCGTGCCGAAGACGACGTGGGCGCTCGGACTGCCCCTCCTCACAGGCGAATTATCTTGGACGTCGTCGAGCATCAGACTGGCGTTGTGCATGATTCGAACGATGGTGCGGATTGTGGCTAGGGCGTCGGGAGGAACGCGGTACCAGTTGTCGAGCGCGTCCATCAGCTTGTCACGAGCGCCACTTGCAGGTCTTGCCGCCGTGTAAAGGTAGGGCGCCAGAATGTCCTTCTCGTCCGGCTCGGCAGGCCAAGCGCAGGGCGAGACGGTCAGCAGATCCGCCCGTGTCTCGTGTGATGCCTTGGCCTTCTTCTTGTGGTCGGAACTAGTCTCAGCGGGTGTCATGGTGGTATACTCGGTTCGCTGGTTATTCCAGAATGGTCTGAGTCTTTTCGTGCCGAGACAGCTCGAGGGCGGAGTGAGAATGCCTTCCGACTCTGAGCCGTCCACAGGCTTGCTGGCCCCGGAAACATCAAGCGGGACTTGGTTCACCTTACCGATGTCCTCTCGTCTGGGAAGCGGAGCTGCCGGGTCGTATCGACGCGAGGACAGGTGCCACAGCGTGTTCCCGGCCATACACAATTCAATCAGACCGATGTAGTGTGTGATGTGTTGTGCGGGCGAGCACTCGGCCATGTAGACCGCCTTCCTCTCGCAGTATTCGTCCTCTATCCTCCCGATCTCAGACAGCAAAAAGTCCTTGGCGGCATGCTGGTCGAGGTCGTACATGGCCATATAGACCTGCACGGCGCTCATGTTGGATCCGCCTTCTTCGCGCTCCAGGTATGTGGCTGCTTCTTTATCCCACGAACAGTAATCATGCCACAGAATCATCTGCGTGAAGGCCAGCCAGGTAAGAGGCTCCAGACTTGAGAGCTCCTCGTCGGTGAGGCTAATGTCGCAGCAAAATAGGATTTGCGACCAAACCGAGTAGGCGCCGGCATCGTAATGCCGCACGTGCATGTACGAGTCCAATGTCTTGTGCTCCATGAAGGCGTCCTGCCCGCGAACACTCACGATGCCCTTCCACTTCTCGATTACGAGCTTGCCCAGCCGTTCGTCCTGTTCGAGCGCCTCGATGGCGACGCGTGCCTGCATCGTGTTCATTGCGTTGTGCTTGGTAGTGTGATCGCTTTGCTTCGACTCAGAACCGAGGAATCGCGCCAGTGGTCCGTGAACCTCATCGAACTGGAATAAACACACATATATTTAGCATTCGAACCACCAAGAAGGGATCCAAGGAGTCTTGATTCGCGGCGTACCTGCTCTGGTGTTATGGCATCGTCGGTAAGATCTGCATGCAGCATTGTCCAGGTCAAGTTAGCGGACCTCAGAAGCAAGTCGAGAGAAGATTGGACCATTCAAGATCATAAAGACTAACCGTCGTGTCGGAAGAGAAGTTCGGATAGGTAGGAAATGATGTGGAGTCTCTCTGGTATAGCTTCTGGAAACCACAATGCGTTGACATTGCCGCCAATGGGGTTGATGCATCCGACGCTGTCGGCCTTCAACTTCAACCCAGTCGCGTTTTCAAAGTCGTCACACGCTTCCCAGCACGCTTCGTCGGCCACATTCACGTGTTTGCTAATTCTCGGGCGGAACCTGGAGGGATAGGCAGTGTTCTCGTACAAAGATGCGGGCACCGGTACGGAGGACTTGTACCGCATGGGCCCGCAGTCTTGGTAGTTCTCGATTGTCGAAGCCATGGTAAGGGAATTGGGGACAGACAAAATGTGGTGAGGCTCATACCACGGGAAATGTCAAGGACGACAGGCGGGGGAGGAGGCATGGTGATATCTCAGTCTCTTGGAAGCAAATCGGTTTTGGTTGACAGACCCCAGGAGTTCATGCTTCAGACATGAGGAAGCCCTCACCAAAGCGTACCAAGCTCGAGTCATTGAATGGTCCAGGGGTTAGGCTTCAATTGCGGGCATGGAGATGGTTGAGATTCTGGAGGCATGATTCGCCCGATTGCTGACATGTGGCTCAGCCTGCAATCGCAATTGCTTGATTGGATAATGGGCCATGGCCAAAGTACTCTGATGTTGTGTGAAGGGTCCGCCGAAGCGTATTGATATGGTTGCAGTGCTTCGGGACGCGCGAGATTGTGCATCTCCATCGACTGTTGTGTTTGACTGGGCGTGCCGGGCAGTCCTTGTGACCGGCCCGGCAGGGTTCCGCACACGGAGGGACCGCCGCGATGGTCCTCGCGCTCACCGCCGCAAAATAGCGAAGGAAGCGGTCCCAACGTGCCAGGGGTCGTATCATATGATCGACTTTTTCCGGGCTTGTTGGGCTTTGCTTCGACCAGGGGTACCGTGGCAGAATGCCGTCGTGACTCGTATACCGTGGGGACCGGTTCCGCGAGTTTTAGGAGGCCGGAATGCGGCTTTTTGGAAGGGAAGGGAGCAATAATACTAGTTGCAGGCCACATGGTTTAAACAGTGGCTTCTACTCTGTATCCGTGGGTTCTAACCAGGTCGACGGGCATCCTGAAGTTTGTGTAGACATCGACAACACAACTCACCATGACAGTCCTCGGGCCTCTGAGCGAGCGGCTGGCGTCGCTGCCCATGCCAGTTTGGACAGCGGCACTCATTGTTCTCGCCGTGGTACTCAAGGCGACATACAACCTCTTCTTCCACCCGCTTCGCTCGTACCCAGGACCTCTTCTTTGGCGAGCCTCGAGACTTCCCTACGTCATCCGCTTCTTCAAGGGCCAAATTCCCTACGACCTGAAGCGCTTGCACGCCAAGTACGGGCCCGTGGTTCGAATTGCCCCCGATGAGTTGACATACAACTGCGCCCAGGCCTGGGTGGACATCTACGGGCGCAACAAGCAGGCCAACGGCGAGACCACGCTCTTCAACAAGGACCCCATCTTGTACTCGGCCGTCTTTGCCGAACACAAGGCGCTGATAGATTCGGACGGCGACGAGCACAGGCCGCAGAAGCGGACGCTTGCCTATGCCTTCTCGCACCAGACCTTGGTTGAACGGGGCCACATCATCACAGGATGCATTGACAGGATGATCGAGGGCCTGAACGCCTATATCGTATCGCCCTCGGTCTCGATTGATGGAAGTTCTGCTGTGGTTGACATTGGCGCGTGGACCGAGAATGCGCTCTTCGATCTCGGCGGACAACTCACGGTGGGACGTGACCTCAACGCCATCATGTCGCAGGGCACCGTAGAGCCCTCGTTGGCGCTCTTCAAGAGGCTTTTTGACTGGGTGCAGTGCTATTACCTGCAGTTCCGCCGAAGCCCCAAGATCCTGGTCAACGCCATCGAGAGCATGCCGGGATTCACAGGTTACGACTGCGTGTTGCCGGTCAAGGGAGTCCACGACATGATCCTCAAGCGAATGGCCGATGAGAAGCATGCAGTCGAGGATAACTCAAGTGACTTTGCTTCTTACCTGATGAGCAGAGCAAAGAGCGAGGGCTTGGAAGACGACAAGGTCTGGATCAACTGTGTGCACCTGATCCTCGGAACCCCAGAGGCCATGCCGTCTTCTATCATCAGCACCGTCTACCACTTGTTGACGACTCCCTACGCGTATGCTGCAGCCGTGAAAGAGATCCGTGAGGCCTTCAAGTCGTCGGATGAAATCACGGCTCAGGATGTTCAGAATCTGCCCTACCTGCTCGCTTGTTTCCGGGAGACGCTGCGCAGACGTCCAACCATCCCCGGAACTCTCACTCGCCAGGTCCCTCCAGCTGGGGCCCATATTGTAGGCCTCTTTCCCCCACAACTTTCTCTTTCTGTTCATCTGTGTGTCTAACCAAAATCCCCCAGTGCGGCAAGTTCGTCCAAGGAGGCACCGTCGTCGGCGTCAACCAGTTCGCAACCTCTCGATCGACCTCCAACTTCTACGATGCCGACTCTTATCGGCCCGAGCGCTGGCTCGATCCAAGACCAGCCGAGTTCGAGAACGACGACCGCAATGCTTTCAACCCGTTTGGCTACGGCCCCAGGAAGTGCATTGCGAGAAATCTAGCCCATCTCACCACCCAGACCTTTCTCGCCAAGCTGCTCTGGGAGTTCGACATGGAGCTTGACGAGTCGTGTCGGAACTGGGACGACCAGGGCCTTTATGTTCTCGCACTGCGGGGTCCGTTGCTGGTGAAGTTGAGGAGGGCGGCCCATTGATTGCTGGTGAATGGGGTGTTGGGCAGGTTGAAAAGTCACTTGTTGGATAGAAATGGCATGTCTAAACAGGTGAAGGCGGTGATTGACGAAGGTATTGGGTGTGACTGTTGGCAGGGCACTTCTGTCCTGGGCTTAATGTGTGGTCTATCTTCATACGGTTGAAAGAGAACAGATAAGTTAGAAATTGGGAAACGGGAAGCACAAAATAGAGAAGAAAGCCATGTGTGTTACGTACTGTTATACCAGAGTAGTAATACATGTAGTAATTAAACACCATAGGTTCAATTCCTATAGGGTCTCCTAGTGGGATCTGTAATACCTAGCCTATAGGATAGTGTGTAGGCTACCCTACCTATATCCAGTTCCTACCACAAAATCGTGTTAGATTAAACGTACGCCAAATCTGGGGGGTATATCACCTAGGATATAAGGCGTTAATTAATGCCACGTAACTAACGGTATTGTTTCGTTACGTGACGGCAAGCATGCTTACATTTCTGTAAACGGTAGCTAGGACTCGAGGGAGCACACACAAGATGCATATGGGAAGCAGAATTATTTTGTGAGACTGTATGACTAGTAAATATTATCACAAGGGCAAATTCTTGACTTTGATCTAGTGTTCTGTCACGATGCACTTATTCGGTCATGGAATGTCATAAGAAGACGGCTTAACTATCTACGTTCTAGACTGCCTGTTGGGGCGCGTAGATATACGTGTCGGTATAGTGGATCCGGGCGGTGTGTCCGGATTAATAGATGTTCCGGCACCGGTCGGATCCCTCAAAGGCTGCGCGATGTCGTGAAGGCATCGCGACATGTTCGTAATTGTCTAGTAATGAAGTGGTAGCAAACATTGAGTACAGGTAGTGTTAACTCTAGCTGACTAAACCAGCTTGTGGTTGGCTTCCTGCTCAAGGCACACAACAAACTCCTGCAACTTGGCTAGAACTTGATATCGTTGTAGTGGCCTATAATGGCGACCAACCTTACGCTCGTTTGGAAGTTTTCCCTCAAGTACTCTCCTTAACACCAAGGGGACTCGCTGCATATTGTGGCGCTTGTGCGTCTGCGAGCATGCATTGCTGTTTCCAGGCTCCCAAGTTTGACTCATGGCTTCCAGTACATTAAGCCTGAGCTTCCACCGCTGCGTTTCCGCCTTCTTGAGCACGAGATATCGATCGAATTCAAAATTCTTTTCTCGCTATGTCGACTCGCTCCGGGCTTTGATAGAAACGCCGTAGGGTACAGATAAGCCCCGAAACATTATAACCTAATCTAACAGTAATTTTGCGTTTTAAGTTAATCTCGATTAGTGTTGAATAGACTTTCTCTTGCCGAGAGTTTGTGTATAATCCTAGTAAGCTGATTAGTAGGGGTATTGTGGCGTGTAGTAAACATGTGTGTCACAGCACGTGTGGTGGGAAGCGTAGAGAATCAGACACGTTATTATACATGAAGATATTGCATAAGACAAGTTGGCAAAAAAGCTCACCTATAAATATAATTATGTAGCAGGCTCTACTACTACTAGCTTTTACTACATACGGCTATTATTACAAATATTAACAAAAATATGGGGTAGGATTATTAAGCCTTATTAAACTGGTCCTTAGAGCGATGAATCTACAGATAGATTACGTTGGCTATATTATCAAGCTACGACGTCACGTGTTTGACCTAGTACACCTCTTCTCTTTCCGCTTATATCTGCTATACAACGGAAGCAGGACGAAGCTGTAGCCCGGTATTGTTGCTGTGCCGTACACTGCAAAACACGTTCACAGCTTGTCTGTACGTTTCCATGTCCGGGATCCGCATTTTCCATGCCCCATTGTGACTTGGTTGCCGGATTGAGGAAAGACATACAGCCGGAACGGTATCAGAGACGAGTTCGATGGCCGTAACAGAAAAGGCGCACGAGAGAAAGCGATAAGCGGGTTATTCGGAATTTGCGACATGCGTGCCTTAAAATGGATGATCTAGCAGTCTTCCTTCCCATCCTCATAATATTCATCTCTAGTCCTATCTGTGAGCGGCACGGAACTCGACCGCCATCTCCTCTTCTCAAGATCCCACAACTAAAGAGAGCACATGCCACCCCGGAGACTATTAATCGTGTCGAGGTTGGGCTTGATGTTACCGAGACTGTTATACTCGGTGGAGCTCATGCCGCGCCTCGACCTGGCGGCGTCCCTGAACCCGCCGCGGCTGAAACCGGCGCCCATGAGGGTGCTGAAAACGGTCATGAAGGCGTTGTCTGGGTCGTTGACGACGCTGTAGACGGCCAGACCGACTTCGGCGCCGACTTCGACCAGTCGAAGGAGGGTGCGCACGCCGACCGCGACGGCGCTGCCGCCGGTGGGGCCGAGGAAGGGGATGAAGAAGAGGAAGCCCATGATCATGTTGAGGATAAACTCCTCGCGGCGCTTCTTCTCAATCTCATTGGCTTCTTTGACGATCTTTTCCATCTCCCCGACCGCCTGCTCGACGGCGAAGGCGGGCAGCGAGCCCGAGTCGGTAAGATCGGACATTTCGAGGTCGTCTTCGAACTCGGCAAACGTCTTCATGTCGCGGTACCGGTCGAGCAGCCCCTTGGCGTCGGGGAGAGCCTTGACGATGATGTCCTTGGGGTTGTGGACCTTTGTCTTGCCGCTGTCCATGGTGGGGAAGTCGTGGAAGAAGATGCTGTTCCAGGCGATGCAGTCATTGACATCCTTACCGGCGTACTGGCAGCCGTTGGCGAGGGACATTTGGCGCTTGCTGAACGTGATCCAGTCCTCCTCGATGCCCCACGTCTCAAGGATGTCCTTGAAGAAGCCTTCCCGGTCGGTCAGGGTGAACGTGCTGTTGGGTTGACCACCGCCAAAGCCTGTGGGGTCAAACTCGGCCTTGGGACACTTGTCTCTGGGCACCATCTGTTTGCCATTCTTACAGCCCTCAAATCTTTCGCAACCAACACCACACCTGAAGAGAAGTGTTGTCAGCTATTCGTGTACCTCGCAGAGAATTACATAATGCACGTGTCTCAAGTCAGACTTACCAAGCGTTCTGGCACGTATTGCAGCAAGTCACGGTCTTCGTCTCGCCGCACTTGAAGTACTTGTCGACCTTGTCGGTGGCCATGAAATTCTTGATCTGACCGGGTATCTGTTCCTTGATGTAGCCCTCCCAGGTGGAGAACTTGCTGTCGTAACCGTCCTCGATGAGTTTGTTGTATTTCTTGAGTGCGTCGTCAAAAACGGCGATCTGTACATCGACAATATACTGCTCCAAGCAGTGCGACGGGATCGATCCTTTGCGTTCCTCGAGCTGCTTAAGCGTCGAGAAGGAGGCAGTGCAAGCGGACAGCTCCTCGTAGACAAACTCGTCCGTGTTGTCATCGCTGATGCTGCCCGAGCCGTCTGACCATTCCTGCAGGTCGATCGCCCAATCGGTCGTGCCCAGGAAGTTATACGAATCGTAGAACTCGGCTCGTTTTGCCTTCATGTCGTCATCCATCCAGGCCACCCATTCTGTATTATCATACACCATGATGTTTGAGCCTTCTTTCGTCCAGACCTTGTTGGCCCTGTCGGTGGCCTTGATTTCATCGATTTCGGCGTTGGAGATGTAGCCGGCGGTTCCCGTGCAACGGCCCTTGGCAGCCCCTGAATTGCGGTTGTCGCCCGTGAACAGGCAACTCTCGCCATCGCAGCCGGCCTGGGCCATCTTGAAGGACCGTCCGTAGCTGGACACACCGACAAGGACCTTGTTGGAGGCGGCTCCTGCCTTGGTGATCATGGAGAGTGCATCCTTGGTCTCGGTCTCGTTCACGTGTGATCGCAGGCAGTTGCCGGTTGGGCAGCCCGGTGAGGTCCACTTGTTACCAGCGTCCCACTGGCCGTGCAGATCATATGTCATGAACACAATGTAATCGAGGGCTGCGGCCATTTGCTTGATGGGAAATGAACGGAGGTACCAGTACGACGCGGGGGCTGCGAACGAGACCGACTTGGAGCTGCCGACCTCGGCCTTGATGCTGGCCAGAAGTCGGTAGTAATTGACACCGTTGACCGGATCGTCTGAGGGGATGTCAGGAATGTCAGGAGCTCCTGGGTATTCCCAGTCAAGATCGATACCATCCAGGTTATGCTCGTTGATAAAAGAGATGATGTTGCGCTTGAAGACGTCGCGGTTGGCCGGCTGGGCTGCCTCTCGAAGAATCATGAAAGTCCCCGGGAGAGCACTAAAGTCCCAGCCGCCCAAGGAAACAATCTTCTTGACACCCTCGAGCTTCTTGAAATAATCAAACTGCTCCTTCACCTGCGGATCAGTGATCTCGATGCGAAAATCGCCACGCGTGACGTTGGGGAAGGCGAAATGCACGTGGGTGTAAGCGTCTGTGTTGATTTGGCTCGCATCCATGGTCAGACACTCGCGGTTCAGGTTCCAGCCCTCAAAGTAGCCAAGCTTGACCTTCTTTGCCGGCGCGGAGCCCTTGATGATGTCTCTGCCGCAGTTGCTGATGCAGCCGTTCTTGCCGGGAGCCGAGGTGCCCGGAGCACCCGTCTCGGATTTGGAAACGATACAGAAGTCGTCGGTCATGCCGCATTGTCCCCAAATGTTGCAGCAGACATTGAGAGGGCAGGGGTTCAACTCGCTGATGTTAGTACCCGCGGGGGGTCGGATGGTGCCGTTCATCGTCGGTCCGCAAACCGCGTTCTGGGTCAGAGATACGATATCAGTACACATTTGATATCAGAATGGGCTCAAATAACAGTAAAACGAGGCGTTGTTTGCTTACAGGAACAATTGCAGGCATGGGCGCCGCTCCTTTACTGACGCACATGTTGAACTTGGGGTAGAGCACTTTGCACCCGTTCCAGCCCCATGTATTCTTGTTAAAAGACTCCAGCTCTTCTACAGTAAGCATGAGGCTTGCAGCGATCTTGGAGCAGTAGTCGTCATCTTTGGTGGTGTAGACGGCGCAGTAGCCATCGGCGTCCTCTTTGGGCCTCAGGTCAGGCAACTTGCCCTGACTGCAGCAGACATGTTGACCCTCTGCCAAACTGGAGCAGAGACTCGTCTTGGAATTCGCTTTCATGAAGTCATCTCCAGAAATTCCCTGTTGTTTGGCCCCTGTCAGTCTTGATTGATCAGTGGCGCCGCGCAGTTTAAACTTACACACTTGTTGGCCAATGAGCCACAGTCGTCGCCTGGAATAACCTGACGTGTCTTGCACGTGCCATCCGAGTTTCCGGGAGGCAGAGTGCTGGGAAGAGTGCCGCTGCTGCAGCAGACACGCTCGTCGCGAACAAGCGAGTTGCAAAGGTTGGCGCGATTGAAGTTTTGCAGTTGAGTTTGCGAGATTCCACATCGTTCTGCTACGGCATAGCAACCATCATTCGCCTGCACGGTGGTAAACCTGCAGTCGGCCCGAGGAAGTAGTCTGGAGACGCTGGCCGAGACATCAATATCCCGAGGAGTGAACTGATGAGAGCTGGCGGTGCCGTTGCCGGTAGAGTTGTTGGAAGGCTGCAGCTCATCCACGGGAACAGGAATGCGTAGGGTGACAGTCATCCAGTTTTCGCCCGCATCTGCCTGGGAGACACACTTGCCGTCGGCCCACGTCTTGACCGCCTGCTGGACAAAGTCAAGGTTATTGGTACTGCTGGCCACGATACCGATGCTGTAGTCGGCACCTCTGTGCTCGGCTCCGCACAGTTGCACCACGGTGCTGCTGGAGATGGACTTGTCCTGTGCATACTCGAGGAACTTCTCCAGAACTTCGGCTGTCACACCGTGTTGGTGCACCTCGGCGCCAGCGAAGAGACCGATGACTGCGGATCGCGAGTAGCCAAAGGCCATGGCGTTATTGGTGCATGACGGCACTTGAGACGCAAGATGGCTTTTGACCTGTTGGCCAGCAGACATGAGATGCCCGACCAAGAACTCGCTACCCTGGCTGGGCTGGTGCATGTATATCGAGCCTTGGTCCAGCACCTTGTTGGCCGTGAGGCAGAGGGATGCCTTGGTTGAATCAGGCACGAATGCGACCCTCATAGACTTGGAGGTGTCGTAGTCTGCTGTGCATGCCCTGAGGACGGTTGGCATGTCATTGTTCTCATTCCCCTCAGCTGCCTGAACGGCGATGTTGAGTAGCATCGTCTCGTTGCAGGAGGCCAAATGGGACGCATCCGGGAACAGAAACCATGGGTCGTCACCAGCGGTGCTGCATGAGACGGGGCATGACTTGAGGGCATCGAGAGGCTGGGCCTGCACCGCTGAAAGCCATTGGTCAAGTTCATCCTCAGTTTGCCGAGCGTCGAGGTCAGAGGACGCAAAAGCCCTGGCTGCCACGGCCACGAGGGCACAAAGAGAAGAAGTCCTCATGGACGAAGGCAAGGCTAAGTTTCGAGGAGTAGATTTTACGGAGATGGAGGAAAAGATGAAGCAGTATTCTGAAAGAGTGTCTTAATCCATCCAGGGGATGGATGTTGATGAAAGATTGTGAGTATGAAAAAGGGTTTTAGAGGAACAATAGGAAGAGGAGGTAGAAGGAGGACTGTAACGGAAGGATAGCGGACAGAGAGATAGACTTAGAAGCAGTCAGGAAATAACATTATCAAGGCAAATCACAGCAGGCACCTATCGTCAAGAGCAAAGGAATCGGACCCTTGAAAGCCGAAAGGTGCCCCGCGCGGATACAATGTAGTGGTGTTGCCCCTAGGGTTCGCATAAGCTCACTCTGTAATTGCCATCTAGAGGGGTGGCGAGAAAAACATGTCTTGATACACCCATGATTGTGCGTAGGATCAATATCATGGGCTTGGCTGCGTGGTATAAGTCTGCTGCCTATTGTTTAAATTAGACAAACCTCAGCCCTTTCCTAAACATCCCTGTCAGGAAAGATCTGGAACCCGGGGTCTTGGCATAGACCGGACGTCGCAGCAAGGGCAAGATAATGTGCGTTAGTTGCCTATGCAGATCGCCACAGCTCGTTTTACCCGTTTGGGAAATAAGATAGTCGAGAATTGAACACTATTCGCTGGGCAACCCCGGGTTTCCAGACCCGATTATCTAGAAGCCGCACAGCCAGCCAGCCAGTCAACATTTGTACATCGTACATCGTACAGAATTGTTCGTCTTGTACATGGTACAAAGGGAAAGTTCGGGCGTAGACTTTGGGTATGTTGCCAAGAGGAAGGATTCGCGGTGCCAAGATGTAATTAAATAAGTGTAGAGGCGATTTTCCGAATACGGTGTTGATTTGGCTTACTGGCTAGACGATGCTCAACCCCCATCTAGCCGGGCACATGGACACATATGTGTCGGGTTCCTGAGAACTCCCCATCAACCTGTTTCCATCTTGTAGACCCTCATCCAGTCATCTGTCCTTTGGTCTTCTTCAACTTCTTTCTGCATTGGCTCGTGGACCGTTCGTTGCCCACCATATGTCCGCATCATGAAGCTTTCCCTCGTCTTTACCCTTTCCTACCTCATCACGGCCACCTGGGCCGGAGGGTACCAGAACTGCCTCGAGAGAGTTTGGCTCTTCGAGTCCTTCCTCATCGATCAGCGGAACCCCGAGGCAGATCGGCAGATCGGCTACCAGTGCAACAACTGGAGGCAGAACAGGTGCATCGGCTCCTGGATTCCCTGCCGAGGAAGACAGGGCCGCGCGCAATGCAGCTTTGAAGACTTCCAGCAATTCCTGGGCAACACGCCGCCGAATTTGGCGACTCAGGCGGCCTACAGGACCGACGGCTCTCTGGACAACCAGCGGACGGCCGTGAATTGCATCTGGGCCTGGAGAGACAGGAACGTGGCGCCTTATAACTTCAAGGGGTACAAGGGGGTCAAGTACGGGCGCAACAACCACAACGACTTCATCTACCGCATCGGCCAGATCAACAACGACAACTACAACAAGCCGGCCGTGAGAGCGGCCGCCGGTGACGCCGCCTTCAGCCGGGTGGACGACACGCTCACCAAGATCTCCCAGGCCCGCGTCGCAGACCACGGCCGCCACCTGATCCCGGCGGCCCGGAACGGCCTAAACGGCGTCACTATTGTCGAGAAGGACATGGGCGCAAGCCCCTTCTACCGCCCCACCTGGACGCCGCCGCCGGGAGTCGACCCGGACACGCCGCAGTGGAGAACGGTCGACTGGGAGGCCACCATCAGAAACTCGGCCGACCCGGCAGCGACCCGCACTCGGGTACGCGGCTGGCTGGACACCTACTATCGCGGGAACACGGCCAATCGCAACGCTAGAGATCACTGGCAGGTGCTTAGGTCATACAAGACCATCAAAGACCGGACGAACCGTTGCCGGAAGCACTGATCAACCAACGGTCACTTTCCTTGATGTTTAAGGATAGTCCAACGGATTTACCAAGAGATTTACCAAGAGGAAAGATGGGTGGAGGGGGGGCAGGAGACATTTTATCTTTTCTAGAGGTGGTCACAATTTATATGCTTTCCTACGACCGCCCCATGGAAGTCATCGTTCAGAGGGATTTACAAGTGATTTCTTCAGTACCTACCCAGGTAACTTGGAACCATGCTTTTGATTTATCTATATTTACCACATCTTTTCAAATCGATGTCTTCAAGCTTATGAAGCTGCTTGTATAGCGAGGATGGATGCCAAGGGATTTCGTGAGGGTACAGGCAGTCGGGTTGAATGTGTCGACAACATTTTAATCGGGCAAAGGGCGAGCGTGTCGATCAAGCACAATACGATCTCAATCTTATTCATCGCATTAAACATATGATTTTCTGTATATGGGCAAACTTATTACTTTATTGCTTTGAATAATAAACCGATTACTTGAATATCCTTCCTCTCGTAGCAGATCTACCTCAAGACCGATCCCATCTATTACAACACGGCAACGCAAACATAGGCATTGGCCCACATGCCAGTGCAATCGCTCTTAACAGCGGGGTTCCAACGGAAAAAGTTGGCCCTGGTGATGCCGTACCTCGCGGTGATGACGTCGCAGGTCTGGCCGGAGGTGACGAAGTGGAAGGTCTTGCAGGAGGTGGTCATGCCGCTCTGGATGGGCGTGGGCGTCTGGACGCCATTGCCCGGCGTCGTGGGCGTGTGTCCGACAACAGAGGTGCAGATGTAGTAGTCGAGCCACAGCGCAGTGCAGTCGGACTTGACTGACGGGTTCCACGTCGTAATCTGCTGCACCGTGACCCCGTTCGAGGAGGCGATGGCGGCGCACGTATCTCCGGACTTGACCTTATAGAAGCGGTCACAGTTGCTCGCCATGTTGGGCTGTATGGGCGTCGGAGTGGCGATACCGTTGCCAGCGGTGGTCGTCGTGGCAGGGGGCCTGCTCGGGGTGTGGCCGACGATGGAGACGCAGGCGTAGGCGTTGGCCCAGAGCCCAGTGCAGGTCGCGCCCGCGCTTGGGTTCCAGCTTTGGAACTGGGCTACAGTAATACCGTGCTTGGACGCAATCGTCTCGCAACTGTCGCCGGCGACGACCAAGTAGAAAGCGTCGCAGTTGTTCACGATCGTGGCCTGGGTCGGTGTGGGAGTGGCGATGCCGTTACCGGTAGTAGTGGGCGACGGCGTATGACCAATAATCGAGACGCAAGCATATGCATCGGCCCAGAGTCCGGTGCAGGTCGCGCCGACGCTGGGATTCCAGCTTTGGAATTGAGCCACGGTGATGCCGTGCTTGGCTGCAATAGCGTCGCAACTATCGCCGGCAACAACGAAGTAGAAGGCATCACAGTTGTTCACGATGGTAGCTTGGGTGGGCGTTGGGGTGGTGATGCCGTTTCCCGGGGTTGTCGTCGTCGTAGTCGATGACGACGGCTTAATGGTGGTAGTTGGTGGCCGAGTGGAAGTAACTGAAGTGGAGGTGGAAGTCCTGATCGACAAAGTGGTCGACGTGGGAACAGACGTCGTAGAGGGACTCGGCGCAGGTTCGCCAAAGGCCTCGACGCAGTATGACTTTCCGACCTCTACGGCACAGGTGGCGGCGAGGGAAGGGTTCTGTTGAACAGGTCAGTCTATCCCGGATATAGGGTAGCAAATCGAGACTCGAATAAGACGTCCCAATGCTGCATAACACAGTGGCAGACTTACCCAACGCTTAAACTGCTCCAGGGTGATGAAGTTTTCGCTGACAATGGCGTCGCAGGTGGTCCCTGCTCTGACATCCACCCACCAAGTGCAGTAGGTCGACGTGTCAGGAGCATAGGGCAGAGCCGGCGAAGGCCCATCACGAGCTTGCAGCATGCGGGCAGATCTGCCAGCCGCTACGGGTGAGAGGAGGCCGATGGCCAGAGATAGAGTGAATGCGGAGGAAGAAAGCATGGTGAAAGAGTGACTCTGGGCTGGACTCAGGATAGAGGGTTGAAGGTAATAGGTCTGGATGCTGGGAGTCAAATCAAACCACCAGGAAACTCGGTCACATTATATGGACCATGATGCTTCAAAGTTGTCCCTGGGAAGAATATCCGCACTTCTTCCCCACGCGTTGTTCTATTGAGATCAAGGAGTGTACACTCTGGTATCCCCGCTAGAATCTAGAATTGGCCAAAGCTCGTATCAATAATGTCTGCTGCCTGGTTGGAGCCTGACCATTGATTGTGTTGAACCAGCATAAGGCCGTATCAGGGCGAGTCTACTACAAACAAGTTGATATCACACTCCACTCCAGCTTGACTTGTAAATGAATCCTCAAAGGTACATACCGAGTTTCGCACCTTGTCTGAAAGAATCCGCACAGGTGAGCGTAAGCTCCTAGTAGTGTTAAAATGTGGGGCTCATTTAGGGTTGACTGTAGGGGTTGAGGGTTATAATATCAACTAGCATGGATCATTCTGACTCGGACCTCGTTCATCCATTTCTGAATATGGCCAAGTTTGGCAATACTAAATGCAGCCAAGGCTCGTGCCTAACACTAGATACATCCTTGCGTCGGAAGAACTTTGAGGCTTTTCGGCAACATGCTGTTCTCTTGGTGCTGCGCCGCTGTTCCTCGTAAAAGAGCCTATCAAGGCCCTAGACTCTTAAGCAACGGAACCTCGTGACATCCTTTCAGACCTCGCCGATCAGAGAGATATGCAAGGCGACAAGGGGCTCGATGCTCCTGTATTGGTAATAGTAAACATGATGATGTGCCAGCGTAGATAGCGATTCCAGGAGCGAGCAGAGAACATGTCGCGATTGCTACGAGTGAATCTGGGACTTATACGGTCTTGCGTGGATGATATTATTTCAAACACAGGTTTAAAGAAAACACGGATCGAGTTTTAACCTCTCTACCGCGATCTTACGAGTTGAACGTGGAACTTTTGAATGATCAAGGCACCAAACACGCGTGACATTCATTACAATATATCCACCATGCCAGAGTAGACCAGATATCCGAATCCAAAGAGCCATGCCATGGACAAGCGACCGTCTAAGCAACCACTAAATCAGCCTCAAAGACCCATTCGTCGCTCTGCGTTCCGCCCAAGCTAGTCCAGCGGGCTCCAAAACATACCGGGGTTCTTGACCGCCCCGGCGTCACGCCTTGCTTCAGAAGCGGCGGTGGTGGTCGCACCGGCAGCGCCGGTAGTGGTGGTGGCCATGGGAGGCGCGTTCTCCTCGGCCTTGTAGATTTGGAGAAGGGCCGGGCCGCCACAGAAGGTGCTGGGACTGCCGGTGCAAGGCGAACTGCAATCTGTCTGGTTCACTGCCCACTCGCCGCCGACGTAAGAGCCGCACCAGCACTGGTTGCCGTTCTGGAGACCAGCGTACTTGTAGAAGCGGCGGTAGCATGTTTGCCAGCACTTGGGGACGCTCAGAGACGGGTCGCCGTTGGGGTTGAAGTTGATGTCGAGGAGCGGCATGTCGGGGTCCTCGACGTAGCAGCCCATGTTAGTCCAGGCGGTTGGGGAAGGACCAAGGGTGGGCGCGGTGGAGGTGGACGAGGCGGTGGCAGTCTTGGATGAAGTCGTCGGCTGGGATTCGTTGAACTTGGTCCATGTAATGACGCAGTATGAGTTCCAATTGTACCAAGGCTGGCAGTCGAGACCGACAGATGGGTTCCAACGGCTGAACTCTTCTGGGGTAGCCCTGAAGTAATCGCGTACCCATTCGCAAGTCCTGTCATCCTCGTTATTGAACCAGTCGGCGCAGTCCGAGGTTGTCTCCGGGTCGTAGGGGAGCAAAGGGGTGTTGGTGCAGTTGGCCTTGCGCGCAAGAAGCGCCAGCTCAACAAGAAACAGCAACCAAGAGGTCTTCATGATGAAGCAAGCAAGCAAGCAAGCTGCAGGACTGGCTGGCTCAGCAGGCGATGCGGAGTGGTGCAAGTGCAAGGGAAGAAACCACAAGAATGAAGACGATCAGAGGGCGAAGGTCTGAAAAAGAAGAAGGAGACTTCGGTTCTATCAAAAGAGGTTGGGAAAAGGTCTACCATGACCACGTATTGGCATGGGAGGTAGCATGTGGCCAATCTTACAGTTGTGCATCGGCCAGGCCGGATCCGCTTCAGACGCGAGTGATCTATCTCATGATGGATGCTGAGTGTACCAGTGACATGTAATTTGACATGTAGTTTGACTCGAGGTACGGATATTGCATAACGCTGAGCCTGTCCTTGAAAGGGTTTGGTTGAAGAGTCTAGTGCTTACAATTCAGTCAAGACACGAGCTGCGCCAAGCCGTCGCCAAGAGTATAATGTTCACGGGACACCGAAAGCCAAGAGGCAACTCCCTTTCTTATCAGATCCTTCGGCTGGAAAGAAGAAAAAGGATCCGACTTCGACTGCAAATCCACAAATGCATGCAAGAGGGCTGTTCCTGCAGGACCCTAGGCAAGCGGCGCAGGTACACTACCTAGTACATCCATCCCATCAAGTGTAAATTAACTCTATTCTAGACCGAGCCAATCTTGGCCATTTCGAGCCGGGCCGATATTTGTTTGTTTCTAGGCAGTCGCAGGCAACAAGATTAATTTGATTTGCCCCCCCGCCCTTGGCGAAAATCCCTAGAGCTCGCGGGGCCGACATTTGATGTCAGACGTTCCCGCTCTCTGGTTCTGGCCAATAATCGCGCTTCTCTGTCTGTAAGGGAACTGCTCTCATCTCACCTCGCCTCGTCTCGTCTCACCATCTCCATCTCATCTTGGTGTTTTTTTTTTCTTTCATTCCCTTTGCCACTCTGCACCTCCCAGCCAGCCCGCCAGCAAAGCACTTCGCGCCGCTCGAGAGACCATGGCCACCACCGCTGCTACCACGGCGACGTTCCACCCGTTTCCGGACCTTCCCGCCGAGCTCCGAACTCGAATCTGGGAGCTGACCGTCGAGCCCCGCGTCGTCGACGTGCGCGTGGTCTGGCACCAGCCAAATCCCACCAACGTGGAGGGATCCGAGCCAGGACTGCGTACGACGGACTGGACCGTCAAGCGTCCGCCGCCGCTACGCCACCTGCGCTCGTCTACCCCGACCCCGGCCCAGCTGCGGACTTGCCGCGAGGCCCGCGAGCACCTGACTACATGCCCTGATACCAAATACCGGTACGACAAGGCCTTTTCAGACATCACCACGACACCCTACGACGGGTTCGACCCCGTGCCCGAGGGTGACCCGGAGCGGGAGCGCTACGTCTGGTTCAACTTCGATCGCGACATGCTCTCCGTCGGAGACACGGACCTGAGTGACTTCCGGGCTGTTGCCCGCCATATCCGCCGGCTGCGGCTTAGGCGAGCCCTCTCGGACGAGTACTTTTCCCGCACCGAATCGCTGTTGATCGGCAGACTATTTAAGAACGTTGCCGAGCTTCATTTCATCTGTTTAGACGGCATCAGGTCCGGCTACTCGGTGACTGAAGATATGGATCTTCCCTGCGGGCCCGAGAGCGTGTATTTTATTGACCTGGAAGAAATTGGCGGGACCATGATGAACAGCGTCGATCTGGATACTATGTACATCAAGGAGTGTGAGGAGCTTTATGGGTCGGAAGAAGAAGACTGAGAGGGAGAGGGGGGCTACACGGTCGTCGCCGGGGCCAAGAGTGGTGGGTCATAGTCGCGAGATGTCCACCCACCCTACCTCACTCAACCTTTACCTTGAAAAGAATGAAATCTTGGCCAGAGTCACAAGCACCAGCAGGTGGCTGCGCCCCTAATCTTCTATTCATCCACAGGCGTAGCCCTGTTAACCAACGCAGCACCGGCCGTGGCTTCGTTCTACGCCAGGGCAACGCCAGAAACGGAGCACTCACCCCCTCGACGGCGGAGGCACCGCCGGACACCCCTGAGCGTCATAGAAATCGAGGTGCCGCCGACGCTAGCCACTCACCGTACGCATCGTTTCCTGTCTTCCATATACACGTTGATATGGTGATTGATTGATTGATTTTTGTCTTTGTCCTTGACGTCGAGCAACTCTCCTGTGCCGCTTACAAGCAACAGACCGGGAAAAGGTACAACTATCCCAGGTGTAGTAGCTACACTGCTCATGGCAGCTGCTTTTTCTCTATATAGGACAGAAGGCATTTAAGTTTCTTAACGTCTACCTAGGCAAAATTGCACTCCTTACTGACGCTTGCTTCTTCTTTGGCTCATATGTGGCGTACAAGGTCTAGAAGGGTGCGCTTTGCGCGCCTGCGCCTCGCTGTGGGGCGCGCGAACCCCCCGCCACGGCCGACGGCGAGGATATGCTTAATCTGCACCCCACACAACGAGCGCAGCACCAACTGACCGTACTTACCTACGTAGTACGACGCTCGCCAAAGGGATGACGGGGCCACGAGACATCGTCAGTTGGCTCCGGTCACAAGAGCAAACCATGATCACTGCCCGAGACGCCGAGGATACACGGGAGGGCCTGCGCCACGACGCGTCCAGCCGACCGACCTCCATCCAGCTTTTCATCGACGTGCTTACCGAATGCGAAGACATTCCGTATTTCGCTTGTAACCGCGACAAGGACGGCAGCGTAACAGGGGTCTTCTGGACCTATCGCAAGGGCTTGGAACTCTGGCGAAGGTACCCTGGGGTGTTAACCATAGGTATTACCTATAAGGTAGGCCGTTGCTAATAGTGCGAGATTAGTCTTCTGCCGTTCTTGCTGACCCTCTTCTGCTCGGGTAGACTAACCGTTTCCACATGCCGCTTCTGCAAGTTGTCGGGACTACTGCCGTGCAGACCACCTTCAGCGCGTGTTTTTGCCTTGTGTCGGGCAAGGACACACGTGCCTTGGAACAGGCCCTTTCGCAGATGAAGACGCTGCTTGAGACGGAGAGAATACCACAGCCCTCCGTCGTTATCACAGACCTCGACCAGCGTCTAATAAAAGCGGTCAAGTCAGTGCTCCCGGCTACAACGCATCGTCAGCTCTGTGTTCAGCAATTACTCAAGAAGGCGGCCTCACACATCAAGAACTTGTGGCGCGGGCCTGTCGAGGATGCGCCTGTCGCTCCGGTCGACGATGCCGGGGTTTGGCCCGAAGCCCGTGGCGGCAATACCGTGTCCGGGGTGGATCGGCAGGCCGGCACAACAAACGCCACCGCATCCACATCCACTACCGCCACCCCTACGACGGCAGACGACGAGGTGGTCTACACCCGCAACCCCGACGGGCTTCTTGCCGCCTGGAGGGCAGTTGTTGACGCGCCAACCGAGGCGGCGTTTTGGAATACCTGGACGTCGCTCAAACGCCGCTTTGAAGATCAGGAGGGTGCGTCACCTGGTTCTCTCTCCCCTTCACAAACTTGGCTAATTAAACCCAGAAATTGTCGCCCATTTCGAGGCGCGCTACCTGCCATGCTACCCACAGTTTGCCGCCTTCAAGATCAACAGGGTACGCAACTACGGGATCAAGACGGCGTTGCTCACGCAGGGCGGCCGCAGAGGGCTAGCGTCCCACCTCGTCCGCGACGTCTCCGACCTCCAAAGCCTACACACAAAGATCCTACACATGGTCAGCGACGGGCACCAAGATTACTATATTAGGTTAGGCTCCGAGCAGCGCCGTCAGCGGCCGAGGGCACAGCACTCTCGAATGCTTCAGGGCCTTACCTTCCGGCTATCTTTTCAGGCACTTGACTTGCTATACGAAGAGTATATGCCTGCCCACAACGCCTTTGCGCAGCGCGGCGACCTACCTCCATGTACAGGAAACTTCCAAAGACAGTGGGGGTTGCCCTGCCGTCACGAGCTCCTCCGCCGCCTCCATGGAGGCGGGGATGGCGGGGAGCTCACGCTGGATGATGTTGACTCCTACTGGTGGCTGAACCATACTCCTGTGAGTATTCTTCTAGTCTTCTAGTCTTCTTCTTCTTCTTCTTTCTTTTTTCTTTTCTTTTTTAACAGCTAACTTTGGCCTTGTCCACAGCTCAACCTTACCGCCCTCCACGACCGGACCTTGGACAGCGGCGTCTAATCTATTAGTGCGGATATACACACACATGATATAGCCTGTGACGGAGCTGAGGCTAAGTGGCACTGTATGAAGGTCAAGCTATTATGATAATGAACATTGGTTGCGAATGATTCGGAGAGAGAAAAAAAAACCGAATATCATGACTTCCGCGTGCAAAGCGTTTGCTTTCGATGCCATTATACTCTCTAAAGACGGCGGGATTAGGGCCTCACCAGTGGCACTGTCTTGCCACTCCCGGAGCCTACCTCTACATTGGCCAAGAGGGGACCCAAAGATAGACGCAAGAGCATCACCGCCGGAATGGAACGCGATCAGGTCTTCGAAACCTGACCTACTTTTATCGTTACGCCCTCCAATAAATGACGCTCACCTCTCGTTTTGCTACCTTTGGAGAATGAGTGCCACCGCGATACCACCAGAGACGCCCATGCCCAGTATTTTGCCATGCATAAAACACATTGACATCGACGACAACAGCCACGGGCAAGGGACGAGAAAACAACACCGGGGCGTGGGTATGCCATTAAGAAAGTAATCGTGTGCATTATAACAGAACGGTGCTGCGCTATGTAACCATGACATTGCTAAATGCGTCCGATATGTCAGCCGGGGTCGGCGCTTGGAACTTTTCCGGCGTGTAACCGGCGGCGAGGCGCTCCTGCATGATCTTCAGAAGAACGGCGGGGACGCTATCGTCAGTGGCGCGGACGGTGAGGCGAATCATCTGAGAATGATTGTTAGCAAAGGAACGCCGTTTGATGAAATAGATAGGATGTGGAATTACCTTCGTGCCGTAGTTCGGCTCAAGGCGCATCAAGCAACCAAACTTGCCCGCCTCAGATGTGTGAAGAACGCTCGCTCCAACAAAGTTCTTGGCGTTCGGGTCAACGCCGTCAAGGACACGCCACCTGAAGCCCTCAACCGTTTGCCGAACAAAGAACTCAGTCAACTCCCTATCCGCCTTGCCAGGGGTCAGACCGAAGATCTGCTGCGCTTCGCGGGGGGCTCCGCCAATCTGCTTCCAACGTCTGAAGAAGTCTTCTGCGGAGAGGTCTGCAGGGTCCATAAACTTATGGGCGGTGATGGGCAGCTTCAGGGTGACAGCCTGGAGAGCACCAGCGAGGTAGCTGATGCGTATCGTCGGGCTCTTGTCAAATACTCTCTTGCACTCGAACATAACGACCTGCTGGGACTGCCCGCCCTGGTAGACCGTGCTCTCTGGCAGGTTCTTCACGTCCCACGTGAGCTTGCCCTTCTCGTTTTCGTCAAGGTCCAGTGTTGTGGTAAAAGAGCTCAACGCGGTGGGCGTCTTGTTCTTGAAGTACAGAATCAAACATGCCATTTGGCCTCTGTACTCGGACCGCACACCGACTTGAATCTGGCCATCCTCGTACAAAATGCCTTCTGCCTTAAGCAGCAGTTTGTTGTATCCGATCTCCCAGTTGGGGGATAAGTGAGCGGCACTTGCCAAGTTGGGTGCCTTCGTCTTGGGCTCAGCGGGTCCAATGTTGCTCATGTCCAGACCAGCCAAGTCGTTGACGCCGTTGCCGTTTGTTCCGTTGGGGCCTCCGTTGCTGGCGTTAGGGTTGCCGTTTGTGCTGAAGGTTCGCTTAAGGCCACCCTCCTTGGCTATCTTCAGCTCTGCCGCGTCTGCGTTGGCATCCTTACCACCAACAATCCAGGTTCTCTTATCACTGGTATTGGCGTGCTTCTGATGCACTCTGGCGAGCAGGGCAGACTGTCGTTCCGAGAAAGGGGGCATCTCATCGCAGACGGTTCGCAGGAGATCGTCTGTTGGCATGGTTGCCAGCGTCAGGTACTCGCATGCTCTCTGCTGAAGCTCGGAGTCGAGTGTGTGACTGAAGACTTGGAAGGCCTTCAGGAGCTGGGGCTTGATTTCGGGGAAAAGATTGACGAATTTGACATAACAAGAAAGGATCATAGCCCTTGTACCTGACGAACAAGCGGCAATCTTGCTCTGGAGAGCCAGGAACTGTTCAATGGGACTGCACTTGGGCTGATCGGCGATGAGATGACCGAATTCGCCCAAGATGTACGCTCCGATTTTAACCAGCGTCTCGTGGCAGTGGTCTGACTTGACATACTGCAGGGAGTGCTGGGACGCATAAACCTGCAACTCCTCGTTGTTCGTCACGATCTGAATGACACGCTGCCACACCTCGTCACTGACGTGATCACCGGCCATGGCAATCAGGCGCAACGATATGTCGACGTACCACTGTACATCAGTGGCGTATCGTTCGGTCAGAATAGCAATCTTCAGCACCATCTCCTCGCGGATCGCAAAGTCAGCGTTCTGGAGGTAATGAAGAAGCTCGCCGACAATGACCTGAGCATTCGACGAGTCGCACATGCTGTAAAGGAGGTCGAGACCCTTCCTCCGCACACTGATATCCCTGTCCTTGAGAGACCCAAGGATAACGTCCTGGTGCTGCTTGATCGGCTCCAGAGTGTCGATACGAGCTGCGAGATGCGTCATGGCCTCCAATCCCAAGTAGCGGACGTTGGTTTCCCTAGAAGTCAAGAACCGTCCCAAACGAGACGAAATCTGCTTCAGTAACGCATTCTCGTTGTCGAGGTGAATAATGAGGTTGATGGCTTCGAAGAGAACGGCGTTCTGGGCGTTATTCTGCTGCACGTTCTTCGTCTGCTCCATCGCGAGGTTCAAAATCTTTTGCAGGGACTCTCGGATCATATCACGGATGTAGGTATCGTCTGAAGTAATTTAGTTCTCCGTCACTCAATCCGGGGCCTCATTCACAACTCACCCGAAGGGGGGAAGTACTGCAGTAGGCGCAGAAGCTTGACCTGGAGCCAGGGACACGGAACCTTGTAATAAAGATAGTCCGGAGTGTACTCGCCATCGATGACTATTCTCTTCATCCTTGCGGCGGCCTTGGCGTATGCCCCCTTGTACGCGTCCAGGTTATCCTGGGCAAGGGCCATGACGAGTGATGTGACGGACACAGCTACGCCGACATCCACGTCGTCCATCAGCGAGATGATGCGTTCGGCCCACTGCGGTTGAACGATGTCGGGGTTTTTGCGGTACAAGCGGAGGAGTGTGAGGGATGCCTTCTTCTTGACGAACGCCTTGGAAGTCCTGTGTACCTGTCAGCCTACCATTCGCGAACCATTTTAGGCCGTTACATACGGCGAGATCAAAAGCCTGTGGACCTCTCCGCTAAGGGCCTCTCCCATTTCCCTGCCACCAACGTTGGCGATCGCGTGGAGAGCTAGACAATTGAACAGCTCGTTGTGGTCCAACAAGTCCTTTCGTATACTGTTGACGACTAGGTGCAGGAGCTCGTGCTTCTCGTGCAGGAAGAGGGTCATGGCAAGGTAGCCAATCTGCTTCTCCGAGTACTTGTTCGCCGAAATGAGGTTGACGGCTTCGAGGTGGCCAAAATCGACGTTCCATCCGAGGATGTAGATGTAGAGGAGCTTCGCGGATCGTCAGCCCACTGCCTCAAACCCATGCTGCAGCAGAGCTTCCTTACCTTGCACACATATTTCTTCTTGTGGTAGCCACTGAGGTTTCCGTCTATACAAAGGTTAGCACGACCTCACTCCGCCTTCGAAAGATCAAAGTCGATCCTCACCCTTGAACTTTTGTCTGCACGCAGGGGGATTCGTCAGTATGCCATGGTGGAATATTGCGGGTCAGCATGCCCGGTGAAGGGTGCTTTGCTTACCGAATGTTGGCCAACTCCTTGTTGATTCGCTTCTCCTCCAGCTCCCTAGCTCTGGCGTTTCTCAGGTCGGCAATGAACTGTACCAGTCCTCGCATGTTCGAGTTGTTGCTCGTCGAACGGCCAAGGAAGCCGGACGCTGCGGACGACATGTTTGCGGTGGTTCTCGAGTCGGACAAGGGGATTTCTCGGTCGGGTCTTGTCTATCTCCAACGGCTCTTCCCCCCTCCTCTTCGCGGGACGGGACGGACGGAGTCGACGGACGGGCGGACGTCGGTGGACCTCAGCCACAGGTATTTCGCACACGTGGCGCGATTGCGGCCTCGATTCGATGTTGGGATACGGGGAATCGGTGGGAGTGGTGTTGTCTGCTCTGGGCGAGCGTCGGGCTTTCACTCCATTCGCGCGAGGGGTATTGGTTGGAATTGCCGCTCGCTTACCCCAGCAGCCGGTTCGCTAGCTAGATTGCTGATGCGTGGGGTTTGGGGGATGGATCAACGGTCGGCTCGGTGAACAGTGAACGGCGGACTCGGCGGCTCGAACTCAAATCCGGGCGGCAAGTCCCGCTGCGGGCGTGTCTTGACACTGCGTCTCGGGGGAGGGGCGACTGTGGACAGGTTTGCTTCCCGGGGGTTTGACGCGCACGCGAGTAAGGGCGTGGGCAGTAGATTGGCGGAATAGGGGGCTGACCGATTCGCGACGTTGCACGGGAGACAAGGGGAGTGGGCAAGACGGGTAACATAAACACCTAGGAAAGGGGCCCAGGGGCTTTGAGCTTCGCGGGTGAGAGCGGGAGAGCGAGAGAATATGTGTGAGAGTAGTGAGAGTGAGAGGTAGAAAACGACACTTTAGAAACAGTGGAGGCTCAGGCTCTCGTACTAGGCCCGGAAGGCTTGGGAGCATAAGACCGTAGCAATGTGTGGAGATGGCGAGACGGCGGTCAATTGGCCCTACGGACCGGACGAAGGGTGAAAGCGCAGTCGAACGGGCCTGTCAAACCGCCCACCAGTCAGTCGACCGCTGCAACTCTGGAGTTCCAACGTCCCAGCGCTGCTTGTTGCTTATTTCTCGAGGACCGGGGTGACTTGGTGCATCAAGGGTTGCAAGGTCTGCCCGGTGATTAGCGGAAGCGTGGAGCGTACGTAGTATGGAGTACCTTGATTTACTTGGGTACACACGTGTGTAGGTATGTAGACATGAACCTACTCTCCGGCGCTGACTGATGGGCAACTCGACCTGTCCCGCCGAGTGATCAGACAAGCTGATATTGTCCCCCCTGTCAACCCGAGAGTACCGTGCACAATAACAGCAATAAAACTCAGCAGACAGTGGATTCGGGTGATAACACAACTATCTTAGAGGCAAAAGGGATGGTCTTGGCCCATCCCGACCCAAAGCGCAGCATAGGAAGCAGGGTGGGTTAGTACCATTCCAACCCTCCCCGGCGGAGCCATTTATAATTAAAAAAAAAAAATCTAAGAAAACTGGATTTGAACCTGCAGCCTTTAGGATATGAGGTTTATTGCTGTTATTGTGCACGGTACTCTCAGGTTGACAGGGGGGGACAATATCAGCTTGTCTGTAGACTCTGTCCCGCCGGGGTGGATGTTCCTGAGCACCCAAGACGGGTGTGCATCCAACCCCGTCGAGAGATACGTACCTCGGCACGCTAACCTAAACTTGTTCCTGCCAATTAGCGAAGCTCGAAATGTGTTGTATCATTGAAGGTCGTGAATTCCCATTGAAGCTTCTAGTGTATCTTCCCCCCCTAGCTATCGGTCCAAAAATAAGAAAACCTTCTTTTTTACACCTCCCCCCCTCCCTCTTCCCTCTCTCTCTCTTGCACTTGCGACCATCCCAATTCCAGATCCGAACTCTCCCCCCATGTTCGCCTCCGCCCGTTCCAGAAATGTAATGCCAGTAATGAACCGCACGATCAAACCCCTGTGCCTCGCGGCGGCTGCTCCGTCCGCGCCGGGCTCCCGCCTCCTCGCCGGCGCCGTCCCCCGCCGCTCCTACGCCTTCGCCTCCGGCGGCGGCGTCGGCGCCCAGGCCTTCCAGGTCTTCAACCGCCGCACAAAGTGGCTCCAAAAGGAGCGCGCCGCCTCCAACGTCGAGGCCAGTCGCCAGGCCGACTACCTCAAGGACGAGGTCGCGAACCGTCTCTGCGAGAGGTTGCTTGTAAGTCTCACCTCCAAACAAACCCCGCCCCCCTCTTCCCCGACATGGACACAAGGGGGGCCCATCTGTGACATTGCTCGCCAAATGAGGGTGGTCGCTGACATGCGCGTGTGCAAAAAAACGACAGGACATCAAGCGAAGGTTCCCCCGTGTCCTCGACCTCGGCGCCAACTCATGCAACATCGCCCGCGCCCTCACCCGCGAGAACCCCGACCCGGACCCGGCGAAGCCCATAACCCCGGCCCTGTCAACGCGCATTGACGAGCTCGTCGCCGCCGAGTCGTCCCACGCCCTCCTGCACCGCGACGCCGACCTCCCCTTCAACGCCGACATCAACATCACCCGCCAGGTCCTCGTCGACGAGGAGCACGTCCCCTTCCCCCCCGAGACCTTCGACCTCGTCCTGAGCTCCCTGAGCCTGCACTGGATCAACGATCTCCCCGGCGTCCTGACCCAGATCAACAACGTCCTGAAGCCCGACAGCCCCTTCATCGGCGCCATGATCGGCGGCGACAGCCTCTTTGAGCTGCGCACCTCGCTGCAGCTCGCCGAGCAGGAGAGGCGCGGTGGCATCTCCCCACACGTGTCGCCGCTGGCCGACACCCGCGACGTCGGCGGTCTAATGCAGCGCGCCGGCTTCAAGATGCTGACAGTCGACGTCGACGACATTGTCGTCGACTACCCTGACACATTCGCCCTGATGCAGGACCTGCAGGCCATGGGAGAGGGCAACGCCATCCTGGGGAGAGAGATGGGCCCCATCAGGAGAGAGGTGCTCCTTGCGAACGAGGGCATCTACAGGGAACTCCACGGCAACGAGGACGGGAGCATACCCGCGACGTTTAGAATCATCTACATGATCGGTTGGCGCGAGGGCGGCAATCAGCCCAAGCCGTTGCCGAGGGGCACTGGAGATGTGAACCTCAAAGACATCCTAGAGTCCAACTAGATGCTGTGACACTTGTAACAATACCCCGCCCGCCAAAGAAGGCTGGTGTAAAATAGCAAAGACATGAAGGAAAATCTATGGCTTTCGTTGTCGACACGCCAGTCTGTCTAAATTTGGAATCGTTGAAGGCAAGCTTGTATTTGCCTACACCGAGCATGGCCCGCGCTCGTCATGAACTTCATTATCGCCACCTCCCCACCCGTCTGCCTTCTTCTCTCTCTCCTTGCAACCCGCCCCCACCCTTAAACCCTTCTCCAGTCAGTCATGACACGGCCAATGGTACCCAAGCCAGCCACGTCGACAACCTTCTCGTGCCAGCTGAGCAGCACGCTCATTGCGCTACCCACGCTCTCGTTCGTGGCTCCCGGTCGGCCGCCCATCTGGCTGAAGCCCGTGGGGGCGGCCTGCGGTGGCGGCGATTTCAGGCCGCCAGAGCCGGCCGCGGATCCCGCCATGCCCTTGTAGATGTACTTCATGAGGACGTCGAGCAGCTCGGGGCCGCCAGCCGAGCCGTAGATAGCCTTGAGGAGGGGCGTCATCTCCGAGGCCTTGATGGACTGGAGAACCTCGGTGATGGTCTGGAGGTGGGCGTCCTGTCGAAAAAGCACGTTAGCGACTATGTTGGAAGCCTGACGCCAGTATACAGGGTGCTATTCCGGCGTGGAAAAAAAAACATCCAACTGGAGAAGGGGGCCAACGCACCTTGGCGGCATCGGGACCGTTGTAGACGGGAAACTCCAAGCACCCCCTCAATGCACCCTCGGCGTCACCGCCACGGAGCAGCTGCCGCACCTGGCCGGCGAGCTGCCGCACCTCGTCCTCGCCAATCTCAGGCTGTGGCGGGCGCAGCGTTGACGTGTCAAAGTTACAAGCCGAGTCCTCTTGCAGAGCGTCGATGTTGATGGTCCGCCAGGCATCGCTGAGCGTGGCGGACGTGTGTTGCTGGATGATGGACATTGTCGCAGGTGCCGATCGGTTCGAGGTGAACGTGTTTTGCAGAATGGCAAAGGGATCGAGGGTTATCGGTACGCAGTCCAATGGCACGGGGTTCTCGATGTAGGCTTTGCGTAGCGACTCTCGTCTTGCGTCAGGTAAGGCCGAGAGGTGAGGTAAGGTAGCGGTAGCCGCAGGCATGGTGGGGAGTTGGCCCGGTGTGGAGGATGTGGGGTTCGATGAGGCGGTGCGCCCGGCTGACGACGTTGGTCCGTGCGGGTGCTCCTCAATGCCGCTGCAGACTGGGTCTCGGCCATGGTGTCAGTACATCATCAGCTTCGAAGTCATCGTCAGGCACTATATTCGTTATGTTAAACGGTAAGGTTTCAATAATTGTCCTTTTCCTTTAACCAGCACCGAGAGTAAGGGCACGTCTGAGATGGAAAGTAATAACGGATATTGCAGCTCGTTCTCTACAAACAGAAACATCACTAGAAGACATGGCTGGTTGCGAACTGATAATTTGCATGCCATTGTCTAGGTCCAAAAGCTGCCCGACACACTCTTTCGGGCCCCACATACGTATACACAAACGTTAACCGGTTGTCATTCCACGCTGCCGGCCTCTGGAGATTCAAGCACCCGCACGGGACGTCCCTCCGCTTATGCGTCAATCAGGTTCTCCTCGTTTTGCTGCACCTGCTCTCTCTGCTTGCCCTTATCCTTGGCTTCCTTTGCCGCGCGCTGGTAGAACTCGTTGAGAATCTTGCCGGGAATACGGTTGAGGAGCTCCTTGGGGTACAAACGGAGCAAGCTCCAAGCGAGGTCAAGAGACTCGTAAATGGTGCGCGCCTCGTACTGACCCTGGTTGATGAACTGGCGCTCGAACTTCTCGAGGAACTCGAGGGAAAGCTTGTCCTCAGCGGACAGAGCCTCCTCACCGACGACAGCCTTCATGGCAGCGGCGTCACGACCGATGGCATACTTGGCGTAAAGTTGGTTGGAAACATCGCCGTGGTCCTTGCGAGTCATGCCCTCGCCAATGGCAGACTTCATGAGACGGGACAGAGACGGCAGAACGTTGATGGGCGGGTAGATACCACGGTTGTAGAGACCTCTGTCGACGAAGATCTGACCCTCCGTGATGTAGCCCGTCAAGTCGGGAATAGGGTGGGTGATATCCTCGTTGGGCATAGTCAAAATAGGCACCTGAGTGATGGAACCGTTACGTCCCGACACACGACCGGCGCGCTCGTAAATGGTGGACAAATCAGTGTACATGTAACCGGGGTAACCACGACGACCCGGGACTTCCTCGCGTGCGGCCGAAACCTCACGAAGGGCGTCGCAGTAGGCGGACAAATCGGTCAGAATAACGAGGACGTGCTTCTCGAGCTGGTAGGCGTAGTATTCGGCGGTCGTGAGGGCGAGACGAGGAGTAATGATACGCTCGATACTGCGCGATTGTCAGTCCATTGTCTTGCGATTTGCGCCACGGAGTACTTACGTAGGGTCGTTGGCAAGGTTGAGGAAGAGAGTGACACGCTCCAGACTGCCGTTCTCCTCGAAATCGCGGGTGAAGAATCTGGCCGTCTCCAAGTTGACACCCATGGCACCGAAAACAATGGAGAAGTTCTCTTCGTGGCCGTCATGGACGCCCTTGTTGGTAACACCCTGCTTCTGGACCAAACTGGCCTGTCTGCAGATCTGGGCGGCGATTTCGTTGTGTGGCAGACCAGACGAAGAGAAAATGGGGATCTTTTGGCCACGAGCGATGGAGTTCATGGTGTCGATGGCAGAGATGCCGGTCGAGATCATTTCCTCGGGGTATTCCTATGCTACGTCAGCACCTAGTCCAGAAGCCGCGAGGGGGACGTGAACCTACGCGGGAGAAGGGGTTGATGGGACTGCCGTTGATGTCAAGGTAGTCCTCGGCCAAGACCTTGGGGCCCTTGTCGATGGCACGTCCGGAGCCATCAAAGATACGACCGAGCATGTCCTCCGACACACCGAGCTTCAAGCTCTGGCCCGTGAATTCGACTTTCGTCTGGCAAAAATTTAGCGCACGCATTCTTCGTCGAGATTGCCATGATCTCATACCTTCTGGACATCGATGCCCGATGTACCCTCGAAGACCTGTTTCCATCGTCAATCGGTGTTTTTCGCACGATCGCTCGACTCGCATACCTGGACAACGGCTCGGTCACCTGTAGATTTTGGTCAGCAAGCAGGCTAATGCAAACAGGTGTGGAACGGTAAATACCTCGGGCCTCAAGGACCTGACCCTGTCTGTTGGTTCCATCGGGCAGGGTCAAGGAGACAATCTCGTTGTATCTAGGGAATTTGACCTAGACGCGAAGTCAGCGTTGCAGCCCCAGCATCTCGCTGCGATGGCCGGCGCGACGGGCGACACGCACATTCTCGAGGATGACGAGGGGTCCGTTGACACCGCCAACGGTGTTGTACCGAATCCTCGGCACGATGGAGTAGGAGGGCTCCCGGGGGTCACTCATTGCTTCTGACTATCAATGAGACAGCGCCCGTGTAGAAGACAATGCGTGTTGAGTCGAGAGGGTCGATTAGGAAGGGCGCGGGTAGACGGATGAATGGAGACGTTGCGAGGCGACGTAGGTTAGCTGGAGGAGGTTGGCAGGTCGTTGCAGTGTCGTCAAATGCACAGCACTGGAGCTTGCTTCGTCTTGGTGGAGCCCACTCGGCAAGCTGGGTCACAGCCACAGGTAGTGCCGCCGATAAGATCAGTGGTCCTAACTTCACTGAGGGGAGAGGGGGGCGCGCCTGGGAGCTTCCCAGCGTCAGCGTGTCAGGTTGGGCGTTAGCGCCAGTGTGCAGTGACATCACATGACTGCATCTCCTCCCTCACAGTCGTTTAAGAGTACCTAGATCCTAGGACTGCACCATTGATATGTGAAAGACGTGCAACGTTTTTCCAAAAAAGCAAAACAGATGTCTCAACCCCCAATTATTTAGGTAGGCTTGAATTCCATCAAGAATCGTAACCCAATTACGCCGCCTCTTCACGAGCTCTGGCTCCTAATACCGCCTTGCCAACAGTGCTGTCGTTGGCCTTTCCCAGCTCGCCCGTGATCCAAGCACCGATATCCGACATGGCATCCAGATCGATGCCAGTCTCCATGCCCAAACTTTCGATAAAGTAAACCATGTTCTCTGTGGACACGTTGCCAGTAGCACCAGGGCTATACGGACATCCTCCAAGCCCACCAACACTGCTGTCAAACGTGCGAATGCCGTGTTCCAAAGAAACGGCCGTGTTCACCAGCGCCTGGCCGTACGTGTCGTGAAAGTGCATGGCAATGTCCTCATTCCTGATGCCCGCAGCTCTCATGCAGTTTAGCAGTTCCTTCGTCCGCGGAGCCGTGCCCATGCCGGTGGTATCTCCCAGCGAAACCTCGTCGGCGCCCGACTCCAACAGTTCCGTGGATATCTCGGCCACCTTGTGCGGGTCGACGTCATAGCCCTCGAAGGGGCAGCCGAGAACGACGGAAACGTATGCGCGGACACGGAGACCGGCGGCCTTGGCATCACGGATGACCTCACGGAAACGGTCGAGTGATGTCGCAATGTCGCAGTTGAGGTTCTTCTTGGAAAAGGACTCAGTCGCGGCCGCAAAGACGGCAATTTCGACGGCGGGCTTTGATGTGTCTGCTGATGGCTGGAGCTGCGATGCGAAAGCGCCGGGGTACTTCGCCAGCAGCGCCTGGGCGTTTTGCAGTCCCTTGATGTTCGGGGTGAGGAACGAATATGATGTTTGCTGCAATGGGGAGGAGATGTTTCGTTTCAGGATGTGCTCGAGGATGTCGCTTGAATTGGCCATCTGCAAGTGTGCAACGTTAACAATACGGCTTTCCGAAGATTGTCAGACCGCATGCAGTAAGTAGACTTACCTGGGGAACCCATTTAGGAGAGACGAAAGAGCCGCCTTCAATCGTAGAGACGCCCGTTTTGGCGAGCCTTTCGATCAACTCGATCTTGGTGGCGAGGGGTATCGTCTTCTTTTCGTTCTGCAGTCCGTCTCGGGGACCGACCTCGACGAGCTTCACGTAGTTGTCGCGGGGTGGATGCTGAATTGGGCCGCTGGCGGTTGCGAACCCCCTCGCAGGGATTCGGCTGGCCTGGACCCTCTTGCACGCCTTACAGATTGCTGGACGGATGGCAAGCATTTTGGAGTTGAATTGTTTAGAGATTGTCAACGAGGGGCTGATCGGCAAGTCGTTAGTCAACTGGAGGAGAGCTTGGCCGCATATCGTCGGCTTCTACATAGTGCAGTGCCCCGGTCAAAGCTGCCGACTGCCATCTGGTGCCAGCTGGTGTGGGTGACTTCCAACCCAAATGGGCTTTCGCGCCCATTGTTTCTGCAACTATTACAAGACCACTGAGGGTGTATTAACAGTCCATGCGATATGTCTCGCATCATCGTGAATAAACTCCATTGCATTTCCCTCGACCTGACAGCCCCCACTCCTTCATTATGTTTCGTTGTTTGGCATGGGAACCCCTATATGAGATTAAAGCAAGGACCTTTGCGGACCAGACTGCTGCGCATTCTCATTAGCCAGTATCTGACGATGCAAGCAAGCGGCATAGCAAGTGGGTTGGAGGACGAATCGAACCAAGCGCAATTTCCCCTTGACCGACCACACGTTACCATCAAAAGAGCATACGTCGAAGGCAGCTAATTGACGTATCCCCGCAGGAGTTCTGGTTTTCCTCTAGGATACATACATAGCGACTAGCTACCGCGTATCGATGGCCGATGCTGCTTTAGCTCATTTATCTGTATGACTGTTGAGATCTGCTTGCTAAAGCGACCACCAAAATGACAATGAGAAGGAATCCAACTCAGACAAAGGGCCTCGTACTTCTCCTTCTCGTCCTCAATGTTCTGAATATGCCTTAGCTCGCAGCTGCGCAGACGCCAACGTATGCAACGGTCCCAGCCATCATGCCTACACTGGCCGGCCCCGCGAAGCCGAGAATGACGCAGTGGGAGGAACTATGTACGACCAAAGGCTTAATCGCGCCGTGGCTGTACGTATCGTCACATGGACACCAGGTGTTACTGAATCGCTGACCGGCGTGACCACGCAGGTCCTGGACGGAGTGCGCAAACTCGGCGATGCTGGCGCAATTGACAAAGAGCGACTGTTCGCCGTACGCGACAAGAACACTCGACGGCACGGGTGCGACGGCCGCCGCCGGCGTCATGACCGACTGCTACTGCCCGGCCTACCAGACGATCGGGGCGTAAGTCTCAGGCGCGGGCGGCTCTTCAGGATGTTTCGGGCTAATATGATTTGCCAGGAACTGCCTCCAGATTGTTTGCCCAACCGAGGCAGCGAACTTGTTCACGAAGCAACTGCTTGAGGGCGTCTGCCCCGGGGTTACGGCAGCGGATAATGTCAGCTTCCCACTCCAGATTGGGATAACGACGACGGCGACAAGCGCGGAAGCGATGGGGGCAGAGACGTCGAGAGGAAGTGGTCTGGATGGCGCTGCCGGCGTTTTGAGTATTTCACTGAGCCTATCATTTGCGGCAACTTTGATGGGAATGGTGCTTACGTTGCTATAACGTGGGAACCTAGTAACACTGGGTGCAACATCAAAGCTTCAAGTGCAACTAGTCACTATAGTGGCTACATTTTTTCCAATGTTGAGATAAACGATTACCTTCATATAACATATCAAAGAATTCAACGTTCAAATGTTTTGTTTCAACATTTACATTGCATTCTGGCCGCCCCAGCGAGGGCTTTGCGTCCTCCAGTGCTCTTCATGGATTACCTCGATTATATGTACAGATATCGATACCTAATAATGGGGTATTAAGTGCTCGTAAAGGCTGACATTTAATCGTGTTTTGTGTCTGAGGTACTGTACTGTACATTCTGTTCCGTCCCTTAGTGCCGAAATCGAGTATTAAAACCGGCGTTCTCTCAATAAGGAACTTTTGGCACTCGGTATCGTCACGCCATCTAGGATAGGTACTAATCCTAAGAGATGAAACGCAGGGCTAGAAAGGCTTGGCTATTTGACAATTGATCTTCATCAAAAGTTCGATGTCTGGTCGATTTGAGTATGTCCCTGGATTTGGACCGCCCAAGGAGGCATCCTTCGATAACACGGTGTGTTAGCCCAACAGGTGGGATTATCGCCATCACAGTAGCACTTGCCGGAGACACTTCCAATACAGTTTAGCACTCGATTACCATTCATATTACACGTCTTCCTGCTGAGCCTCCTCCCACCCGTGTTCCTACGACATTCCTGTTCTTCTGCACCCGTAATTGAACTCTGGAGCCACCACACACTAGGCACAGCAAATTATCGGAATCACTTCCTTGTATGGCTGACAGAATGCCGAGTGATTGAGTCTGATTCACGTGTACTTCGCAACCAGACCAGAACTCTCCATACACTGACCCGCTTCGGCTACTAGGTTTTCTTCGAAAACTGGGCCATCTGCCACCTACGCCCTTTTCACCAGGGCCACCCCTTTGCCTGTTTTCCACTACTCACGTTACTTGACTAACGGGTCCTCATTCTCCCACGCGAGTAACGCACGCGTGCCTGTACAACGAACACAATGGCCGGTCTCTCCTATCTGGTGTACCCGTCACTAACAAAAACCCCAGACGGGACGACCGGGGACAAGACATGCTGCCGTCTGCCAGCACAGGTACAAGCTGCAGCCAGATTTGGCCATTAGGGCTATCTGAGCCAGATTCTGACAGGAGCTTATTTCTTTACGTTTCTCCGATATAATCATGTGAGGGCCAGCACCGGAGATGGTTGCCTCGCGGCGACGCCTCGCGGCGACGCCTCGCGACAAAGTTTTCGGGCGGGGGTAGGGGGTGAGAGAGGAGAGGGGGTGTGGAAAAAGTGAACAATCATGTATGCCCATCGGTTGCAACTGAGACCTTGATTTGTACTTTGAAAGAGCTCCCAATCATCGATGGCATAGATAGCGCAAATTCGCCCATTTTCTCAAGCAGACGAAGCAAGCAAATAAACAGGCAAAGAAAACAAATGGCGTTGCTCGTTGCTAGGGGCTGCCGAAAAATAAGGTTCGGATTGAGTGCTTGAGTGCAGCGGCCCCAAAAGATCAGCAACCAAGACCGCCTGAATTGTCCCACCCGTTCGCCGCGGAAGCCAATCAATTGCTCGCAAACGCTCCCCGAAGCACAAACGTGCAGTAGTTCGCCGCTAGGACCGGGGCACTCCCGTCCTGCTAGCGATGTGAGTGCGTTTAAGTCGACTACATTCGACGGTGTCGTTCATAACGACAACTGGAGACCGCGCGTTGATGCATTTGAGCACATCGGGGGATCTTCATCTCGGTCAGAAGGAAGAGGACGGTATACGGTAGGACGTGCCTGGCTGGGCAGGACTGTGGACAAGGTACATGCACAGTGGATGGATGCCTGCACAGTGCAGCCCCAGTACAAATCGCTGGACGACCAACCATTGACGGCCTCGACTTACAAAAGGACGGTACCCGGTCTCTGGTCCAAACTGAAAACCTTTCCCAAATTGGGTGTAAAGTTCAGTGTCGAAAGTATGCCATACTGTGAGCCCTAAGGGGGCCAGCACAGAATCTTCAGCATCCCTAGGAGTCTTGGCAGGTGCCATTGGAGTAGGTAACCAGAGTAGTTGGCTGGCATTTAGATTGGACGGATTTCAGTCCGAACTCCTATGAACTGGCTGTTTTCTTGTATATACACGACAATGGCGTCTTCTCTGTTTTGGATAGAAAAAGAGCACACAGGACTGAAGAAGCCAAGCGTCCTCGCCGTCCACTTGTCATCAGACCGACCGGACCAAATCAGAGACAGATCCAAACTATCTCTCGCCCATACTTTCATCGTCGCCCGGTCACTCTAGAACTAAAGAGTCTTGTGACAACTGCAAGGCCTTCAAACTGTGGGATGAAGCGCCTGACCTGTCAGGGCTTTTACCGTAAAGGTTTTCGGAACTATTGCTTGCCTCTTTCTGCCCTAAAAGCTGCATTTGAGGCTCTAACCATGGTACGAAGAAAAGTATAGGCACCTTTCTGAGTGAACTCTTTCTCAGGGCAGTATAAAATCTCCCCCAGATCGCCCAGATGCTGGTTTCTCTTCCTTGATTCTTCATCCACCAAGGAACACAGGCACTCGACTATTCTTCTCATTACTTCTTGTTCATAATCGACTTCGGTCTTAATTCTTCTTCTTCATACTTCTTGTCCATACTTGACTTCGGTCCCAACCCTTCTTCTTAATACTTCTTGTCCATACTTGACTTCGGTCCCAACCCTTCTTCTTAATACTTCTTCTTACTCGACTTCTTCTCTTCTTCTCTTCTTCCTCTTCTTCCTCTTCTTCTTCTTCCTCTCTTCTTCTTCTCTTCTTCCTCTTCTTCTTCTTCTCTTTTTGAATATTCACCCATCCATTCACTCACAATGGAGGCCACCGGTGAATTTAACTTTGGGGACTTTCAGTCCTTTTCCAATGAAATGTTTTGGGCTGAGGAGCCCTCGCAGCAGCAGCAGCAGCAACAGGTCCATTCCGAAGACCTGATTCAGCAATTGTTTGGAGCGGCGCTTACCGAGCATCAGGAGCAGCCCGAGCTGTCACAGCAGCCCCAGCAGCAGCAGGAGCAGCAGCAGCAGCAGCAGCCCCTTTCCGACAATCTGCTTGAGGGCCTGTCTTGGGAGAGCCTTTCTCAGCAGCCCCTGTCCCAGGAGCTCCTGCAGCAGCTCGATCCCATGCTGTTCCTGTCCGGGGAGGAGCAACCCCAGCAGCCTGAGCTGCCCCAGCAGCCTGAGCTGCCCCAGCTTCCTGAAGTGCCCGAACAGCCCGGGAATCAGCTCGAAGACCCGTTCGAAGGGCTGTTCGGGGATGAGGGCCTATTTGGAGACGAGGAGAGCCCAAGCCCTGAAGTGGGCAACGAGGCAGCCCATGGGAAGGACGACTTCTATAAGTCCCTTCCCTCCCCTCTTCCTACGCCCTCCTCTTTCTCTATTACCCTCCCTACTCTTCCTTTCCTCCCTCCCTCCCTCCCTCTCCCTTCTCCTCTTAACGCCGGGGACAACGAGGGGCAGTTCATTGACCCCCGGTTGGTGGAGATGCCGGCTCCTGTGGCTGTTCCCGTAGCCGATCACCCTCCTCATGGAGTGGGTGAATACACCCAGGGCGCCCAGGGCACCACGGACGCCAAGGACGACGACGTCAACATGGCCGACATCCCTCTGCCGTCCCCGGAGACTTCTTCTTCGCGTCGCGTATCGGTGGAGGGTGCCGTGGACAGAGCACTTGCGCCCAACACGAAGGGCAACAGAGTGGCCAAGAAGGCCGGCAAGAAGGCTGCCGGGGGCCCCGTCCGCGCGGTCAAGGCCAATTCCTGCGACGCGTGCCGCCGCAGCAAGACCAAGTGTGTGACCGCCGAAGGCGCCACAGACTGCGAGGCATGCCTCAAGAAGCACCGTAAGTGCAACGTCTCCGGTGTCGACGGCCGCACCAACAAGACCAACCGGGACCTTCTCGACACCACATCGGCCGCCGTCAACGATTACCTCAGGCACGCCGCTCTCCTCTGCTCCGAGCTCGCAGAGCACCCCACCCAGAAGCCCATGGCACAGGCGCTTCTGCAAACCATGGGTGATTTTAGACAGGTCCGCTCCGTCATCTCAACAGTCACCGGGTGCCCCCAGAAGGCGTGGCCCTTCGCCGCGGGCCCCTTCCGCCCGCCAACTCTCGACGGGCCCGCCAAACTGACCTATGTGCGCAACTGCCGCGGTCCCCAGCTTCGGCTAATCGCCCAGAATCAGGGCAAGATTCTCGCTTCCTTGTTGATAATGATCACTTTTGGCGAGGATCCTCTGGTCTCGGCGGCATCTGGCCTCGTTGAGCGCGTGATGGGCCACAATACGGCACTGGCCACTCTCGAGGGGTCTATCCGAGAGCACTGCTCCTTACCTAACGAGCATCCAATTTACGAGCACATGCGTCAGGGAATCGAAATGTGCTTCGAGGCGTAAAGCTCCCGCACCTGACCTGCGGACCGGCGAACGAAACGGTGCTGCATTGGACCCTAAAGTAAACAAACATAAGAAGACGGAAGAAGGAATCAATTAAGAATGGTGCTCGAGTTTGAGGCTCGAGAACAGGAGTTTTGCGGTGATTCATGGATACCCGGTGCAATAAGTCACCACACCGATCATGGGAATGGTGTTCAGGTTTGAGGCCTAAGAAAGGAGTTTTTGTGATGGTTCACTGAGACCAGGTGCAATATGTCACCACACCAATTACGAGAATGGTGTTTTAAGCTTCGCTGCTTTTGGGTTTTGTTTTGGTTCGGCTTTTTGGATTATGAGTTTTGGTTTGGTTTTCTGGGAAGTTTGGATACAGGAAAGGGTCTCTTCTGGCATGGTGGACAGTCAATCAACGCCATTCCCAACCACATTTGTTCGTGTCTTTTGTGATGTGATGAAGGCTCTTGAAGCCACCTTGTATTTGGCTGCTGCTCCTGTCCGTCTCTTCGATCTAGAAAGCTGTTGCCCATCTCACTCTTTTAATGCCTAATCCTACTGAGGAGTGCATTGTCCCTGGTTCTCCAAGCCATCATGTGAATGTGTGAAATCGATTCCTATCCTCCTCTGTTGCGGCAATGGAAATGATGGAGATCAGATGCTGTGCATTACCCAGCAGTGATGTGAGATCGCCCTAAAGGCAATGAACTCGGAATCTAACTCTTTCGCTCGGAGTGCGAGAAGACGTGGAAGGCGGGCAAGGAGAGAACGCTGAAATGAAAGATGGGATGTGAACGAGACGGAAAAGGTAGCGATTATTGGAAAGAAATGGGCCAGAGAAAGTGGCGATTCTTGGAAGGAAGGAAAACGAGGTTTCCATCCTCCAGTAGGTGTAAGGGTAAATAAATGGCAAAGAAAGACAATGGAACTACCCCCATCTCGTCTGTACGAATACGAATACGGAGAAGAAGAAGAAGAAGAAGAAGAAGAAGAAGAAGAAGAAGAAGAAGAAGAAGAGATAATCGCGGAGGCAGCCGCCCTGACTTCAGGAGCCCACGACTTCATCGACTGCTCATCAACGGCAACGGAGAACATCAGAATGGAAGCCACGAGGCCGAGAGACTGAATGAAAAGGTTGCCAAGGCAGTATCGTGTGCTCGGGAGCTGCTCTGCGCACTATGTTCCGAAGATGCTACTACACCTCTGAAGCATCCCAGGTGTCCGGACCCAACACGTTATTGTACGACATCAAGATCACAGAGGTCCAAGAGCATTCTTTTTTTGCTGCAACAATGCCAAGGCCTTCATACGTTTACCTACGACCAAGTCAGTAACGGCTCTTTCTATCCCCTTCCTGGGCTGCCAGCACCTGTTGTCCATGGCTCAAAACTCACCTTGGCCACTTTGAACTTGCAACCCCGGCGGTAAACCACCGTTGGACCATCCAACCCCCCTCAAACCACAATCTTCGCCTCGCTCTTCGGCCCCCTCTCCCCAAAGATCGTGCTGCCCACTCTCACCTCCCCGCTTCCCAGCCTCACTGCGCCCTCAAAGTCCTCGCTCATGCCCATGCTCAGCTCCAGCTCCCTCTCCAGCCCCAACTCCCGGGCCACCAGCTCCCTCTGCGCCCGCAGGCACAGGAAGTCCTCGTTCTCGTTCTCCGCCGTCGTCGCCTTGCTCCGCGCGATGGCGCCGATCGTCATCAAGCCCAGCAGCCGCAGCGCCGGGCACTCGGTCTCGACGGCGCGGCACAGCGCCACAGTCTCCGGGCCCGGCGCCACGCCCGACTTGGACTCCTCGCCCGAGGTGTTGACCTGGACGTGCACGCCGAGCGGCTCCGCCGGGGCGGCGCCGCCGTCGTCGGGCTGCGAAGACATGAGCTCCGCGCGGGCGGCGTTGAGGAGCTGGGCCTTCTTGAGGGTGTCCACGCTCGAGACGCAGAAGAGGTTCGGGATCTTGGCCAGCTTCTTGGCGTGTGCTGCGTCGACAGGGTTAGGAATTTCCCTCTCAGAAGAACTTGGAAAAAGAAAAAGAAAAAAAACCTCCGAGACCTAGGCGATTAAAGACTGGCAAAACGGGGGGGGCATACTTGACTGCAATCCGCCGATGAAATGCCACTGGATGCTCCTCGGCAGCATCTCCGCCTTCTGCCCCAGCTCCTGCGCGTAGTTCTCGCCAAAGTGCACCTGCGGCGGCGTCGCCTGGTGCAGCGCCAGAATATCGTTGGCGGGCTTCAGCTTGGAGACTGCCACCAGCCGGACCTGTCGTTTGTTAGTTTATCTATCAGTGAATCTGCCCCGCCCGTCGCCATCCATCTTACAGCACGAGACCGAGGGGAGACTCACATTCCGCCCCGCAGCAACGGCGGCGACGCGCTCCTGCACCGCCTGCAGCTGGGAAATGAGGGCCTTTGCTCTCGCCGGGTCTATCTTCATCTCGGGCTGGGCGTCGGTCATTGCAGGCCTAGACGGGGGAGGGTTGTGGTGTGGTGAGAGGTGAAGGCAAGACTAAAAGGCACTTTTTTTTGCTATGAAAGTCCGAGTGAGGTTAGCAGTGTATAGTCATGGACTTCCAGCGTCTTCCAAAAGCGACCTACTGATTGACTAGCAAAATTGGGTCCATTCTCAATGCGGGAATCCGCGGGGTTCAGTGGAGCCTCTGTTAGCAGGCTGTTCCCTGATCCAAAGGGTACGGTCACCACTAAGAAGTTTGGGAACTTGGAGGGTCTAGTGATGCATGTGCTGCACCTTGGGTGCAGGGTTTCTAGACTTTTGGGTGGCCACTGTATGTACTCAAATTCGTGGGCTCGTTCAATTCACTGCAGTTTACAATTGTGCTTTTTTCCCCTCTTTCCCGTCGTGTATCCCTTGTTTATAAGCCATACAGTCTTTTTTCGGTATTTTCCCACCTAGAACGCAAATCCCCCACATTTTCCTTTGGTTTTCAGGGATTCCCTTTTATCTAACATGCAACCCGGTTTTGACAAGACGTCGAGGTGTAATCCAGTCAGTTCCTTAGACCAAAGCGCCACGGCCTCCAACTCTCAGCAGCGCCTCCTTCTGCTCGGGGCTGATCTCAGCAGGGGGGATGGCCAACTGACCGCGCTTCTTGGGCGCCTCCAGGAAGCCAATGGCAATGAGGTAGCCCAAGTAACGGCCGATAGTCTCGTCCTTGACGGCGCCGCCGGCGGAGAGGTCCTCTCCTGTCAGCTCGGCGTCGCTGCGGAGGGCGGCCGCAGCGTTGACGTCGTCAAGTTCGGGGGCGATGGAGTCGGCTGGGAGATCGGTAGTTGCGAGGTGGTACAGACCCATCCTGTGCTTTGTTAGCGCCATTCGTAGTTAAATGCTTCGGCGTTAAAACTTACAGGGCGTGCTCCTTGCCCTCGGCGACGTAGTCTTGCAGGCTCTTGCTCCACTGACTGTACTCAACCTCAGGCACATCGTAGCCGTACTTCTCTAACGCACCCAGATACGTCCGGAAGGTAAGTCTGGGGTGGCTCGTCACCTGCGCAACACCGAGAGGCTGGCGGGGAGGGTGCAGCGCCGAGGCCACCACAAGACGGGCGACATGGTCAACGGGTACCATGTTGATGGTGTTCTCAATCTTGGGCCTCGAGTTAAGCTGGATGCACCCCTTGAGCATTCTCAGCAAGAAGTCATCCGTATTACTGGTGCCAGAGTATTGCTCGCCGGTAATATAGCCAGATCTGACGATGGTGCCAGACAGGCCTCTCTTGCCGGCATTGCGGACAAGGTACTCGGCGACCCACTTGGTCGAGCCGTAACCGTTGCCGAGGTTCTTGGAACTACCGGAGAGGTCGTCCTCTTCGCTGACGAGACTGCCTCCCTGAGAGAGCTTGACGAAGTGCGGGTGGTCGAGGACGGACGTCGATGACACGAACGCCAGCTGCTTGGGCTTGCCCGTCGCGCAGAGCGAGAGGATATCGAGCGTTCCTTGGACGTTCGCCGGCTTGAGGTTCGAGTACGGAAGGACCCAGTGGACCTGGGCACCGTTATGAATGATGATGTCGACCTCGTCGGCCAACGAATTCCAGCGCTCCTGCGAGAGACCGAGGAGAGGCTTCCCGAGGCTACCCTGTACAGCAGTAAGACTGTTCTTCCAGCTGGGTTGCCATATGCCGTAAGCCTGGCAACTCTTGACGACTCTGTTGTAGGCGTCGACGTCGTCGATGGCACGGACGTGGGCGATGACTCTGACATTGGGCGCGCTGCGGGTCAGGAGATCTTTCAGGATGTAGGCACCCAAGAAGCCAGTGGCGCCTGTCAGGAACACGGTCTTCACGTTGGCAGCCTTCTTGTCGAAAGGGGTGAACTTCTCGGGCAGAGTGGCCAAGAGTCTCTTGGCATCCTCAAAGTAGTCTTCTCCTTCAGGCGTGGCGTTCGCACTCTCAGGGGTCTCTCCAGAGAGCTTGCCATCGATCTCGGCAGAGAAAGCTTTCAGTGAGGGGCTGCGGAACACAACAGCCATGGTGACGTTGACACCAGGCCATGTACGGTTGACCTGGAAGAGCATCTGCTGTGCCAGGATACTGTGGCCACCAACGTCGAAGAAGCTGTCATCATGCCCAAGACTTCGCTCGTCAACGTTGGCGAGGAGGGAACCCCAGATACTAGCAACCTTGCGCTCGGTCTCGGTCAAGTCAGAGGCCTCAGTGTGCGGGCGGGCCTCTGCCAACTGGGCGGGGTCAGGAAACGGCAGTGCAGGCTTGTCCTTCTTTCCGTTGGGGTTCAAGGGGAACTTCTCGAGAGGGATGATGATCTCGGGGATGGCGTAATTGGGCAGCTTGGTCTTGAGGTACTTTCGAACCTCCTCTCCAAGGGGCCAGAACCTGCGAAGGCGACCCATCAAGCAGTCACCGCCGGAGGTGTCATCCTTCTTACCGTTCTGGGCCAACCACTCGGCCCATCTCTGCATGTCGGGTACAATGTAGCTGATCAGGGTCTTCTCTTCGTCCTTGTTGCGGCGGACCAGAGTGACGTTGTCAAGAATCATGGGGTGATCTGACAAGTACTGAATTATGTCAGCTGGCGTTGCCGCGTCTCTCGGTGGTGGGACTTTACCTTGTCGATCTCTCCCAGCTCGATACGGAATCCACGAATCTTGACCTGGTCGTCTGCGCGGCCGACACAAACAACATTGCCGTCCTCGGTATACTTGCCTAAATCGCCCGAGCGATACATGCGATCCCTGGGACCCTTGTAGAATTCTCTCCACGGCTCATTCTTGGATGCCTGCTGATCAAGATCCGCCCATCTGCTGTCCTTGACGAACCAGTTGCTGACGAACTTGGCCTTGTTCAACTCGTCGTTGGCCAGGTAGCCTTCTGCCAAGCCGCCCGCTCTGACGTAGATTTCACCAACCTCGCCCACATTGCAAACACGTTCAGTGTTCTCGCGATCCACGACGATGAGCTGCACGTCCTTCATGCCCTTGCCAGCGGGAATGACGTTATCGGGAAATCTATCCAGGAAGGTGGGGTCGGCGCTGACACTGGGGAGCTCGTAGTAGCTAACTGCTCTTTGCGTCTCGCTATTTTTTGTTTAGCAAACCTCCTCGCCGGCGTCAGGGGCGTGAACCTGATACATACGTCGTGCCATACATGTTAACGATGTAGCAGTTTCCAGCCAACTTCTGCAGAGCCTTGCAATCTCTCTTGATCAAAATGTCACCAACGAAGAAGGCATGGTGGAGGGCGGGGAATTGGGCGCTGGCGTTGCTGACGAGAACGTTGCCCATGGCCGGGGTCAAGTGAGTAACTGTAGCGCCATATTCTCTCATCCACTCGGCAAGCTTCTCATGCTGGATATCCTCCTTGGAGGGAACCAACAGCTGGGCACCAAGGAATATCGGGGTGAAGATGTCTCGTTGGATAGGGTCGTGAGCTATCGCGTGTTAATGCGCTTCACTCAGCACTTCCGAATCAGAGATTTTCTCACGTACCAATGCCGCTGAGCATGGTGAACTTGTCCTTCTCGCTGAGGTTGAAACGCTCGGCCATCCAGTCAAAGTAGTATGCTAGGGAGTAGTGCCTGCCGAGGACACCCTTGGGCTTGCCCTCGCTGCCAGAGGTGAAAGACAAGGTGGGGTTCGAGTCGGGGCCCACAAGGACGTTGGGACCGTTTTCCTTCTCAAGGCCGGCGAAGATGTCCTTGCCGTCGACCTGGCCGCCGACGAGGGTGCCGTCGGCTCTGAGCTCGAGGGCGGGGACCTCGGTCTTGAGGTCGAGGTTCTTGGCGATGAAGGTGCGGACCTTATCGGTCAGCTTACCGGCCTCTTTGGTTGCCTTGTCGATCACCACAAGGGCTCGTGGCCGCGCAACATCGAGATAGATGTTCTGGCCTGCGGGCTTCAATTAGCAGGGTCCTCTCAAGCCAAGGAGGGGTTGATTACGGTCAGGGGGGTATGATGGATCGATGACGCTGAAAGTAGCTCCGGCCTTGAGGATACCAAAGACGGCGACAACAAGGTCAACACCACGATGGGAGTAGCTCCTGTGGGTTCACATCAGCATCCACCACCAGAAGTGCAAACATTTCATGCCAAGAAGACAAACATGACGACATCTCCCCTCTGGACGCCAGAGGCAACCAGATGGTTGGCGAGAAGGTTGGACGCCTCATCGATTTGGCGGTAAGTGAACTCCCTCCTCGGGGATGTGGAAGAGGCGGTTTCAACGACGCACAGCCTGTCAGGATGTTGCTTGGCGTTTTGAGAAAAGATGTCCTGAATGGCGCCGCGAAAGGCGGACCAGTGCAGGTCGCTGCGATGTGTGTCAGCGCGCGTGGTTCATGGCATTCATTATTATTATTTTTCCCCCTTGATCGGAGGTGCTCTAAACTGGCACATTCAGTCACACTCACCTGGTGGGGTCTGGGAGCTCAGGAGCCATAGCGGGGGAGGGGTAAATTCCAGCGAAGGAAGGAATGAATTGCAAAGTAAAAAAAAGGCTATCAAGGAAAAAGTTTTCAAGGCCCCGGAGAGTCTCACTAGATACCCCGGTGAAGACAATCAGGTCATGCAAATTGCTTGACAGAGGGTGTTGTTCGCTCCTGAGTTATCCTTGAACCTAAGGAACCGACAGGGTAGAAGACGATGACGGAATGGGTTGGTTATATTTGGATGAGACGAAGGTCAATTGAGTCATAAAGATGAAGACCGGGATGGAGGGCGGTGTAAGTTTTTTTTAGTTTCTTTTTTTTTGATTTCTTTTTTTTTTGTTACTTCTCCTCCGGTCCAGGTCCGGCATCGCTCTCCCCGCAAAATTTCTTCAGGTCCCTGGCGTGCCCACCATCGCCACCACGTACCTGTCAAAGAGACATCCTTGACTTGATGCACGTCGAGGGTTCCAGGACAGGACCAGGTATCATACTCGAACGTGTACCGAGGCCGAGTGGACCAAAGATCAGCATTGCCAGTATTGGATTACTCAGGATATCTCTACGCATTTCCGCGCCGCCTTCGCTACCGTTCCCGTTACGCCGCCCTACCCTCTGTTTAACTCTGTCAACTCCTCCATACGGATGGACCCCTGGTCCTGACGCGCCGGTGGCCGGCCGAACACCCTTTAGCACAACTTCATAACCCAAATTGAGCACAGGAGGAGCCATCACGCACATCCTCGTTTCACCACATCAATGTCTACCTACGAAAGCTCGATAATTCAGACGGGTAAATCGAGTTCGTCGACGACACCTCTTGCGGCTCCCGCACGCCAGACAACTCCGTTCTCGGCCCCGAATGCTCATCCATCGGCAACACATACGACGGAGGGGGCGTGTTCCGCCTTACCGGGCTAATCGGACTGAAAGCTGGAACCATGTGCAGGCAGGACGATGAACATGCGGTCGCCTGACGAGTTGGGGCTGGCGTATGCCGAATTCTGCGTCTCCTGACGCATCACGGGATGCAGGGTAGGCGTGGGATGATGTCTTGTTTGGTTCCATTTGAGCCGGGCGTAGGACGTTGCTTTCGGAGGCAAAAGAACCAAACTTCTAGCACCACTAACACGCCGAACGCGGCAGACCCAATAGCGATTCCAGCCATAGCCGCGGCCCCATCAGACCTCCCGGATGCCATCACCGATGGGATGGCCGACTCAGTCGCGTTTGCCCGGATAATGAAGCCACGGCTCTGCAGCTCGTTGCCGATGAAGCCCTCGGGGTCACCCGTCTTGGTGTAGTTGCCGGTCGGGTCGATGAGCCGAGGCGCAAAATTGGGATTCGCCGCCAACACGACTGCCGTGACGCCGTCGCCATGTCCGATATACCATATATGCGTTGTTTCGGTCGTTGGCTTGATGGGATGTCAATCGGCGTAACCGCGGTATAGCATCACATAACCTTCTTACTGATCAACGAGCCAACAGCCACGCCAGCATCCTTTCCCCAGTGCACGAGACTAAGTGAGATGTACGACACGGTTGGTACTTCCCAAGTAATCCGAACTTTTTGGCCCAAGGTGTAAGTCTTGTTGAGGTCTGAGACGGAATAACGGGTGCTCTCCCGGTCAAGCTCGAAACTGGGTGGCTCGGTGAAGTAGTCGACTTTTACGGGGACTGCGAAGAGAGATAATAGACCCAACAGCGCATGGCTGAGGTTGATCTGACGATGGCAGACCATGTTACAAAGATGCAACAGAGAAACTTAGCGCTAGGCCTATGCGATTAGAAGAGAAGGGGAGATAGCGTGTCATTAAATACAACCAGTCCAACACAACGAGGCAGAGCTCTTTTGCAACTCATGTCGAGTCTGCCTTGGCCAGGCCCAATCGAGGCACCACATATTTATTCCAGGAACCGAAGGGTGGATTTCAGGTACGGTTGTCGGACGCAATACGAGATGAAGTCGACCGTGCCGCTGTAATGCAGCAACACGACCCACGCCAAGCCTGGGGCCATGTCGTTGAGGCTGACCCACGCGATTAGCTCTTGTCCGCTCACGTATTCAAACTACTGGTTCAGACTTGATGAAAAACAGACATATACGAGAATCTCCCACATGCCCGAGTCCTTGGGGGAGGGGGAGGGGCAGCTTCTGTGAGACTGTGGTGCCCGGTAGAAAGATTATAACGATACGTCTTCGGATGGTTGGGATCGTTACTAGATTCCACAATGGACGGATTGGGAAACATGCTTTACCAGCCACAACTCTAGCCACCACCACTACGCAGGCAAGCCACCTGAGACCCTGCCCGAGGTACCTAACGCATTCAGCAATCCAGGGGGATGATGTCCTGTACAGCATCTTGGTTGGCTGACTGATAGCTGTGGCTCCCCCCTCCCCCTTTAACATCCATATCTCATCCCAATCGTGTCTTCGTCAGCTGCCTATTCCTGAAAAAGAGGATAACGGAGGATTTCAATGAATGTCTTTTAGCTAGCTATCTCTCACCTCCAAAGCTGTTCGTACACCACACTACACGACCTTCAATCTACTTGGCACGATCTCTAGCTTCTCCCCTTGGTTTTTTTTTTTTTTTTTTTTTTTTTTTTTTTGACAGCTAGCCGTTTCTTCCTTTCTTTTAGGCATCTTCTTTTTTGCCCTTGTTCTCTTCTACCTGGCTCCCCAACTCAGATTAGCATATCTTCTATATTGCCATTGCCCAGCCAATCGGTTTGGCTTTCCATTGGGGCACTCTGTCCACATGTCCCACTTCTGAGCTCGCTCTTCACGTACCACCACTACGACCCGATCAGTCAGTCGACTCCCCAAACCGCATACCGGCCATCCCATCTCTGCCCGCCGCCGCTTCGTCGGCCAGAGCCACCGCGCATCATGCCGAAGCAACGCACCATCTTCGGCCGTCCGGTCCCCCGCTTCGGCACACGACGCATTTCCTTCCTGCTCGTGAGCATCTCCATCTTCGCCGTCTTCTCCCTCCTCGTCACCCTGCCGAGCTCCATCCCCTCCGGCCCGAGCCTCTCCAAGTACACCGACCACAAGTTCTCGATCCCCTCGGCCATCAAGAACCCCTTTGGTGCCTCGAGCCGCCTGAACCCCTTCAAGCCCCCCTCTCACCCGCCCCCGCGCCAGCAGAATGACACCTTCGGCGAGTCCTCGTGGTGGGCCGACTGGAAGTGGCTCTCGGTGCCCTTCTCTTCCTCCCTGACCCTCGACGAGGAGCGCTCGCTGCTGCCACCTCTCAAGCCGCGCCCGCCCATCTACTGCTACTACGATACCACCATCAAGAAGGACGCCGCCAGCAAGGACGCCGAGAGCGAGCTGCTCCTCCTCTGGCGCCGCGCCTGGTGGGCCCGCGGCTTCAAGCCCATCATACTCAGCGCCGCCGAGGCCATGAAGAACCCGCTCTACGAGGAGTTCCAGCGCAGCAGCAAGGAGATCGACCCAGACCTCAAGACCGACCTGATGCGGTGGCTTGCCTGGGACAACATGCGCGGCGGCCTGCTCGCCTACCACACCACCCTGCCTATGGGCCCGCACGAGGACCCCCTCCTCTCCTATCTCCGCCGCGGCGAGTACCCGCAGCTCACCCGCTGGAACAACATGGGCAACGGCCTCTTCGCTGGTGGCGAGAAGGAGGTCAATGCCGCCATCAGGGCCACCATGGGCAGCTCCAAGCTGAAGGACGCTAAAGACTTCGTCACCGCCGCCACCGAGGACACCTTCAAGATCGACAACCAACCCAAGGCCATTGCCTACTACGACTCGACCGTCATCCAGGAAAAATACCCCAAGGTCGCCGAGGCCATTGCTGCCGACCGCGCGGGCGGCCTGCAGGTCCTCCGCAAACTCATCAACGGTCATCTGCACACGACCTGGCAGAACGTCTTCTCGGACGGCATCGCCGTACTCAAGCCCCTGCCGCAGCACATGACGCACATGATCAAGAACGCCTGGGACCTCGCCGGCGATCTCTCCATGTGCCCAGCCGACTCCCCCATGCCCGGCTCCTGTCCGCCCAACAACGCAAAGTGCAAGCCCTGCGTCCCCGCGCAACCCATGCATGTCTCGACCCCTCCCCGATACCGCAACACCTCAACCTTGTACACCATCGGCACCGTGCCACACCCCTACACGACCGCGCTCCTTACAAACCTCCTGGACTCAATCGAGATCCCCTGGATCCGCCGCAAGTCGGAGCGCGATGTTTGGCTCGCCGCCGTCACGGCCGAGCTCCTCGGCGCCGGCGTCGGCGGCGCACCTCGCGTTCTGAAGTTCAAGGAAGCCATCGCCAGCGAGTTTGCCACCGCCCACTCGCTCTGGCTCACTGCGGAAAGGGACCTTCCCAAGGACCTCGACTGGCACTTCGGCTTCGCCATCCCCCGCAACGCCACGGACGGCACCTCCGAGACACCCGTCCCGGGCCCCGAGCGCCGCCCGCAGCCTAAGCACGACCCGGCCGACGGGCCCATCCCCAGCCCGCAAGAGCTCGACAGGGAGCCGACCCTGCTCAAGAGGGCGCGCGAAATGGGCAAGACCAAGGACAAGCACGAGCTCGCCGTCCGAGGGGCGATAGAGTCATGGAACCTGGCCGACACCGAGGCGTGGAAGTTTGCGCGGGCCTTTTTAGCACGCCGCATCGTCGAGCGCAAGGAGTGGGAGGACAACGAGAGCCACTACGCCGGCGGCGTCGGCACCGAGAAGGGGCGCCGCACGAGCTGGGGCGGCCGCTGGCGTGATAACAAGGACTAGACGCGTCGTTGCAGTCCGTAACGAAAGCGCTAACAGGAGAGTCGAACAGAGGAACGGGAATTGGAAAGGACCGAGCAGCAGCAGCATCATTATTTCCATACAGAAGCGATGCTGCTCGGAACACTGTAGCTGTAGCATAGGCGTCATGGAAAAACGGTGTATCATGAGTAAGGTGCTTGTCTGCGTGTATTTTTACGGATCTGTTGGGCATCAGGAATTTCTTGGGAGTCGGTAGATATTGAATCACAGAATTGTCCACACAAACCTGACGTTGGTGTTTTTGATGATGGCTAATCTACCCGATTATTCACCCACGTCTCCTTTTTTCTCTTGTAATGTCACCTCCATTTTCTAATCCAAACTGGAAGTTGCCCTCCCAAGGGCGATTTCGTTTACGCCTTCTCTTTCACTTTGCACTCTCACTGTAATATAGAAAGCGAGGTGTTGAACTCGCGTGGAGGGAAGATGAAGAAAAATGAGCGTGGGATGTCAGTGGAAGAAAAGAAAATCACAGAAGGAAACAAAAGGCAGGTTGAATTGCCTCCTCACCACGCTTCATCACGGGCCGAGCCCCGACGACGTACCTACCTACCTACTCCGAGAATACCTACTCCGAGAGTAGGTAGGTAAGGCCAGATGGGGGGGGCTCGCCTTAGGCAGCGCGCGTGTCGCCTCCCATCTCGCCGCCCAGCTCCCTGGCGCTGGCACCATTTCGGCCGGCGCCGACGGCCCCGGGCTGCTCGCGAGGGGCCAACGAGGCCTTGGTCTTGGCGCCGCTGACGCCGTTCTTGGCCGTCTTCTGCTGCTGCTGCTGTTGTTGTTGCCGACCGCTGCCGTTGCCGGTGGCCTCGGTGTAGGTCCGGAGGGCGGAGCGGGCGGACTCGACGACGCGCTCGGCGGCCTTCAGGGCATCTCTTAGTGCCTGGGCCGTTGGGTCGTCGTCGCAGTCGCGGTTGCTGCCGCCGGCGTCGCGCTCCTCGAGGAGCTCGCGGATGTGGCCGTTGAGCCAGAGGCCCTCGAGCTGGGCGCGGGGCATGTCACGGGCGCCGGCGATGGTTCCGCGGCACGAAGGGGTGCCGCAGAAGCAGTCGAAGGGCTGGGCCATGTGCCACTCGGTCGAGGGGTAGAAGAAGGTCAGCTCGTCGCCGGGCCGGAGCCCTTGCGGGCCAGCCAGGATGTTGAAGTTGCCCGTATCAAATATCTAAGAAATAGACGCGTGTCAGTGAGTTGGCCGAGTTCCGTGGGTCACGTCACCCCGAGTCGCCGGCCCCCTTCCCCCAACCCCGGAGGTGAGTTGATTCGGTGGGACAGGGAGAATTGTGGGAAGGGGAACGCGATCTTGACGGGGCAAGAGAACTGACGAGGGACGGTTCGCAGGAGTGGTTGATGTACAGCAGGTCGCTGTTGAGGTTCAGGTGCCTGTCCTTCCCGCACTGGACGGTGGCGTATGTGGGCTCGTCGGCCAGGTCGCAGGGGGGGAATGACATCTTGGCGAAGACGGCAAAGGGCGGCAGCGAGACCTTGGAGAAGCTCTTGGTGAGGAACTCGGTCTCACTGGCCTTGACGACCTCCTGGACGTCCGCGTGGGACGGCTGGGTCCAATGGGGGGTGAGGGGTGCCATTGCGCGGAGTATTCGGTCTATGTCTATATGGGGAGAGCGACGGCGTCGTTTCGTCTTGGTGTTGAACAGCGTGCGCTCGTACTTGTACTGGGTCAGCCGGTCTGTCAAAAGTAGAGAACGGGCTGGGGGGCTTGGCCAACGTCGCGGGGAGGTGTCTCTTACGGAGATGTCCGGATTGGGTCTTTCTAATAACTTGATACGATGTGGTATTACAAGCAAAGCAAATCTGTCTTTTGGTTAGACGGCAGACACTGAACCGGTGAGAGTGGGCTGCGTTATGAAATGGTGGGAGAAAAAGGAGAAGAGTCTAGGTTCGGACAGAAGTGAGTGTCTGGAATACCCTCAGTTCTTGTACAGCAGGGAGGGGTAACCCCAGTCTGACATCAACAACATGTGCCGGGCTAATAGCAAGGTAACCCAAGGTTTCACGGGCTTCTTTCCTCTGGCCGGCGCAGTCAGCCACCGGGGGCGCTCAATGGGTTGCTAGATCGTTCAACAGTTTGCCCTCCTCACATGCATTTCCATCTGCGCATGGCCCGTTGCGGGGGACCGTCACCATCTTCCTGCACACGAGGGGGTAGTGGGGTTCAATGGGGCGGATAGATGGACCTAGATTCGACAAGCGCAGAGACAGAGAGACCAATACCACTTGCGAGGTCTCCCGTCTGAACAATGCAAGGCCGTCCCCGTCGCCGCCCGTCCGGTTGTGGCGGTAGAATAAGGGGAGGCTCTCCCCTCTCCCCGAAGGGAGGGGGAACTGGCCAATCAGTGAGGGCCCGGCGACGAATCCGGCCAAAAGCCTCGTAAGCTGCAGAATAAGGCACAGTCCGGCTAGGCCACGGTCAGCCTAGCTGCAAGTCATGATACATGCCTAAACATACAGGTCCAGCCCAGCACGGGGTGTGGCTTGAAGGTTGGTGGGTTGCCGAGCACGAGGGGGGTTGCTTGCCGCGCACCCTGTCCAATACAGTCTTCTTCGGATACCCCTCCTTCGGCTCACTTTCGGCCCCTCTTTTGACAGACGGCAAGCGACGGGCTGGAGTGCTGGGGTGTGGCTGTTCGGCTTTCTCTTTCCTCCTTCTCCAGCACACACACACACACACACACATTCTCTTTCTCCGCCCCACCAGAATACCCCTCCCTCGCTGTTTTGGCCCGACGACCGAGGCTGGTAAGCGGCAAGGCGAAAGAATGCTATAAATCGTGTGACGTCAAGCCACACTCGGCGTACGGGTCCGTAAGATAGGCCCCGCGTCAGTGATGTGATACTTGGGGTCTCGGTGCCGCTGCATCCCCTCTGTTCCTTGCCTAAAGAACACTCGAAGCGACCAAGGCGGCATGGCAGCCGACATCAGTGTCTCCGGGTCGAGTAAGGCCGTTGTTAGCTTTTTCTCCTTGTGAGGTCGCTTTCGCTTTCGCTCTGCCCGCCGAGCTTCCATGTCGCATCGGTGCTTGTCGCCGCATCTCGATGCCGCGTGCGTAGGTATTCATCAGGCGTCCGAACCTCATCTAGTTGGCGCCGTCTCCATCTCGGCCGTTGCCGCGGAGGTCTGTGAAATCGGCCGCACCTAATCTTTTCCAATCGTGGCATATTCGGCGAAAAAAAAAAAAAAAGAAAGCCCTCGGCGAGTAGGAAGTAAACCTTCGACTCTGGCGCTGCCCTTAGCTTCCCCCATCAAATGTCGCTGTTGTTGGGTGATGAGGGCAACGAAAGCCTGTTCTTGCGTTTACAATAAAACCCTACTTAACAGGGGACTAAACGCTACAAGAGATGATGGCTACGCGCATCCGCTCGGGCCGCCCTGACATCCCATTTTCGCTTGCGTGCGCCTCGAAGGGCCGGATGAGGGAGCAGCAACTTGCCGCAGATCAATCAACGATAATCATATCGGCATGGCCAGCCCGGTATTGCTTGCTGCTTCGAATCAAACGAGGCCTTCCCTTGAAACAAGCAGCATTATTTCTACGTTGCACAGGTGGATGGTGTCATCGGAGTGGCCGCTGCAAACGGAAACGCCGCTCGCACGCTCGCTCTCCCTCGCGTGCACAAGGACGCAATCGGGGACGTGTGCGACCATGGCCGGAAATGTTTGCGACGCATACGGGCCACTTCTGGACGTGTAGGTATGTGTGTCTACTGTCCAGCGCCCCGGGACGGAGCCGCACTCTCCCCCTTCTCGGTCCAGAGCCCGGTTGTGCGAGGCCCCGCCACCCCGGCTGGGTTCCTGGACCTTCAAACATGGGCCTTGTCCCCGAGCCCCTTCAGGCAGTCTTATCCACGGGCCGCTCTGCTCCAGCTTTGATCCCTGTGGGGCCTCTCTCTCCCATCTTTTTGAACGACCCTGTCGTTTCAGGACGCAAAAGCTTAGTGACAAGCTCTCGTCAGGGAGCATCAATGGCGAACCCCATCAATCAGCAAGGGCGAGAAGAATTAGAAATGGAAAAAGAAGGGCAGAACCGGCGTAACCGTGCGATCCCGAATGGTGTCCGTCACGACCCCCTTCTACCGCTGACCGGACTCTACCAATCTAGATGGCCAGGCCAGTCAGTCGGTTGCCCTCGCGCGCCAATACTCAGTATGGGGCCGACTACCCCGGCCTTCAGCCGCGCCTCCCAATTTCTAACCGTGTCCTGTTCCGGCGTCGTCACCAGTTGGGAGTGCCGAGATGGGTTTGCATCCCTGTCCCTGCACACTCACTGTCTGGGGTGGTGATATCTCAATGTTGTATCAAAGGTAGGTGCGGCAGACCAAAGCCTGTGCGCCGGTAGGAGACTTCAGGATGAGCCTGTCAGCTCGGCAAAACAAGGCGAGGCTTCCCAAGAAGCGCCCCTTTGACGCCGTTTAGCTATACCAGAGCGAGCGGCGGCTCGTCGCCCTCCTTGATCAAACCATTGAATGGTTTCATTGCCAGGGCCACGTGCTCCATCGGCAAATGTTTCCCAGGGAAGACCCAGAAAGGTATACACCACGGTATCTGCGATTGAACTATCCAGGAGCCCGTCCCCCTTCCCTCCCCAAATGGGTTTGTGTACTCCGCACCGGATCCCTCCCGTCGCTGCGCATCCTTGGCTCACGAGGGTTGAGTGGGGTGGTCTGAAATGGTATGGCACGGCTACTCGAGACGGGATCCAGAGGGAAGCTTTGAGAAAGATGTAAAAGGATGGCCATCCGTGTCAATTAGTTTGGCTGTCATCCTGGCCATCTCTTCGTTCCTTACACTCTCTTCCCCGGCAGCCCAGTCACCCCGAGGCCAACCCTTTGCTCGTCTTTCATCCCCCTGCTTGGCATCTCTTGCGTCTGTATCAGGTCTAGAACACTTGGAGGCATAAACCAGCGCATACCCGCCGTGAACCACACAAATGACCCAGTCTCGCCTCGCCCAACTCCTCGACGGTAGGATGCAATCAGTCGTCATCTTTTCCCTCTCGCCAGAGGGCAACAAGCCGCATCCCAAGCCTCAGCCCGACCCTCCGGTTCCCGTTCCTGCCAACCCAGATGACCGGCATGCCTAAGCTTGGGTTGTCGGGAACTCTAAAGGCCAGGCTGTAAGAAGTCTGGTCTTTGGTGAAAGACCTCGATATCTACTCTTGTACTAGGTCTTGAGCTATGGCAGGGAAGAAAGTGTTGTCCGTATACTATGTACGGTTGAAGATACGAAGCAAGACAACATCGCAGGCACTGAGACAGCAAGAAGCCGAGAAGCATGCTCTTGAACACGGCTTATAACGGTCGCATCTACATCCATTCAACGACCTCTGATTGGATTGCGTTGTGGTTTCCACGTCGTCGACTGGAGGACGAACCAGAGAACTGCCGGGGGCACACCTTCATCAGAAGCTCGCTGAAACGCTCTTTTCTTTTTCTTCGTGAGCACTCTATCCAAGTTACCATTGCTGGAGGTCCACCTACGGATCTTTCAAGCCTCGGAGCTTGGCGGCAAGCTCGTCTTCTATCGTCTGGGGTCTTTTCGCATGGGCTTGGGGTGGGTTAGGATCACGCGTGGATTCTGGAAAGGTTTTTTATATGCGGTAAATTGACCTCAACCCCGATTTTCTCACCAAGTATTAGTAGATGGAATGGGTGGAATATGGGGCTTTGTGTTGTTTAATGGGCAGGCGACATTGGGAACAACAGCGACCAAAATGTGAAATAGGGACAATGGTTGCTTAATTGGCACTATGAACGGATATAAGAAAACAGCATTTCATAGAATAGTAGTCTCATATACTGAAAGCAGATTATGGCAATGGCGGTGGCTTTCTTATCCTCCATATGTATTCCCATACCACCTTTCATGCGTGTTTCCATATTATCAATAACAAAAATGCCGTTCAACTGGATTTGTGTGTTCCAGACATTGATACTTCCAAAGACACCCCTCCACGATAGTGAATTTGATTGTCATGATGCTAAGAGAAAACCAAACCGCCTTTGAGTATTCTGGTTCACAATATTGTGATGTTAAAACCAACGACTTCGACACCAACATGGTAACCACCGAGAGGATGTTATTGGAAAACCAACGTTGTCCTAGTTTGCATGCTACTTCATCATAAGTCGAAATTCCCTAGCAACAATGAATGATGTATCTGGCGACCTCTACAGATAGACCTAAACGTTCAACAACACTGGACACTTGTAGGCATCTAGCTTACTGTGCTGCTTCTAGGAGCCTGGCTTCCCTTCGGCATCAATGACTTCCTTTAGAACACCTTTCCCAGTTCTTGCTCACTTGCAGCTTATTTCCATTGGTGACTTCCCTGATCCTGATGACAGGTCTTCGCCTGCACCCTCCGCCCAGTGGCTCCATCAAGAATCCTCTCTTCGCTCCTTCCTGTACCTCCACTTCTGAGTAGGCACCTTCCGTCCCAACTGTTCCAGCACCAAAACAGCTCTCACCTGCTAGAGGGCTTTCGGGTTCGGAAGGAAGAGTAAAGGGGTCTCTTCTCTTCTTTTCTCACAACCCCCCACCAAGCAGACCGTTCTCCGTCTTCTTGCACCAACACATCACGCAGCTCAATCCCTCTCTCGCCAACTCGGCCTCACTTTGCTCACTTGTCCAACTTTTGGAACACAGCCGTCCTGTTGCCAATACCAACACTATTGCAGTACTGTTGTTCTGTCAATCTGGTCTTTGTTGAGATCGCCTTTCCCGACAAGAATTGTATGCCTAGCACACTCGAGACAAGCCTGTTGTCGTCTCGTTCTGCTGATTCTGGTAAGCATCTTGCTTTCTGTCACCTTTTCCCCGTTATCCATCCTGTCGAATCTTGTCCTTCATGGCTTTTCTGCCGAATAATCAACCTACGGAGAGATTGCTCATACTGCCTTTCTTCTCCAACGTTCACAACTTGTCCTTGGCATCTACTGCAATGAATCAAAGAGCTTTGATGTATTGATTATCCATGAAGCCATGGTCCTTGTCTTGGCTATTGTTGTTGTACTTGCACGGATATATAATCAGCTCTGTCCAGTGTTGTACTGACTTCATCTCAATGTTGACAGCCAAACCTCGTTTCCCGGGTGACAGTTTTGTCGATATGCTCGTCCAAATAGGCCCCATGGATTCGACTCACTACAGCATCTCTCAGCTGCTCGCCATTCGTGGCTCCAAGCTGCAGACCTCACTCGAGCGGAAGCTTCTTGATGAGTCCAAGAACAACACCGTCTTGAGTAAGTTGCCATTTATGGCTCAATCCATTTCTCGAGTAAAATGTACTGACTTTGTCCTCCAGCAGATATCCTGCGTCAGAAGCATCTTGGTCGCAACCGAAGACTCCCATTTCTTCCCAGAAACAACATGGAACTCCGAAAGTCCTTTTCGACCGAATCTGAAGGCCACGACCAGATCAAATCTCAAGCTCCCCAGACCACTGCTCCGGTTCGCGACAAGGCCGCTCGTCAAACTGTTCGCCATACCGTCGGAGACGTCAGCCAGCTTGACGGGCAAGCCGGTCGTCAGCTTGATGGACAAGATGCCGAACCCGATATACCACCCGAGGCACCTCAGCGACCTGTGCTCCCTGATCAGAAGCGAAAGGGATTCGAGCAGTTTTACGAAGCTGTGCGATCTCCTACCCATGTTCGCGTTACTGCTGGCGGCAGAATCGTCCCCAACACTCTCGAACCCTCCCACTCATCCCCTACCGGCAAGGGTAACAGGGAAAGACTTGTTGGAGATGTCAATGGCGCTCAGTTACCGTTGGGGCAGACCTTCAATGGCAATCCATTCTTGCCTGGTCCCCCATTCATGGGCCCTATGCATCCTACCATGCACTCTGCCTTCTCAATGATGACAACAGGACCCAGCCCGATGCCTCCTTTTGGAGGGTTCGCAATGCCGCCCTTCGCTCTTCCGCAAATTCCTTCCCAGACAGCCTTCTCCCATCCGACCAGTGTCGGGAATCCTGCAGGAAATCTGGAAGACAACAAAGAGCATGAGAACAGTGCTGTTCCCACCAGCGCCCCGCTGCCCATGCCCCCTCTTGGCGGTCAGTGGTTTGTGCCGCCTCATTCCATGATGCCGATGGGAATGCCGTTCCCTGGTGGTCCAATGATGCCGATGGCATTCAGCCCCATGGGCCAGCCGATGCTGTATCCACAGCCTCTTCAACCAGTTCCTACGCCTGGCGCCAGGTCCTTCTCGCCGGCTGTGCAGAATGAAGGCTGTCCTGCCTCGTCTATTCGGCCTAGCATCATCACTAAGAACCAGCTTGCTGGTCTCCGTTCCAGTCTCAAGAAAGCAGAGGCCCAGCTGGCGTACAACCGTCACCAGATTGACGAGAAGCATATGGAGGAGTATGCTCGCCAGCTTCGTTCCGATATCGAACACTTTGAGATCAAGCTGAAGGGCGAGCTTGCGCTCGAAGACAACACTCTGCCCCAGCGAAATGACACGAAGGATAAGAGCGATTCCAACGTCTCCAAGGCGCCAAAGTTTGCCACCGATTCTCGCAAGACACTCCTCTCTTCGACAGTTGATGCTGAGAGTATCAACGAGACGGTCGGCAACGCTCCTGCAAAGACAATAACAGAGGAGCAGAAGGCCTCCAAATCTCGCAAGAGGGACAGAGTTCGTCTCGCGGTGGATACTTCCATGGCATCTGCCCCTTTCATCAACTCCAACATATTCGCTACCATCTCCCCGGTGCCATTTGATCCTACCGGGCAGCAACAGCAACAAGAGTCGGATCATGTGCGCAAGCCCTCCACTGGCCTTCCTGTGTCTGCTGCGCGGGCACCTATCTTCCAGCCCCGTTTGGATCCTCACCGCCCCAGCGAGAATACACCTCCCGTCTCTGCACTCATGAATGGAGAGCAGGACACACATGGAACCAGGTTCCACGGGCCCATTCCCACCAATTTTGAGGAGTCTCGGCTTCTGTCCTCCATCGCCCCTCCCACGCCCGCCCATGACATGGAGGAGTTCTCCAACTTTGCCCGCGACAATGCTGGCCTGGGACTTCCGTACCTTATCGGCGAGATACCTTTCGGAATGGATCCCAGCCCTGACCTGAAGGATTACATCTACCACCGACCTCTCAACCAGGATGAAGAGATGGCCAAGCACCTCTTTTGGACCAATGCTCCTGAACACTTGCGCCAAAAGTTCCCAAAGTTTAATGGAAAGGACTTTTACCCTGTCTCTCCCGAGAAGATGCCTCGCCCTAGCATCATCAGCTCCCACTTGCCCACCGGTCGACCCGAGCAAGACTTTGGCTTCACACTGCCCACAGTGGACTTGGATCCTTTCGCTCCCTTGGAACCCTACCGTGGAAACTTGCTTCGGAAGCCGACACTGAAGGAGAAAGAACCGAAAGACATGAAGAGGGATACCAAATCGGACAACGTGACCTCGCCCATGAAGCGTCGCAGTAAACTGCGACCTGTCGCCTACTTCAACAGTCAGGGACTTGATGAGTCTAAGCAAAGCTCTGGCTCTTCCGAGAATGTCGAAACAGACTCCGAGAGGGCCTACTTCAACTCTTGGTCAGTGGCTCCCTCATCGCTGGCTGTTTGTCCATCATGCTAACTATTCAGTGTTCGTACCTGGTCAGAGAGAGTGACAGCGGCAGCGACTGCACTTCCTGGTGCGGTCACATCGGAGAATGCCCTTGGCTATCTTCCACAGTACGCCATCGGCCATGCCGCAGCTTCGCTGTCGCCTGCCATTGCCAAGGCTGCCAATCAGTCCAAATAAGATGTCAACTCCGGAACTACCTGACATCTGTTACACCTGTATGATTACGAATTTGCGTTCCCAACACTTGTACAGATTACGTCGAGACGGCTCATGGCACGGCAACCTCCGATACCACGGCATCAATTCGAATATTCAAGGAGCGTGCGACGTCAGGCTTTAGGTGGTCGTTCTCGAGACACAATTTGTGTATTTCATCCTTGATACATGGTTTTTTTATGCGAGGTGGGAGGTGGGTGGTATGAACAGGATTAGTTAGGTTTTCAAAAGCATTAATGATCAAACTTCGACTTAGACGAACGTGTACGGGTTATGTTATGTGACTATGAAGTGACCAATAAAACTTTTCATTCAATCTTGCACTAACATTCTTACACTAAGACGAGGGCAAAAGGCGGAAGATGCATGTGCCTCACCATCAAATTTCCAGCGTCATGGACAAAGCTCGGTGAAAATCTTCGGGCGAGAGTGGGAGAGGTCATTCCGATTGGAAAGCCCCCCCACGGGTTTACTCTTCGCCAGTCGTATACCTCGAAAACCATGGACTCGTGGTTGACGCGGAGATATACTAGCGGGACTCATTCATCTACGATGGACCTACCGTGGGAGAACATTGGCAATTTCAAAAAGGAGCATGTGTTCTCAAGGCGCCTCAGGAGGCGGCAGCAGCAATTAGCATGGTCACGAATGGTATAGCAAAAGGCAGTCAGCAACCCCGAACCTCCTCAGGTTCGGGGTTGAAGATGACTTCGGGAGGACCTCCCATGGAGCATCTCACGGGTTGCAATCGTGAGGCGGCCATTGAGAAAATGAAATTTCTCGATTGGATTTTCTAAAACTTTTTTGCTTTTTAGCCTTGTGATGTCCCTCGTTGTCCTTTTGTTGATCCCTTTCCGGGGCATATGAGAAATTTGCCGTTTGCCCAAAAAACGCGTCGAGGTTGTCGTGGAAGAAAACGCCGTCGTTTGAAGATGGATCTTATGAGAATTGGTATACCCAGCCGTTTTTTACCCCCTTCTTGTGATTTCTTTGAACTGCCGCTGTTTTGGATGGGTCGGGACAGGACTTGTCGTCTCATGTCTCCCCTCCCTTCCGTGAGAAGGCTTTTCAGCCCGTCACTCGAGAGGATAGCTCATGCCGACCAGGTTCTTTCCGGGTGCGTGGAAGAGGGGAATTTAGGCGGTGGCCTTGCTCTTGACGCGGAGCTCACGGCCGACCTTGATGCGCTCAAGGATGGACTCGCGGTCCTTGTCGATCTTGAGCTTGGTGATGACGACGTTGGAGGGGTGGATGCCAAGAGGGACGGACTGGCCGTTGGTCTTCTCGCGGGTGACGCGCTCGACGTGGATGACGTACTTGAGGCGGTAGACGGAGGTGACCTTGCCCTCACGGCCCTTGTTGGCGCCACGGACGATGGTGACCTCGTCGTCCTTGCGGACGGGGATGGAGCGGACCTTTTGGGAAGTGTTAGACGGTTTGGTTCTGATCTCAGCGCAGCGCAGGGCCGACGGGCAATCTGGCATGCAGTTTCAGACGTACGTTGTACTTCTCGCGGAGCTCCTTGGAGAGGGGCGCGCTCATGATAACACGACGGGTGCTGGAGGGGGCACCGAAGTGAGCAGCGCGGGACTTGCGGCGCGAGGACGCGACCACTAAGGAGAGAAAGTCAGTAATGGGCTTCAATTGAGACCTGTGATCATTATCATCACCGCCGTCGTCGGAAGAGGCAACGTACTCTTGTTAACCTTGGTCATTTTGGCTAGGGCGTTAGTACGAACGTCGTTGGTTGAGGGAGAGTGTGAGAGTTGAGGTCGTCGCAAGTCAAGGAAAAAAAAGGACCAAAATTATCTACCAAACGGCGGGAAAAAAAGCGTTTTGGGTGGGTGGGTGGTGCCTGCGCAGTTCGAATTTTTTGGTGGAGAGGCACGTGATTTAGGTCTGGACCACCCGGCGGTGTAAAAGCAGCCGAGTTTGCTTCCGGATGGTCAGCCAAGACAAACGAGTGTGGATAGCGCGATAAGATAAGAACTATGTCAATCGCAGCATCGAAAACCGAAACATTCCTATGCTCTGTAGCACTTTGTGCTTCGACTGGTTACTTACTCTCAAGCTATGGATAGTCGGGTTTCAAATGCCCGTTTCGTATTGCAATAGACCGAGAAGCTATCGTTTCGAGCATTAATCATCCCTTTTTTCAGAGAGAGAGAGGGAAAAAGAAAGGGGGGGGGGGGGGGGGGGGGGATTCCGTGAAGATATCAGTCCCTTTAGAATAATTGAGTACACTGTCCCGTTCTCACATGCTTTAATCGGGAGGACGTAGCGCTACTACGGAGCGGCAGTGATACACTTGAGCACTATGAATATATTTGAACGCGCTGCCAACCTAATGAGCCGTTGCTGCAGTTTAGTTTTCGTACTCCTTGCTGGTAGTAAACATGCGTCCTTTCTTCAGGCCTTTCAACAACGTCAACGACAACCAACCCCGGTAACCGAAGCACATCGCGTACGGATGTATCAGTCGGCCGGGTGCTTGGCCATCAGGAGTCACTCCGTATATCTACCTGCAGCTCGACTTATATCCTGCCAAGTTCAATAGCTGTTTTGAACGCCTGGTGATATGCTGTGCCCCCCCCCCCCCCAATGGGGGTGCACAATAGTAGTTGAACACAATTCGAGCACGGAGAACTAAGCAAGGCAGACACGATGGATTTCATGCAATACAAAAAAAAAATCGGTGAAACATGCCGAAGTGGGGAATGCGGTGTACGGCAAGGTCGAGTCTCGTCCTCGGACAGAGGCTCTGTCAATCTACTTAGGCCATGGGGGAAGGCGCTTTGAACTTGCCATTGTCGTCGTACTTGGCCTCTGTATAGCATTGTCAGCAATTTGGCCCCCATCCAGAACACAGCGAGAAGAAAAACTTAGAGGACTTACTGAAGAACGTGTAATTCAACGTCACGGTTTCGATACCCTTCATGTTGACGTCGTTCACCATGTCCGGATCCAGGTAGAAGAAGACGGGCATGTCTACCGTCTCGCCCGCGTTCAGCCGCTGCTCCTCGAAGCAGAAGCACTGGATCTTGCTGAAGTACGGCGCCACCTGGCCTGGGGTCACGCTGTAGGTGGCGACGCCGATGATGTCTGTGTCCGAGTTGTTGGTGGCGGTGTAGAAAGCCAGCGCCGTCTCGCCGGGGAGTACGCGCACCTCACGCTGCTGCGGGGTGAACTTCCAGGGCAGCACGTCCGAGACGGACGAGTTGAAGGTGACGCGGATGCGCTGGGCCGAGGTCACGGGCACCAGGCGCGAGGCGAGGCCGTCCCCGCTATAGTCGACATCGGGACCGTGGGCGCGGACGGGCTGGCCGCCCCAGCCTGTTGTTTGACAAATCTGGTATGTTCCGTTAGCCGGAGGCACTCGGTGTTCGAGGAGGGGAGGGAGACGGAACCATCTTGTAGAGAGGCACAGAGCCGTACGACAGGGCCACCGTCCCGAGAATGACGCTGAGTACATAGTATCTGCGCGTCGACCTGCTTAGCCCACCGAACCCCCAATCCTAGTTGTTTTCTCTTGCATGTCTCCTTACGCTGTTGACGCATTCTTTTTTCTATAATGCGCGTGCACCTGCTCCATTGACGGCGCGCCGCCGAAGCTGGGACCGGTCTGCTTGGGTGGTGTTGTCGAGGCCGCTCGACGGATGGCGGGCGCTCGGATGGTGATGCGCGGCGCAGGACGAACGGCGTGCTGACAGAAGAAGCAGCTCCATTTCTGCGTTGACTGCGGCGAAGCGCGCCGCGGAAGGCGAGGGAGGGTATTCATGATCGTGGGCAGCGGCGTGTGAGGGAGGATATGTCGAGGAAGCTTGGGTTGCTCGATGTCGCACCACAATCTCCATTCCGGTCTTCATCGGGATTTGGGGTACCTAGGTAGTTTAGCTCTGGTCACTGTGCGCACACGGACACCGAGAGCCCGGTGTGATTGTTCCGCCATGGGCGGTGACTCTAGTGCTTTTAGGGGTCCAGGCGTTGGGAGACCCAGCAGAGACCCCACTGAAGCTCCTGCTTCTACAGGAAGTGGAAACCAAGCGAGGAGACGATACATTTTCGCAGTATAGCATTTGCATTTATTTCTTCGCTAGGTGATTTGCAAATAGCTCCTATTGGTGCACTTCCGCTTCCATTTCCCGATAGCAGCACACTGCACTGTCTCACTTTACGCGGCTTTGACATTCTTCAGCCTCCTTGCACGGGGGTATATCGCCCTCTTGGCCACGCCCACGACCCTCTCCAGCACTCTGATGACAAAAACCTGAATGATAAGTATAACTAGTCGCACAAAAAGATCGGCGAGGCCAAGAGAGGGTTTCCTTCCGCGACTGTAGGTTGAGTCCACAAACTGGAAAGGCAGCTTGGCATAGAGATGATCTTGAGCAGCATGTAGTCCACTGCTGAAACCGTCCTCGTGGAAGCCGTACTTCGTCCATGCACCAGCATAACTGATACCTCGCTTATTCTGTATACGGGGCAAAAGCTTTTGAGCACGAACGGCAGCGGGAGTGTAAAGGGGGTGGCGGTAGGTGAACGAGGCTTGGATCGTGTCTGGGTTCGGCTGGTGCAGAGGGTTCATCGTAACGAGGACGTCACCGAACGTTTCGCGAGGGATGTGCTGAAGAATGTTCATGTTGTAGGTAAGAGAGACTTGGTCGATGTTCTGCTTGCCGGTTGAAGGTGAGGAGAGGGTAAGGTAGTTCCAGCTGGACCAAGCCTTTTCAGAAGCCGGCATCAGCGAGAGATCGGAGTGGAGGATGACTGTGTTCTCCGAGGTTTGAAACGCGGAGAGGATGTCCTTCTCTTCGCGTGTGGCCGATCCTTCAATGATCTTGAGAGCCTGGTCTCCATGTGTTGCCAGGATGACATGGTCGTAGACATCCGACTTGCCATTGTGAGCGTGCACTCGCACTCTGCCATCCTCCTCACTCGTGACCTGTGTAACTTGCGTATTGAGGAATAGGTGATTAGAAGGGAAGCCGTTCATGACAGCATCAATGTACGACTTGCCGCACTTCTTGAGAGTGAGCCATTGGGGTCTTGTAGAAACCGTCGAGAGGAGATGGTGATTCCACCTGTTTCCAGTCAATATTGTTTCCCGTTCGCACGGCGCGCCAACACTTACATGAAACGGACTAGAGTGACGGCCGGGAAGTCCAAAGTGCACTTGTCCGGGCTTGTGCTCCATACGGCGGCAGTCATAGGAATGAGATAATCGTCCCTGAAGGCATCAGAATAGCCCTCACGTTCCAGATACTCTCCGATAGTTTCGTCCCTCTTGGCTCCTTTGCTGTCGCCATTCATAGCGGCAGAGTCATTCTCGTCGTCATCGGCCATCAGCAGGTCCAAGGCGAACTGGTTGAAGCGTATGATGTCAAAGATCATGCGCCACATCCGGGGTGAAAAGATGTTTTTTCTTTGGGCAAAGACAGCATCCAAGCTGGTGCCAGCCCATTCGAACAAGCCATGATCTCGAGTAACACCAAACGTCATCTCGGTCGGCACCGTATCCACCTTGACCCTTTTGAGGAAGTTGATGAAATTTGCTGGAAATATGTGAGTGCAACTCTGATGAGGATCAACGAGGCTATACTCACGATATGTTGCCGTGTTGAGAACGATGAAACCGGTATCTACACTGGTCTCGTATTTTCCATTTTTCCACGTTACGGTGTTAGTATGCCCGCCAAGCCTCGATGAGGCCTCATACATGTAGACATCATGGTAGCTTCGGTTCAGCGCCCAGAGAGCAGCGATGCCGGCGCATCCACTGCCGACGACTGCGACCTTCTTCCTAAACTTGACGTCAATAGGAGATCCTACAGAGCCTACGGAATCCAACGAGGGTGTGCGAGGCATTGTTGAAGCAAGAAGCTGGAGAAAGGAGGTGTAGTATTGGAAAAAGCCTCGGATGTGTGTCGCGCGCGGGCGTTGGGGTCCAAAGTTGGAGTCGCATATATAAAGCGACAGCAGGAAGAAGAATCAGGGAGGCCGGTAGTGGCTTGTCTCTTGACGTGACGGCAAGAACGGGCGGTTTAGGTGCAAGCCACGGACGACGTTTTGGGGAAAGAACAATGGCTTGCACATGTTGCACATGCCGCAGCAGCCAAGCGCCTCCAACTGTCGTTGGACACGACAATCGGCGGGTCAAAGTATCAAGTCTGCGCTGGTGACATGGGGAAGTGACATGTCGAGTATTGTCAGACCAGATCACCCAACTAGCGCTGCAACTTGCAAGTGGCGGACGGGTTCGATGGAGGTGACAGTGATGGATAGCCCACCCAGCACTGGCGCTGGCCAGGTGCTGTGCGTACACGTGTGAAGGTGGAGAGACGGCAGTGGGACAGGTAGGGAGCGAGTGAATGGAGACGAATACGAAGCCAGATGAGAGGCAAGTGGACGCGAAAAACAAAAACTTACAGCGGCTGACCGGGCGGCATCTTGGCTTCTCGTCCTTGGGCGTATGGTGATAGGAAGCTCAAAGTCAAAAGGGGTCAACGCGGGGCTGCCGCTCAGTGAGGAACGGAGAAGACGCGAAAACCTATGATGTTTTCTTGGGATAAGTTCTGCAGCGCAGACAGCATCACAGGCGGGAAGGATGTTGGCTGGAAGGAATGTCGACAGGAGTCGAGTCTGGGCGTAGATCACGATGCGATGAAACGAAACTCAGCTCAGCTCTCTGCCGGACTTCCCACACGCCATGACGCTTGCATTGACCACCCCCCCCTGCAGTTTGTCAGTTTCCCCAAGCTATACCCCCCCTGTCGTGGATTCCGCCCGATGGCTGAAGACTCACGATCTGAGCGCCACAGTGGCTGGCCGAGGTTTTGTTGAGTAAAAGAGGCTGAGAGGTTGCAACATCCGCTCAGCTTTACTATGACAATGTAGGCATTGTTTGTGGGAGGCGTTTTGCTTCGTGGAGGACGAACTGCGGGATGGAAGAAATATATTTGGTCCTAGAGTATGGCAATGCGACGAGCAAAGCTGCCAGCCATATCCGAGAAACCTCACAAGTGCGTCACAAAAACTACCAATACAACACATCAGACAGCTCTAATCAATGGCTCGGCATCGCGAATTCTGCCGATATTGTTTACGGCCGGACTGAGCCTTTGGGCAATCGCCGTGTCAAATCAGCCGTTGCTCAAACCATCAATATTTTCACATCGGACGCCAATTCACAATCACGAAATGCATGAAAAACTTCTTCCTCACTACCAGAGACCAGCTCCAGCAAGCAATGAAAAAGAAATAAAAAGCCTGTCAGACGTCCATCGACACCCACCCCGACCATGCGCCCGAAGGCAAGACCACAATCGGGGACGAGATCATCACCGCCCTCTATACAGCAAAGGACAGAGTCCAATGCCGCCTTCCTGACGGAAAGTGCGAGGGCAACCAGAGTTCTTCACTCTAGGGTGTCGAGGATATCAATCATCAACCAGGGTGGGATCTGTGGCTCCTTTAGGGAACCAAGAGAAGGTCGAATACTATAGAAATGATTCTCTGAAGTATTGTCGACATGAGGAAAAAAGAAGAAGAAAATCCTAAGACACGCGGTGGGAAGGTGCCCTTATATAGAATTCTGGCTAGGGAGGTTGTCGTGCACGGACCATTGGCCGTTTGGGTGGGTTTTCGCCAGATTTCTGCCTAAGGTGGGCGCCGACAAGGTGAAAATTTCGACAAATGGCTGGTCACCGCCTGACAGGGTGCCCTTTTTGCCGGGTTTTCGAGGAGGGAAGGGTTCAATGTGAAGATTTCCTTCTGCAAGCCAGTTTTTGCAGTCGCCACTGTTGATTTCAGAGATTTTGTGTGACTATTTGGTGAAAAATGTATTCGTATTCACCCGTCATTTTTACAACTGTAGATACCTACCTTCCTTTAGCCTGACTGCGCAGCCTTGGATGGACAGCTTACAGCACTGCTGAGGTTCTCAGAGCTCACACGTCAACACATGCAAAACTGCTCAGACGTGTAGCCAAACGAGGAACGCGCCAGGCAACCATCCGGCAATATCCACGGAAAACTCTGATGGCTGGGTCTTTGACGCCCTTAGCATAGGCAACGAACTTATCGTCTGTGACACCGCTTGTTTTGGCAGTGGAGTGGAACTCGTACCAAGCCGTCTAGACGGCGGCGATTTATGGCTGGACTTGTTTAGGCATCTGAGGCCTTGACGAGCACTATAGTATAGGCACACTTTTAGCGAGGCAGGTTTGGTTCAACTCCAGCCAGCCCAGCCTCATGGGGCCAACATGGGCTTACGACAATGCGCAAATCCGGCAAACGCGCTTATCTGGGAGGGAGACAATCAGGCAGCATTAACTGCTTTCCCACATGCGACTAAGCCAAGCAAGTTTATACCGTCGCCATAAGGGCTGGGCAGCGTTGTTTACAAGTCACATGTATGCCTTTCAGGACGAAAAGATGTCGTACACTCAACGGGATCGGAAAACGGTGGTTCGAGTTTCCAATTCTTAAAAGCGCCGTGACGTTTATTCAACGCCATCAGTCTGCCCAGCTTAAGTTCAACTCAGCGTCCAAGTGGAGGGAGACACAGAAGTGTCTCCCTCCCTGGCGACGCAGAGCCGGTTTTCTTCTAGAGCCGGGGTAAATAATCAACTTGAAGAGAAAAAAAAAAAGAGAAGAATGAAACGAAGTTTTGCGCAGCGCGAGCTCTCATAAAAGGACTGCGACAGGAAGCGGGCTGCAGGCGCTGGGACCATACAAGTCACGTGCCTTATCGAGAAGGTGCTTGGAGACCATGCAGGGGTCAGTGGCTGGAGCCTAGCCCCCGGTTGCCTCAGATTGGGGCACCAGCCACTCGGGAGCATGATGTCGCCAAGGCCGGTCCTGACTTACGCAGACGTACTCTGTACACTACCTAAGACGACGACATGCGACCAAGCCGAACCCGCCGCATCTAGACCGTTTCCGGATTTCTCACCTTTACGACCTGCAACCCACCGACGAACCTACATTGACGACCATCGAAAAACGACGAACACCTTCTTTCTCATTCAATCAGCCAGCTAAACAGGAGGCCGTTTCACCTACCCCATCATCCCCTTACGCCCCCCAGAAGACGAGCACGGAAGCAAGCCAACCGCCATCATGTCAAACCCACTCGACACCGAACCTGGCTCCGAGCGCTTCAGCGACTACGAAGCGGAGTTGAAGCTCGTACAGGCCGACCTCGTCCAGAAGCTCGACCAGATCCCCGAACTGACGGGCGAGCCGCGCAAGGCGGCCCTCTCGTCCGCCGAGCGCGCCCTCGAGGAGGCCGACGAGCTGCTCGCCCAGATGCGCCTCGAGAAGGCCAACATCCCCACCACCCTCCGCTCCAAGATTAACGCCCGCTTTCGCAACCACGAGTCCAACATTGACGGCCACAAGCGCAAGCTGCGCTCCCTCGCCGACGACCGTGCCGCCCTCTTCGGCGCCCGCTACACCGACAACCCCTCGGGCAGCGGCCAGGACGTCCAGCTCGAGCAGCGTCAGCAGCTGCTCTCGGGCACCGACCGCCTCGACAGGTCCACCCAGCGGCTCAAGGCCAGCCAAGCCCTCGCCAACGAGACCGAGGGCATCGGCGCCAGCATCCTCGGGGACCTGCACACCCAGCGCGAGACCATCCAGCACACCCACGACCGTCTGCTCGAGAGCGAGGGATACGTGGACCGCAGCGTCAAGACGTTGCGGGGGATGGCACGTAGGTAAATACCGTCCCCTTACACCCCGTCAGACTGTGAGAGGACGACAGAAAATAGGCTAACGTCGTGCAAGGATGGCTACCAATCGGGTGATCACCATCTCCATCATCACCATACTTGTTCTCCTCATCATGGCCGTCATCTACAGCAAGTTCAGATAGAGGGCACGTAGCGAGCAGCGGTAGCAGACAGAAAGGCCTTCGGGAGTGCCGGTTCCGGAGTTTTGGGTTGTATAAGGGTTCCGTCATGAAGTACCTGTGTTTTGTTTGTTTTATTATCTCCTCTCCTTTCCATCAGGGGAGCCGCGGAGAGTGTTGGGTTGCTGTCTTTCATGCAAAGAAGGAGGCCTCGGGTGCAATGTTAATTAACGAGTGGGAAAAAGCCCCTGGTCTGGGTTTGAAGCCGGCTGAGAGTCGAGACAGGGACGTGTTAAATCGACCCCGCCATGGCTGCCGTCCCTATGCATATACGTATTTCAGTCAATCGTTGTAAATACCAATTTCTTTTTTTTTTCTATTGACCGTACCCGATAAAGACGCCGACATTTTGAGACCCTTTCCCTTTCAACTCGGGGTCGCTTTTAACCTCATCGAATGGGTATAATCACACTAAAACATCATGAAAACCCACAAATATCCGACAACAGCTTATCTGCGTCCACCTCCTCTCCGGCCCTTGTTGACACCTCCGCCCGACGTGGGCCCTCCCCGTCTGCGGTCCTCACCGAGACCCTTGCGGCCAGCGGCGATACCACCCTTGCCCCCACGACCGCCACCACGGCCGCCACCGCGTCCGCCGCGGAAGGGCTTGCCACCGCCCCGGGTCTTGTCGACCTGGGCCTTGACAGCAGCAGCATCGCCATCGTTCAGGTCCTCCATCTCGTCATCGTCCTGTCCACGCTTGTTGCTGAACTTGAGTTTGCCGCGGAGACCCCGCTTGGCGACGTCCTTGCCCTTGAGCGCGGCAACGTAAGCGTTGACGCCGGAGCCGTCGTTCTCGGCGCCGTCGACTTCCATCGCCTCGTCGTCGTCCTTGCCGAGGATAAGCTTGCCATCGAGATCGGTGCGGGCCTTGGTCTTGGTGGGCTTGCGCATCTTGACGGGCTTGGTGGATGAAATGTTGGCCAGAGCGTTGCGGTCGAGCAGGTCCAACGGCTCGTCCTCGTCTTCGACGATGTAGGTGTTGCCGCCCTTTCTGCCAGCGCGCTTGCCCCTAAGGCCTGCAGGCGCGCCTTCGTCGTCGGACTCGTCGGAGCCGTCCGAGTCACTGCTGTAGAGAGCCTGGTCCAGCTCGTTGTCAAACCTGCGCCCCTGGCGGCCATCTTCCTCGTCACTGTCCTCGCCGGCCTGCTTGGCTGCTTCCTTCTTCTTCTTGCTGCGCTCCTTGGTCTTGCGGATGTTGACCATGAGCTTCCTGTCGCTTTCGGGGCAGTTCTTGTTGACGAGATCGAACCCGAACTTGCGTATCATGCGCTCCAGGATGTGCCTGACCTTGCTCTTGAAGTGGCCCTTGTGCTCGTGACTCCAAATAATGAGGTTGGGAACAAGAGAAGATAAGCGAGGGATCACAAGTTCCGAGGGGAGACTGACAACGCAGATCTTGACAAAGCCCAGGACACTCTTGACAATCTCGCGGTTGTTGGAGGTCAGAAAGAGATCCATCGTCTGAACAAGGTCGGCCAGAATCTGCGTGCTCAAGGACCTTCTGAACTCGTAGAGCACACGGCTAAGGGCTGTAATGGACGCTGAGATCATGTGGGGAGTACTGCCGACAAGACCAGCGCTGACCATGGTGAGGAACTCCTCAAGGTTGGCCTTACCAGCAGGCGCATCCGCAGGCATATGAGGGACCTTGGAATTATCGATGGGAGCGCCGTTCGCAGCTTCCATGCGTTGACCTATCTGAACAAGGAGATCGTACGCGGCCTCTCGTGCACGCTCGTTGTTCTCCTTGCAGCAGATGACGACCTCACTGAGGATGGAAGGGATGAAGTGAAGAGAGGTATCGGGAATGCAGGGGAGGAGGGCAGACAAGGCGCCCAGACGCTCTCTACGAGCAGGAGCAGACACCTTGTCAGCGCTCGTAAGAAACATTTGCTGCAGTTCTTCGATGCGCGCCTCAAGCGCCAACTTCCCGGTTTCGGACTCGGCAAGACGGGGAACCAGCTTGTAGGCCTTCTTCTGCAGCTGCGGCTCGTTCTCCCTGAAGATGATGATGGCGGCGATCTCGAATAGGGCCGTGTAGCTCTCTCGGGGCAGGTAAACGGAAATCGTGATGACGAGGTCCATCAGAGTGTTGCTTGTTGGAGGCATCGCGCCCTGCTTTTGTTGCTGCTTGGGCTTCTCCTGGTCAGCAGTTTGCTGCAGTTCCGCTGCAAGCATCTTGCTGACCCGGTCGAAGGTATCGATAAGCTCGTTTTCGGGGGTGATGCTAAGGAAAGCATTAATGGTGAGGAGGATGGGCCCTCTTGATTGGGGCAATGTCTGAGTGTAAACGTTGAACAGAACAGCAAGCATGTTGCCAGCAAAGCTGCCCAAGTGCTTGAGATTCTCTTTCGCAGTGGCTCTGGAGACACGGCTTTGGAGCACCAGGTCCTCCTCGCCTTCATCTTCAATAGTGGCAATAGCCTGGTTGGACTCGATGAGGATTTTAAGAGCACGGCAGACCTCCAGACGCAACTCAACTTGCTTGTACAAAATATTTGCGAGAAGCTCAGCGAAGGACTGGTCGAAAGCCTCAGTCACATCAAGCGGGAGATCGCAGTAGCCAGGCAAAGTTGCCCAAATCTGCTGAACAAGAGTCTCGAAGATCTTGACCTCCATGGTCTTCTCTGCCTTGCCGTGATCCAACACCCGTTGGAACATGAGTTCACTAAGGGGCACCATCTCTTGACGGAAGTGGGCAAGGTTAGTGTTGCTGAGGTAGTCACGCAGGATGGGGAGCATCCAAGCGCGACCCTGTTGACCCTTGGCTGGATTGGCAAGGTTCAAAGGCAGGATAGACAGAACAGCCTCGGGTCCCATAGCGCGAATAGCCTTTCCGATGACTTCGTCGGCCTCCTTCTTGCCTTGGAAGGAGTTGCTACCGCGGAGCTCTCCGACGGCCTTGGTGATGTTGAGCATCATCGGATGCGCTCGCCACCTCAAGGAGTCGAACATGGCTCCAAAAACGTTGAAACTCTCCATCCAAGCCTGCTGGTACTTGACACTAAGCAAAGATTCGGCAATCTTGGCGATCTTGTCCAGTGTCTTCTCGTCGTAGACAGACGGCTCGAGGATGACCTGCTTAGGAATGCAGTTCGCCATGAAAGAAACCAAACACTCGGAGGCGGAGATTCGGATGTTGTGGGCGGGCGACTCCAGGTACTGGGCAACCATGGAGAAGATCTCGGGCAGATTCTGGAAAACATCCTCGGGCTCGATTTGTGCGGAAACGTCGTATCCTCGCGACAGAATCGCCAGCCATGGGGGAATCAGCTGTGTGTCGTTCGCGGCGGGCCGCAGCTCGGAAATAATCTCCATAAGTCGGGGGAGCTTGGCGGAGGCGACCTCATCAGCCATACCCTCGAATATCATTTCAAAAATTTCGAAACTGGCCATCGTCATATACTCGTTGCCCGATCTCGAAATTGCGAGCAGCAGCTCGCACAAAGATTCGATTTTCTTGCTAGGCCAGCCTCCACTAGCAGAGGCAATGGTCTTGATGAGCTGGAGGGCATGGATCAGGGCGGGATCGTGTGCCGACTCATCTCCCTTCTGCTTCCTCGCTTGCGCAGCCTTGCCAGCAATATCCTCGAGGTTGGCCAGAGCGGTGTGGGCGCACATGTCGGCAGCCGGGTGGTCGAGCGAGGGACTCGGGGGAGGGTTCTTGAGGACATTTCGCAACGCTTCTTGAGCCCTCTTCCGGACCTTGGGGCGCTGCTCGAGGGAGAGGTTCAGCAGACCGGCAACGGCTCTGCGGGGGCCGACCTGGGTCACGCCGAGTTCCCAAGCAGCAGCGTCTTGTGCCAGAAGGAGGGACTCGAGACATCCGATTGAAGATCGCAGAACAAGTGCTTCGGCATCTTGCTGGAGGAGCACCGGGGCGAGCGAGGTGAGGATCTGCGTGAACTTGGCGCGAAGAATAGGCTGGGGCGCAAACGGGGTGACAATGTCCAGGAGGTAGACGACTGAAGTGGTTGTGTCGGAGCTGACGTTGCCGCTGTCGACAGCCTGGGTAAGAAGGCCGAGAAGGGCGGCAAAGTAGCCGGTCGGCGTAGGCTGGGTGTTCTGCTCCTTCAACGTTGTGTCGACCGCTTCGAGGACTACCGCCGTCTACCGACAGTGTTAGCAACGTTCCCAGACGACAAAAGAGTGGAAAAGCCTCACCCTCTTCTGGCTCTGAAGACCGGGAGAGCGGATCTTGTCCAGCTTCTCGGCAAGAGTTGGAGTCGACATTGTGCTTGTCGTATCCAATCCGTCGGGATTAACTGCTGTGGGAGACGATAGAAGCCGGTTTGGTCGAGATTCCCGTCTGTGCAAACATTTTCGGTCGCAAAAAATCCTTATCGAACACCCCGCCCCGGATAAGGGTCCGCTTTTGCAAGGATCTGAACGACGTATTAAGGTACTGTGCAGAACTCCGATTCTGCACGGCCTTCCAACGGTATGGATGGTCATTCCAGTGGGCGAGAAAAGGCAGCATACCGAGCAAAAATACAAACTGTTTCATTCATGGTGAGTTATACTCTCCATGGCCCAATAGCCCCTTCTTCTTCTTCTTTTTTTTTTTTTTTTGGATTATCGGCCCAATCGCTGTACTAATGCACTGCCAATGTCGGGTGTTGCTAGGCTGGATCGCGCGATAGTATGAGACGAGGTTGAGAGCAGCAGCCAACTGGAGCAACGTTCGACGAATTTAACTCCAGTCCCAAACTTGTGTGCTTGCAGTGCAAGAGAAGAACAGATAATAAGACAAGAGAATTCTATCTTGTTTCGAGCCCGCCACGTCTTCTATCTGGCAACGCTTGAATAGATTGTGATTCAGTCTTTCTAAAACTGTGCATTGTGAAGTTTACAACCTTTCCATCGCAGGCTTATCATCAATCCTTTTAAGGAGATATGTATTGATGAGACTGAATCCACTTGTATCCGTTTCTTGTCATGATGAAGGCTACATGAATAAGCTGTGGGGCTATCTGCGATATTACTCTATTTAAGTAATAGTCACCCTACAGAGTTGTCAAGTGTATGTATAGGTACCACTTTGATCGGTACCACTTTGATCGGTACATTTTGCACTCTGGTTGGAATCTCACTAGATTGGCAGCCTGTCAGCAGCTTGATGAACCCAAATACGCAGCCGGTCCTCGTCAAATGCCTAGACCTTCCAAACCTCCGGGTATGCTTACATCCCTCTGCTGTTACCCGTTGTTTCTTCTTCTTATTTTTTCCAACTTCTCCTCAAATTTGCATAAACAATGAATGATGATGCAAGCTGACTGTGGAGTTGCTTGGATGGCA